AATAGATATAAACCTACCTTATAGAAACGAGTCTGAGGGTTCTAGGAGATGAGCATCCTAACACGCTGACCAGCATAGGCAACCTGGCGTCGATGTACCGGAACCAAGGCCGGTAGAAGGAGGCCGAGCGCCGGGCTAGGGCCGGTACTCGCAGCACGAGCACGGCAGGTCGTTGAGTCCACATCGCTACATTCTCGCTGAAGACTCCTCTTAGGCCGAAGAGACCGGCCTACGGTGTAGCCGTCAAATTTGACCTGGTTGAGGACGGCGGCCCGTGGGATCGGCATCCTTTGACACATATGAACACGAAAGCGGCCATTACCCTAGACGTGTAGAGGAGGTCACAAACACGTTTGGTTGGCTAAGAGCGGGTTCGCAACGCGTTAGTGAAAGCGTGGTCACAACAAAGCGACATTAGATTCACACCACAGCAAAAGTCAGAAAACGGAATTGGAAAACGGAGATGTGAAAACTGAGCGCGAACACGTTCCCTACCGTTTCAATCATCAGAAAACGTTCCTTCACGTGACCTGAACTTTGCTGAGTCAGCAGCACAACCGAAAATGAAAGTGAAATACTAGTTCCAGATTCATGTTCACGGCCTCCCCACAATAGCGACATCTTCTTGTCTTCGTTGTTGTTCAAAGGGGGCGGTTTCTTGTCCTCAGAGCGACCAGTTTTGGACCCTTTTGAGCGGATAAGGAAGATTTATATGCAAAACATAAAGAGGATGGCTAAGTGAAGTAGGCGGTGTAAAAGGCGGTGTATAAAACGGTGGGCAGGAGATAGGTTACAGTTCTTGGAGCAAACAGAGCTTGGATATGTAGCTAACTTACGTAAGTAGGCGGTGTGCTAGGCGATGGGTGGGAAGACTGATACTGTCGTAGGCTAATTAGGAAGGCGGTGAACTGTCCTTCACTGTCTGACGTATCTTATAATTGCTTGATTCAGGGCCCAGGAGTCCTTCCGGACTCCTGGGCTATTGTACGGCCCGCCACAGGTTACGTATCCTGAGTTGGGGTATAGTCAGGTTATGGATTTTGTGGAGGATGTATGGAAAGAGAAGGGGATGAGCTGAGGAGTCCCAGGATGCGCGGGTACCCCAAGGAAAGGGCGCCTCCACGGTTCTGAGTTGGGGAAACGTGCGCCTTGGCACCTGGCGAAGCCAAAGCAATGGCGACATCACAACTTTGGGGGGCTGAAAACTCTAGATTGCTGATACTGACAACATGGCCCGCGATTCCCGTTTTGGCGAACATTTGATCTTATCAGCGTTTGCGCACAATGACTTAGAAATTAGTACTCCAGTCAAACGACGGTGCCAGCGACGGCGCCATCTCTACCTCGGTTCCGCGCGAGATTCCGGGATGTCCATGTTTTGGACCAGATTACAGATATTGAGACAATGGTGTCGGTATGTGCTGGGTTGGTCACCGTCGACGGCAACAGTGGCATAATCCGGCTGGTACACTACACAACACAAGAGTACTTTGAACGGACGCGGGGTCGATGGTTGCCGGATGCTGAATCTTACATCACGAAAGTTTGTGTCACCTACCTGTCTTTCATGTCCTTTCGTCAGATTCGCCTGGGCTGCTTGACAGCTGAGGATTTCCTTTTCAGGCGGGAAGCTCTGGGCGGAAACTGGAATACACTCGACGTCTATGTGACACTAAACTGGGGCCACCACGCTCGGGAAATCTCGACTATCTGCGACGAGGTGATGCAATTCCTGCGCGACAAATCAGCAGTCAGAGCAGCAAGCGATCTGATGGCATTCACCCTGTGGGAAACTGTCGTCAGGCGGTGGGTAACTGGGGATCTCCCCCCTAACAAGGGGGTTTTCGACGATGCTGCTCGGCTTTTTTTGGACTTGACGCCGCTATCGCTCAACTGCTAAAGGAAAACCATGGCAGCGACATACCGGACAGCAATGGTCGCACGCCACTGAGCTATGCTTCAGAACACGGGTACACGGCTATAGCCCAATTGCTGCTGGATACCGGTCAGGTTGACGTCAGTAGACCGGACTCCGGAGGCTGGACACCACTGTCCTGGGCCGCTTATAACGGGAATATAGCCTTGGTGCGGCTGCTACTAGATGCTGGCAAGGCCGATGGCAACCACCCAGACGAATTTTCCAGCACCCAACTCTTGCGTGCGTCACTCTGCGCTGCCAGGTACGGCCATGAGGCGGTAGTACAGCTGCTACTATCCTCAGGGCAAGGCGACAGTAGCCACCAAGATGTGAATCCATACCTGCTATTGATTGCAGCCAAATACGGGCGCGAGGCAGTCGTTCAACTGTTGCTGGACACTGGCAAGGTCGACGTCAATCATAGAGACGAGTCGGGCTGGACAGCGCTCTGCCATGCAGCCCTGCGGGGCTACGAAGCAGTCGTGCAGCTGCTGCTAGCCACTGACAAGGTTGACGTCAATGCTAGGGACTACCCCGGGACCCGGACACCGCTTGTTATTGCAGCCGAGAAAGGCCACGAAGGTGTGGTACGACTCCTGTTAGATGCTAGCGAGGTCGATGTGGATTGTAGCGATACGCAAGGCCGGACAGCGCTTAACTATATAGCCGAGAGAGGCTACGAAGCAGTAGTACAGCTCCTACTGGCCACTGGCAAAGTCGACGTCGATCGTGTGGACGATTATGGCCGGACACCACTTAGCTATGCTGCCAAGGAAGGCCGCAAAGGGGTAGTGCAGCTCCTCCTTGCTACTGGCCAGGTCGACGTCAATAATACGGACTGCCAGGGCCGGACACCACTCAGCTATGCGGCTAAGTATTGGCATGAGGAAACAATGCGAGTGCTGCTAGCTACTCGCTGGATCGACGTCAATAAAGAGGATAATGATGGCTGGACACCGCTCATTCACGCGATCGCGAATCGGGAATACAATCAAAGGCCCGGGCAGTACAACGTCGCACCTGTCGTAGAATTGCTACTTGCCAACGGCGAGGTTGACGTCAACAAGTATACCAAGGATGGCGAGACGCCACTTATCTTTGCAGTTACAAGTTGCCAGTCTCCGGAGTCTGTTGTACCATTGCTGCTAGCAAGTAGCCAGATCAAAGTCAACGCACAGGATGCCCACGGCCGAACTGCACTCATTCATGCAGCGCTACCCAATCGTACGTCCCCGGTAGTCGTGCGATTGCTGCTAGCTACTGGTCAGGTCGATGTCAATGTAACGGACGAATTAGGAGAGACAGCTTTGAGCTATGTGATTAGACTGTTCCGCCTGGCGCGCTATAAGTATTCGATGGTGTCACGGGACCGGGACCGCTACAAGTCCGTAATAAGAATCCTACTGGACAGCGGCCAGGTCCAAGCTGATGGGATGGAGCGCCTGGGTTTCGAAGTTGAGGAACTAGACAATCTGGAGGAACTAGAGCTACCCGATGGGATGAGGCACCTGGGGTTTGGAGTTGAGGAACTAGAGAAACTAGACGCTCTGGACGACGCTCTGGACGACGCTCTGAACAAACTAGTCGATTCGAGGGAACCAAGTGACACCTTACCCGAGGTGAGGGTGCGCCGGAGTCACCTGAGCCTTACGACCGATCTCGCCGTGGGCTTGGCGATGGAGACATGTTTGGAACGTAGTAGTCCTGCTCGTGTCGTTGCTGATGATGGTCAGATTCGGGCACGAGGCAGGGGATAGGAAGGGAGACGGGAGGGTGGCGCCAGTGATAATGGATCACTGGCTGGCTTGGAATAAGCTTAATGGTCAATGCTGCGCGTTAGGCGGGACTTGTATGAGATTGAATCTCCGGTTGCGATCCATGCCGCCATCCACAACCCTTTGTCAGGCTCTTCGAGGTGGAAAAATAGGGGATAATGAGCGTAATTCCATGCCAATCTCAGCTTGACGTGACCCCTCCAGCTCTACTACAAGGAGACCGGAGTGCCTGGCTGATGGCCCGGCCCCTGACGATGCCTAACAAGTACATGACACAGTTGCGAACGTAGCGAACAGTCGGGAGTCTTTCTTGCGACACGCCGCTAAGAGCTCAGGGAGGCACTGGCAGAGCAGAGAGTCTAATTGTAGAAACCCCCTTACACTTTCCGGCATCAAAATGCTCTCCAACGCCAGCGTCCGACTTATTCCAGTCACGTAGAAAGAATATATTTGCATTGACGGGGCTGAGAGGTCTACGAGAAGGAACTTGAAGCTAGGCCAACATTCCCATAGTTGATGGATAGAGGGATCATGCCGTACTGGATCTTACAGTCTTCATAGTAGCTAAGGCAAGGGGTAGGTCTTGGCGAACCGCGAAGAACGGTAGATCCCTATATCGACACAATGTCTGGCATGTACATGTAGTGGCACGCGCCCTGTTCTCCATACCAAATACCCTCAAATACTCAGGGAGAAGAGTACTTGTACCCATACTTCTCCTTGGCCGCATCTATAAACTTCCGATCCTCCTCAAGCTGCTTCTTGGCATCCTCATCACCCTCCGTCACCCTCCTCTGCAACTCACTATTCGAAACCCGGCTCGGCGCACCCCCGGGCACAGTCAGACCCCGCTGCACGGCCGGGCGCGCCAGGATCCTCTCATGCCAGGCCTTGACGTTGGGAAAGTTGGCCAGGTCGATGCCGCCCCAAGTGCTGACGTTGACCCACCCGAACAAGCTCATGTCGGCGATGCTGTACTTCCCCTTGGGCCCCGGACCGGCGACATACTCGCGCCCGCCCGCGAGCCGCGCGTCAAGGACGCCGTACAGTCGCTCAGTCTCGCCTACGTAGCGCTGGGCGCCGTAGGGGATCTTTTCGGGCGCCGCGTGGAGGAAGTGGTTTGCTTGGCCTTGCCTTCATTTTCATTGTATTAGTCTGGTCTAGGGGCGAAAGACCGTACGGATGCCGAGGAGACGAAACTTACATAGGACCGACACCGCCGTGCTGCCAGGCCATCCACTGCTCCGCAACGGAATAGTCGTCCGAGTCGACGGGGAAGCTGAACTTGTGCTCTGGGTCATAGTGGCGCGCGAGGTAGGACAGGATGGCGAGGCCCTCAAACACGGCGAAGCCGCCGCGGTTGTGGTCGACAATGGTGGGAATGCGCCCGTTGGGGCTGAGCGCAGTGTACCATGGTTGCTTCTGCGTGTTCTTCATGATGTCGACTGCCTGGACCGTGTACTCTGTGCCATAGGCCTCTTTAAGCTCTTCCAGGAGGATTGAGATCTTGTGGCCATTGGGCGTTCCTGGGGTGCTATTGTGAGTAAACCATGAACGGAGAGCAACTTAGGTACCGAGCTAAGGCTCACCCCATGTCAAGAGCTCGATGCCGGATGTGGTGATGAGACCCGTAGGCTCAGCCATTTCGCTTGATGGTGTTTGGTTTGGCTTGGTGGAGGACGACAGTGTTCTCGAATGGATGCGTATTGAAAGCGGGAGGGGCACGGAGCGAGATGGAGCAACCTTGAGGGGTGGCCTGGTGTGCGAGCACTGGTTAGATATAGGGGGAGCTGCCCAGTTGCTAATGCCGTGTCTGCCCAGATAGCTGTTCCTTCGGCTCGTTCGGAGGTAGGCGAGATGTCTGATACTATTACTGATGCATAGTTCCGTGGTTGGAAACACCGTCCTCCGACTCGCCAGGTAGAAGGGTAAATATTGCGCAGATGATGGCATCCTGCCCCTGATTCCCTCGGAAGTGGATCGGATGACGCAATTGTCTTCTTCCCCCACTTTCGACACTCCCTGTTAAGATGAGTGCTTGTCCAGATGCCTTATTAACTCAATGCCCTGTGTAGCCGTGTGGCTATCTGAGTATCTGTGATGCTCGTTTTCAGTGTGGTTGCATTTAGCTCGCGGGCCGAACCATGTCCTGATTTGTAATTCAAGCTTTGAAGCCTGTACTGTACTTGTACAGTTACAGTAATGAGCGATGTACCCCCCAACAGCAAAGTTTAGCGCTTTGTGGCGGCTTCGCGTGCGGGAAAATCAACTCCCTGTGGCCTGTGGGTACTGTAAGTACTGTATGTACATACCTTACATATCTTACAGAGGCAGACAAGCTGACAAATTGAACAGTTTTCACAGGAGATATGGTTACGAATCGAGCAATACCCTGAACTGCCCATGAATAGGTAATAATTCAAATACTTTGCAGCGTAAGGTAGTAATAGCTTGCGGGAAGGGGGTTTCTGCAGTATTCCACGTCGTTCCGGTTGACTAAGTTCCTGTTATACCTTACCTAAGGTAGCGGGATTCCTGTGTGGATGGCTATCATAGCATAGGGGGTTGTATCATAGCCTGAAAAGTCTTGACCGCCCTGCAAACTATCATCGCACCTCAACTAGCATAGCATCTCCGGAAAACCTTTTCCCCAAAAAGGTCCGACTTACTCAAGTAGCTTGTACTTGAATAAGTCAATCTTCCTGAGAAACTGAGGGCTTACCTTACCTTAGGTAGGTACGTTGCAAGAAAAGAAGGACCTACCTACCTACCTAAGCTCAGTAAGCAGGAGCCATTGGTAGTATTAATGAGGCTTATTCCCTCGTCTACGCCCTGGCTTCAGGAAGCTAACATGAACCTTTCCATCATTGTACTGTACATACATACACCTATAAGTATTTTGTCCGCAGACTCATCAAAGGTGCTATCGCTAGATCTTCCTTGTTCGCATCCCGGATGTATTAGCAAAGAGCATGGTAATGGTGCCAGTAATACCAGTGCCTAAGGTACATAGTTATAATTGACTAAAGTTGAACTGGAGAAGCCACGGACGCTTCAGACAAGGCTCAGGCTGGCTGTATCACCAGGGAGTGCAACGATGCCTCATATGTATATGGGAAAAGGGGTACTATGGAATTCCGGCCTGTCCCCTAACGTGCAAGTTCGGTGCGGGCATGGGGATCAGTGCCAATATAATAGAAAATAATGAAGCCCAGCCAGAAGGAAGGGATAGCCGGAAACACAATGGGGACGTTGGAGGACAACTCGGAGGATGGATATGTGCACCATGGCTTGGATCATACTTCAAGTTGTGTTGCTCAATGTTAGTCTACTAGTATTACTAGTACTCCTTATTCGTCCATCGGGTATTATGATGGATACCATCTCATGTGCAGTGTATACCGTGAATATGAGGTGCCATCGCCTAAGGTAGTATAAGGGGTCTTGAGTTACCACGTTCTGGCGGCTGTGTCGACGACCAGCGGTCGCAATACCACATAGCACAACACAGAAATGCTACTCAGTTTATAGTCATTTGACCTGCTGTTCAACCGCAATGGACAGGACTCACAATGTGCTCCAATTGCACGCTATATATATTCATGTTGTTCGATTTGACCAACGCCAATCGCTGACTCCAGTCGGAACTCCATCTCACCGAAGTTGATGCACAAGACAATCGTATCATCAGATTTCTCATGGCCCAGACTTCTGCAGTGCACTTGATAACAAATCCCTCAACGGCACCGCCCCAATATGGTTTGTCAGAGGTTGGGGCCAGGTGTCGGGCTTGGGGTCTTACATGGACAATGATCGATCTATAAGAGGAGGTAATGGTACCTTGTCCCATCGCCAGACTTAAAGGACCGAGCCCAGTCTCAGAAACGGATACCATCCTGCCCTGGATTGCCAAGATTGTCTGCAAATTGATCACCATGGGGCTCTTCATTCGCCAGATTGTTGTCTTCACAGCATTTTTCGCTCCAATCTTTGCCTCGGCTACTTCTGATCCAGGCCAGGTCATCCCTCTGGCTCCCCCAGCCGTGAACCAAACCATCCAGGGCCGTGGGAAATATACCCCCGGCAACGTAGGTCCCTCTTTGTTGATCTCTGATGCAACTCGGGTTCAGTCGAGTGATAGTCGCTTCTCTAACAAGCGCAATACAGGTTCAAATCTGCGTCGGCTCTAATTGGGCGCACCCTTGCGCTGCCTACGCTCTCGGCGTCAAAGGTGTATGTTGGGCTATTCCAAAGCCTTACAAGGCGAATGTTGGATCCATCATCCCTGATCCGGGTGCCATATGCTACCTTTAGTGAGTTTCCCTCTTACATCCCAGAACAAGCCAACATAAGTAAGGTCCCTGCTAGGACTGACATGACCTCTCTTCCACCCAAACAGTGACGAAGATGACGCTGGTTGCACCGGAAAAGGCATAGACATCGTGTGGTACCCTGGGACCGCCAACCTTCACTACCCACCGGATTACCCAGGATACAAGGCTGCTTACTGGAAGTGCGAGAAAGCCTCCAACTGCTTGCCAACATCATGTGAGGGCTGCAGACATGAAGATTGATGTCCGCGGGTATGATGTAAGGACTGGAGGGATACATCTGGTACGGGACGGGGTAACTGAGGGCGATTTGGATGCCTAAGAGATGCCATCTCCTATTCAGGTAGATTCGTATGCTAGTAATGTGAGACATGCAGTTTGGAGCGAGCAATTGAAAAAATCCCTCCTCCGTTCCCCCACTCGGCCCGGAATCCAGGGCGTCGGCATGGCGCCATTCTGTGTGACATGCAGCGCAGGGATACGCTCGGACGCTAGGGGGTAGCGGATTGACAAGACGGCGGCCCGCAGCAAGACAGATCTTGATCGCCGATGACAGGGAAAGCCAAGGGATTGGCAGCACATCCTGTTCTGTTTGCAGATGGGCTAACGCAGGGAGAAGCGATCAAAGAGTCAAGGGATAGCGTGATAGCGTTGGTCGAATTTCGGAACAAGTGAGGGAAGATCCAACCAAAATTCAAGATCCAGTCGGCCGGGAGGGAGAGTACCGTAGATGCAAGGGGTCAAGACAAATGGCACGCTGCTTGTATGCGGCGAGGGCCTTGTTCAGCTGCGTTTGGACGACACGCTAACGTCAATTGTATGATACCCGACCAGGCCGCGGCTGGCTCACCCCTCATGGCAGATGTCAACCCAAACGGGAACATGTATGCCGCACTCTTCAGCGGCCTCAACTTCTAAGGGATGATGAGATGCTCCGTTATTAGTTGCTCGTTTGGCTCTCAGATAACGCTTTGGCTAAAGTGTTACATTACATGTATTTGTACCTAAGGTATGCACGCAAGAACTGACTGGCATCTCAAAACACTCCCTGTCCAGGGCGCACCCTCCATGAGGCATGTGTCCGCCCGGATCAGCACGCGGAGCGGGTGTCAGCCATGGGATGACCAATTCATGTCCGGCATGGCGGGCTCCGCGAACTCATCACTTGCAGCCCTCCGAGTCTACAGCACTAAGCACGATTCGATCCAGTCCCCAATGTTCCCCGGTTACTGTGTACAGTACTTGGAATTTCCGACGGACTGACTGTCATATATCCATTGCCCTCCTGCCAGACCAGGTCACCAGGGGGATCCGTTCTGTTTCCCATCCATCTGTGTTATGCCAGTTCTCACCGCGCATCGACATTGTCCTCCTTCACCATGCGCTTCACCTTTCCCTCGTGGTTAAGCTGGTACAAAAAGCCCGAATACCGGGACTTTAAGGAGTATGCCAACAACGTGAGCTCCGGGAAGCGGTCTCTGAGCCCTGATGGACGTAAGAGCGCCATTCCAAGCCGGCTTCGCCTGGACCGGATACTGGCAAACAAGACATGTAAGCGCCGTTGCCCTTGTCTTGCTTTTCACATGATTTGTTAGTCTCAGCAACAGGCCTTGCTAACTCAGCTTGGATCCAGGCAGCCCAATGTCCCTGTACGATTTCTACATGTACCTACAGTATATCGAGTTCTCTGCTGAAAACCTCGAGTTCTATATCTGGTGAGCTCTTTTGGGATCCGCACTCCGGAATGCCATCGAACCCAAGCTGACAGTTGCTGCCATAGGTTCAAAAGCTACGAGGCCGCCTACGCCAAGGGCCTGACCGGCATCAACGACAAGGGATATGGATATGGCTCGCTGCCGAGTGCGGCTGCATCCGCGTCTTCGGTCGTCCCAATCAAATGCGAAGACAGCCAGGAAGTTGACGATGATGACGACTATACCGAGGTTGAAGCCGGAACCAGTAAGGCAACACTACTCTATCCCTTCTCCCCGTACCGCTTTCACTTCAAGACGATTTCTGACATCCCCTTTCCATATCTGTCAGGCAACGAAGCCCTCGAGCACCTCTCGCAACTCATCTCCACCTCGGCCGTCTGCACCACCAAGGGGTGCACCCCCTTCTCCATGTCCCTCCCGCAGTCGCTCACCACAGCCACCCTGAACCCCACGCCCAAACCCCCCACCACAGCGTCCACCGCACCACCCCCTTCTACAACTTCCAAAAAACCCAAAGGAAAACCCGACCCTCTCTACGACCTAACCACCATCACCTCCATCTTCCTCCTCCCGTCCTCCCCAAAAGAGCTCAACATCCCCCCTGCGCTTCGCGACCAAGCTCTCGCCGCACTATCATCCGGCACAACCCACCCGGACGCGCTCAAACCCGTCGCAGACCACGTGTACTCGCTGATGCGCAACTGCTCGCACCGGAATTTCGTGCGGCTCGGCGTCGGCAACGGCACGTTCGAGACGGTGTGCGTGGCGACGCTTTTGGGGTGCGTCAGTCTTTTTGCTGGCTTCCTGCTTGTTCTCATGCGCGGGTTTGTGCCCTTCCGCGGGAGCCAATCGCGCTGGGAGGTCTGGGCGGCTTGGCCGCTTTGGTGGATGGGTGTGAGTCTCGTGCTGAGCGGGTTGAGGGGGAGTTGCTTCTTTTTGCTGCTTTTTGGGCGGAGGCAGAGGTTGCCTTGGGAGAGGATTGAGGAAGGGGGTGATGATCATGGTGGTGGTGGTGGTGAGGGGAAGGGAGGAAGTGGGATGGCAGAGAATAGGCAGCGGAAGGGGTTCAGCCTGCGCAGGGCTCTGGGTAGATTGATGATCTTTGATCGCAGGCTTCAGGTCAAGGAGAAGCACCTCCGCAGGCTTCAGAGGAAGATTGTACTTCAGAGTTTGGCCGGGGGAGGTGTATTTGCTACGCTTGGCGTGGTCTTGTTTGTTTTCTTGCCAATCTGGAAGGAGACGGTCTAAAGGGCAGGTGAGAAAGGGGCTGGTCTACATGTAAGTGGGCGTGCTCATGGGTTGATCCCTTGATTTTGCCCGATCTCTTGATGCCCGAGTCTGCTTGAACTCTGGTGCTCTGAGTGAGTGCACTGATGACTTTCCAAGTTAGCTTGCAATGGACAAAAAGGAAGCACTGAACAGTGAGCAGGTTCCAGGTTATACAGGACCTATGCAGTTCCAGGTACCTAGGTGGTAGTCAAGTACTTAGTAACCGGGTGGGAATACGGTCATTTACGACGCAGAAGGTACTAAGGCACCCAGCTGATTTGAGCGAAAGGTTGTAACATAGGTACATTCAGGGACTGTTTGAACGGTTGGGCGAAGGGAAGCTACCTTACCTACATTTGACTAGGAAGTACCTAGGGTATTGTACCTTATCTTATGTGTAAGATAACCGCCGTGCTAGTCCATTGATGCCTAACCCCGATTCTCAGGTACCTACCTACCTAGGGTCAAGTGCGATAGTACATACATAAGGTAGGGTAAGGTAGGCGGGGTAGCTTGAACCCGATTCAGCAGCCTGGGGATCCAGAAAACGATGACCACTGAGTCACTGACTGTCCATTGTCCGGTGCCGATCGATTTTCAGACCTATTTCCCTCTGCTAAACGTGACCATCACCGTCTAACACCCTAACTTGGGAAGGCTTCACTAGGCTCATCTTCCCTGTGCCCGGGACCGCGTCTGTGGTTAGCAAAATGGACCCGCGTGGAATAATATCGTCTTGGAAGAAGTGGTATGGTGCCCATAAGCGGTTGTTTCGCGCTTAACAGACTAACAGACAACGGTAGGACATTTTGGCATCACACAGGCGACGATCCAACCAAAGTTTCAGTTGAAGCGAGAAATGAAACCGGGGAATCATCATGTTCGCCAGCGTCACCAGAGCAGGGAGGTTGGAAAGCCCTCACTCGCCCACAGCACATCCCTTTGGCGGAGAGTACCGGCTTGTTAGAATTCTCGGCCGCCTCGCTGCTGGGGTCAGTGGCATCATGTAGAATGTGCGTGACGAGGGACTTTGGACAGCCTGAACTGCTAGGCAATTTGACCGCGTGTGCGGAGAAAGGCTGTGCTGCATGCCGTCTACGGAACCTCGGTATTCTCAAAGCCCTAAGGCAGAGAGACCGACGCGTCTCGGACCCGGAACCACCTGCTTTCGTTAGGCTTGCTGGTCCTGCTATAGGACTCGGCCCGGAAGCCTATGACTCGAACCGGATCTTTCTATATTCAAGACCCGGCGAGGGCACCTTTGTTTGTCCTATTGTTGGTAGGGGTCAGGAGGTTGCTCCTCGGAGGGCATCTCACATCTCCGTTCTTAAGGAGTGGCTGAAAAGATGCCATGAGAACCACCCGGCTTGTGTCACGAATCTTGAAGTTCCTCTGCCAACACGCGTCCTTTCCATTGGCAATGAAGATTCGGACCGGGTGCGGCTGGAAGTAGCACGAGATCGAACGGGCTGCTACACAGCTCTCAGTCACTGTTGGGGTGGCGGCATTGAAATACGGACAATCAGGGATAACGTCGAGTCGCGTGAAAAGGGATTGCCGTATTCCCTCCTTCCCAAGTCGTTTCAGGATGCCGTCACCGTTACCAGGCATCTTGGCCTGAAGTACCTCTGGATCGACGCTCTTTGTATCGTTCAAGATGATCAGGACGATTGGGAAAGGGAGTCTGGAAACATGGCTGCCGTCTACCAGAATGCATATCTTGTGCTTGGCGCAGATATGTCGCCTAACTCACACGGCGGATTTCTGGATGTTGGACCCGGTGGCTACCACGGTGCAGGAACGCCAGTCGCTGTCGTCGAGTCCACAACAGTATACGCCCGGTCAGGAGGCCCGCCTTCCCTCTGGAGCTCCCCACATCCTGTCGCTGACGAGCCACTGTCGAAGAGAGCTTGGACGCTACAAGAGCAGTTACTGGCGCCGAAGATGGTGCATTTCACCTCGAAAGAGATGGTATGGGAATGCAACTCGGGCGAGTTCTGTGAGTGCATGGATATGGACCATGCAGGCGAAATTCCATACCCGCGGCTCTCGATTCGCGACATCCGCCTATCACTGTCCTTCACATCAACTCCGGACAAGTTCAAATTATGGTACGAAATTGTGAATCAAGTCACAAAACGAGACATCACAATGCCTGAGGACCTACTACCCTGTCTCTCCGGGCTAGCCAAAAAGTTTCAGGACAGCGGCGCTGGTGTCTACCTTGCCGGTCTGTGGCTTGACGACGTGCAGCTAGGGCTGCTATGGCGTCCAGAGCGTCCCGGCGTTCCCCAAACTAGCCTACGCGCAACCCCGTACCGAGGGCCAACATGGTCTTGGACGTCTATCGCCAACCCAAAAGCACCGTACTATGATATTACTACAAAACTCGACCGCAAGTTAACAAAGGTCTATGCCAAAGTCGTTAAGGCGGAGTGCACTCCAAAGGGGAAAGATCCTCTGGGAGCGGTGTCAGGAGGCTACCTTGAAGTGGTGGCGCCGCTGTTAGAAGTTCCACCCTTCCTTAGTGTACCCGGGATTTCGACGTTCGATTTCCATTTTACCCGAAAGCAGGGAGAGAAGCAGTTCATCTTGATCATTGGGGAACTAACACTCGGGAAAGTAGAGGGCCTAATCCTACGGCACCGGCCGGATGTTTCCAAGAACACATATGAAAGGGTGGGGCGTTATCAGTCCAAACAATATCCCCTCCCACATGAGAGAGAATTGGTTCAGGGCGGATGGAAATACAGCAGAGTCTTGCTTATCTAGTCTCTAATATGGATTTCAGCCATTGTGGGTATTAGCAAGGCGTTGGGAACTATTGCAACACACGGAGAACATGAGAATGGTGGATAGTAGTAAGATAAGCTCCCTGGAGATGGTGGGAGCATAAGCAGGTATAGAAAAGGTAGCGATATTGAGCCTCGAGGTAACAAAAGGAAGATAGGAGTTTAAGAAGACTAGGTATGTTATATATATATAAAAGAGAGCTTGCTACAGTTAAGGGATCTTTCACAGGGGTCAAGAGGGCCCTACTACTGACAGGGCCTAGAACACAACAAGAACATATTAGTGCGATCCTAGTATAGAACTGTAACCTCGATACTGGATTATTCCGAGTCCCTAATTGCTTACAGTCTGGTACTGAGCAGTAAGGTTAGTGATCTTGTATGTCTTGTACACTTGTCGGTTACAGGGACAGATTAGAAAGTTACGGTCTTTAGCTCATGATACATACCCCAATTCAATGCTCGCACTATGACGTCCGATAGGAGAGATCGGAATTCAAGTGCTGAGGGCAGTGTTATGATTGGAAAGAGGTAAATTTATATCATTCGGGCTGACATGGAAGAAATAGGGGCTGTCTCACTGAGCCTTAAGGTTATCTAAGCCTGGCTTTCCATTATGGGCTTTCGATGATAGTACACACTGCAAGTACTAAGGACAGTGGATATTGACAGGCTTTGCACGCCAAATACCAATAACGGTTAAAGTATAGGTAATAGCTCCTGCCGTAACCCTCAGCCTGGGGCAGCAGGACTCAGTAAGGACTCAGTAGAGTCAGGGTCCGACTCAGGGGTCATGGACGAATGATACCAGAGAATCTCCCAAACGGGAAAGTCAGTTAGCCTTCAGAAACCTTTCAAATGGTCCGTATCACCGCCCATCCTACGTGTCGTAGTCGCCCAGTGATACCCACAGTCCGATAATTCCGATCCCTTTTCCATCCATCGTACAAATACAGATACCATCCATGATCCGTACTCCCCACCTCAAACCGTATCAGCCACCAGCCAAGAGGACAAGTCTACCTCTTCTCCCCCTTCACCCCACCCCTCTCAACATCCAAATCACTATCCAGCGCCGGCAATTCCACCTCATCACCCTTTCCCCACCCGCCCGGGCCCGGCAACGGCACCTCCGGTCCATTCGCCCTCAACATCATCATATCATGCACCTCCCCATCCGGCAACTCAGCCACACCCCCATTCCTCGCCAGCATCGACCGCGACTGCGACCGGCCATCAATCTCCTTGGGACTCGGCGGCGGATCCATAGTTATAGTCTCACTATTGGCGAACGGCGCATTAGGATCAGGAGCAAACGCCCCCGCAGCGGCGCCCGCATGTGCACGCGCCCACGCGGCAATGGCCGCCGCCGCGGTGCCCCCGGGCCCGCCACCAGCACCACCAGCACCACCAAGTCCCGCGAGACCTGCCGGCGGCCAGGCGGCGTTCGGATCCGTCGGCGGCCAGTTTCCGTCGTCGCTGGGCGGGCCCACCGTCGTGTCCACCCGCCCAAACGAGTCCCTTCTCCCTCGGGCTGCGGTCTGGCGGGATGGGGTTTCCCGCCTGCGGCCGCGGCGGCGACCGCGCCGGCCGTGGATGCCAGCGGGGTTCTTTTCGTCCAAGTCTTCGCTGCGGCGGTCGTCGTTTTCGTCGTGGTTGTTGCTGTCGCGTGTGCGGAAGTTAATGGGCCCGCGGCGTTGGAAGAGGAGGTAGCATATTGTCACCAGCGCGAGGAGGATGGGCAGGCCCAGTCCCAGGCCGATGCCCAGGCCTAGTCGGAGGGTGGCTGCGGAGCTGTCTGAGGAGCTGCTGGTGGTCCTTAGCGGAAGGTCTGCCGGCACGCGGATGACGGTGCCCTGCGGAATGTATTGTCCCAGAGATGAAGAGCAGCATGAGGCGGCGTCTGGCCCACAGCAGAACTTGAAATTGGCAGCGTTGCTCGCCGCGCTTCCCGGGCAGGGGACCAATGGGACGTTGTTGGCTGGTAGGTTTGTATCTGGGTGGTTAAGTTCATGTTAGTGGCGGCAGTGTGACTAACATCACGGTGAGGGTTCCATCATGATCCGTACCGCTCGGGGCTGGGCAAAACTGTTGACATCCTTCGCCCCAGTCCTTGTCTGTGCATCCCTGTTGTGTCATGAGATTGTTGGACGCTGGACTCAGACACAGGCCGTTAGACAAGCAAAAGTCGCTCTTGTTGCAACACCATGTTGTCGCGCTCAAGTCTGTCGCGTCGGGCCCATAGCACGGCTGCTGGTTTGCATCTTCGTTCCCCCGTATGTCGTAGCACGTCGGGTCTGCTCGAGCGCCGGGAAGTAACCCGCCGGCACAGGCTAAGAGTGAGAGCAAGGCTCTCGCCGTCGACCATGTCCTCCGTGGTTCCATCATGGCCTCCGCTAGGGTTGGTCTAGAGGTGACAGATGGAAATGACAGCAGGACCTCAGAGGGAAATTCTGGGCGGATATTATGATCCTCGCCGATTGGGGGCCATGAGGCAGGCAATTAAGGTTCCTGTCTTAGCAATCCTGTTCTTGCGAGCCGGGCTGCTAATAAGTAAGAGGCAACATGATGGAATGGACGGCACAGCACTGTACCTTACCTTTCGTGTGTTGTTTCGATGCTCGGTTCCTGCGGCACAGCACCTTTCCCACCGGAGAATGCAACCCCCCTCAAAGCACAAGGGCCAACCATCACATGTGCTCCGTTTGCATGATGCAGCGGATTGGGATTAATCAACTATGGAAGCCGATAGCTACATCCCGTCCGTTCACGCCAATTTGCACCAGACTTGCGCAAACCCCATTATAGATTTACACCCGGTGCACCACTTCGTAACTAGTTTTACTGCATTCCACCACCCATTACAAGCCATATTGTCTTACTTTTATACTTGTAACTATAGAAACGTTGTAAGACCCCAACCACTCTAGCTCGCAAGGCACTACAATTGCGTAAGACACTGCAATTCGCAAGGCACTGCAATTCGCAAGGTACTGTAACTGCGTAAGGTACTGCAATTATATAAGGTACTGCAATTCGCAAGGCACTGCAATTGCGCATGGCACTGTAACTGCGTAAGGTACTGGGTTAGGGTTATGGTTGCGGTCTCAGGGTTAGGGTATTTTAGTACCTTACAAGTCGAGCAAGGTAGGGCCTTGCGCAATTGCAGTGCCTCGCGAATTGCAGTACCTTATATAATTGCAGTACCTTACGCAGTTACAGTGCCTTGCGCAATTGCAGTGCCTTGCGAATTGTAGTGTCTTGCAAGCCAAGTACTACAGTTAACTGCTTAGTTGCAAGCCCTAGTATTGTGTGGATTCTGTAAACCACGCCAGGGTGGGCCTACGAAGGCTTACACAGGTGCGGTGCAAATTGGCCCGAGCGGACGGTATGTACGTATCGGCCACCATATTAACACGATCGCTGCCAACACGTATAGATAGGAAAAGTCGTGTAAGTACCTACTGTATGAACATGGCATAAGAATGAACTGCTCCTATTATCGTTATGGCAATATTCACAACCCAAAAGTACGCGGGGAGGTATGTAAGCTCGGTAAGTTCAGGTGGATACCTAGAGTTGCGCCCCTGAGAAGCGTCAGCATACTTCGTACATACTGTATGCTAGAAGACCTGCTTTATGTAGGTAGGTACCTACCTTACCTAGCGATGGACATCCAACTGGATTACAACCGAATACTGACGTCGCTCCTTCTCCTCTCCTATCTTCCCGGGTCGCAGTTTGTTCACACCTGCACCTGCAATGATGGTACTAATCTTGCACCATCTATGGGTCCACTGGTCCAGACGCCTCAAGAGCTTCCATGATCCAAGACTCCAGGTCTAAAGCATCGCTCAGTGGTTCCTGAAGTGGATTATCAAGAACGCCCTGGTCGGTAGGTAGGAGTACTATCAGTGAATGTTCTGTTTATGATGGACGGGAGCGGACCTGAGCCACAGCAAGGGATGTCATGTCTTACCCAGTCAACGTACGGCGTCTCGCCATATATCATGCCAGTGGGTATCTGCGTATTTGGAGGCAATCGGGCTTCGACCACTCCGCTGTACGAACCAGGTGTAGGATGGTGTAGCCCATGTCTGGGGGTCCCCGGCCGTAACTTTACACCATCCGCTACCATGCGGACCGTAGAGGATATCGCCTCGGAAGCAACACGGGCCTCGGCAGAGGAGTCACTAGCCCCCGCAAAAATTCTTTGGCTCTGTTGAAGCAGTTGGAAATACCTTGCAAACTCGGGATCCTCGACCATGAGATTCGGTCCTTTCCCCGCACTACTAGTACAGAGGCTCGGCCGCTGCGTTCGAATAGTCAGCTCCAAACATAGGACCATAGCAGCCAGGATGAAGTCGTTGGTCGTGAGCGCCGACACCATCCATTTTTGGTCGTAGAGCTGGCAGCCTGGTTGCGTTGCTTCATGTAGTTCCACTTGTCGACTAAGAACCGACTCGACTGCCTGTAAGCATGCGGACCTGGAGGTATTGAAGAGCGGGTTCTCTCGACAAGCTGTGATGTATTGCCGATGCAGGACGATGATGCTTTTGAGATGGAGTATTTCAATTGTAGTTCGGTCCATAATAATGCCGGGACTGTCGACTATCGACTGACTGATAGGTACGTACTTGAGAGCTGGGGGGATGTTGGAGTATGCATTTCTCAGCTGCTCGTCGAGGGCCAATGTCTGGTCGTAAGGGGGCGAGGCTAAGGACCGGGTATGGCTGACGACAGCTCTAAACATTGACATGACCGAAGCCTTCGCGATTGTATACAGTACCGGAGTGCAGTCTGTCACAGGACGTGCTTCGGGCAACACGACCGTCTCTGGGCAAAAGTCCGAATTCTCCAGATTCCGAGGCAATTCCACGTCGCAACAGTCAACCGGTATCATGCTGGGATGTCCCATCTGAAACGACATCAGAGTGTCTATTTGGAAGATGGTGGCCTTCTCCCCGTTAGTATAAAGAACCTTATCAGGCAACGGAAAGCACCTGCGGTTTGAGATATTAAAAAAAAAAGAGGGACGTACCCAGACACGACGCCGCATCTCGGACTCGAATGGCGAGAACTCTGCTTTCGGCAGCTTGGCCGGATCACGGTGGTACCCCATCTTCAAAGCCAATCTAATAATAACCCCCATGAACAACCAGAGGTTAAGGTCTGAGTCCTTGGATCTTATATAGCAGCTTTGAAGATGGACCAGCAAGACTTCCAGACAGTGCTCGCGCGCGCGGGCATATCCCCCAAATACAAGGCACTGTTCGGTGGCCCGAGAGAGTAACTTGGCTGAGGGTATCGGCTCCGCTGCCCCATGAGATGTGCCTGACAGCTCCGACATGCTCTTAGCCAAGCTTAGGATGGCAAAGAGTAGAGCAATCCATATGGGTGAAGCAGATTGCGGTGCCTCCCAGAACGACACGTACTGGTGGTCATTTGAGCTGTTGTTAGTTGTCTGGATAGCTATCTCTTGTCGGGGAGTGACACTTACATCTCGCTGGAACTTGACGGGGTGTACAATAGCTACCATGACAAAAATGCACTTAATAACCCGACCCCAACCTTGGTTCCACTAACATATGGCCCGATATCGGACATGTGAGACTCACGCAGAAGGGCGTGCCTTGCCCTGAAATAGTGAGAGACTAGTCTATCACAAGCGCTCCTCGATGGCAGATTTTCAAGGATTTGGGTTATGTCTAACGGCCCAATGGCGCCAAAGACGAGATCGGAGTTTGGCGTTCCCTCAGCGCTGTTCCCTTCAGCATTGACAGACGGATTTGATGATATCCACGTCTCCTCGTCGATACTGGTGTGAGAGGGGGAAAGCTCGTCTCGAATATGCCGGATATCTTCCAGAAGGGACGACCAATGGCTGGGGTCCACGTAGAACCCCTTTTGACTCCTAGTCTGAGGGATTACGTGGGTATTAGCTTGCGATGGGGGGCCTCCTCTTTGCACCGAGGCGACGGTCGGGACAGCAGGGCCGGGTATGGTGAGCAGAAGCGAGTCGTTCGTTGGTTGTATGTCCACATTAGTAGTCGACTGACCTTGTCCTGCCAGTGGTGGAGGTACTACCGTGGAACCCTGGTGACCATGCACTTCTCCTAGAGCGACTACCATGTTCTCCAAATTCCTCAGGCGCTCTATCACAGTCACCTTATTCGTAGCCCGTGGGTTGCTCCTGTCGGCATTGGAAGCATATTGGCACGATGATGACTTGCCTCTTCTGACACAAGTGTCGCAAGGTAACGTCCTATTGCACTTCATCCTGACATTTGGACTTAGTTGACTCGACTCAATCATGCTCCCTAATAAGCAAGTCCAGGACAACTAGGTTAAGGACAGAGACTGGTAAACTCACTTGCGAAGCCGACAGGGGTCGCATGACTTGGGCGGTCTGTTCCGCTTCTCCACCTTAAGGTTGTCGTCCCTCATCCTGTCACCTCGTTAGATAGTTGCTTGTCGAGACTTGGTGACAAAGAAAGAAAAAAAGGGTTCTGGAAATGCAGTCGTGTACGAAGTAGCGTGTGTTCTTAACATGAAGTGTCAGGACTCAGGAGCCAGGAGAATGTGTCGGGTTCCGCGGGTGGAACAGACCCCTGGGCCCGGGCCCAGACGCGGGCGGCGGGTCGCGGATTTAATAACTCCGCTTTCAGCAACACCATGCCCGCCACTAAGATCGTGGCCCACAAGCTGACGATCTCAAGCCTCTTCCTTAGTTCTACACAGTATTCGGAGACGGCAACATTATGTCCGAGTCAAAGACGTACCGCCCACAGCGCTCGGGATCTCGCCTGAGTAAGTCCTCGAGGGGATATAAAGAAGACCAGGTCCAGAGTTCGGAAGCCTCTCTTCATGTTCGCCTGCATCTTCAACCAACACCTGTCCCCAAACCCCTCGGAAATAACATAGCGACCACGGAACTCTAAACGGCTATTGCAACCATCATGGCGGTCCTATCAGCCCTTTACGGTGTTAGCTCGACCATCTTCTCCAATCTGTTCATCAAGCTTCCGGTTCCTCAGAGCACCCCAGACTTGGCGGAGCAGACGATCGTGGTCACGGGTTCCAACACGGGTCTAGGATTGGAGGCCAGCCGGCATCTCCTCCGCCTGGGAGTGGGAAAGCTTATCATGGCCGTCCGGGACCTGAAGAAAGGCGAAAAGGCCCGGGCGGAACTCCTAGAGTCCACCAAGCGACTCCCGGACTCGGTCGAGGTTTGGCATCTAGACATGGAGAACCATGACTCGATCAAGAGCTTTGCCCATCGTGCCAATACCGAGCTGCCACGCCTCGACGCCGTGCTTGCCAACGCCGGCATCCTGGCGGGCAAGTTCACGCTCTCGAACGGCATCGAGAAGACCATAGCAGTCAACGTCGTCTCGACCTATCTTCTCTTCCTGCTGCTCCTCCCAAAGCTGCGCCAGGCGCCATCCACAGGACGGTTTGTCATTCCAAACTCGGCATTGCACTACTTGGCGCCCACGAAGGACCTCGAGGTGGCGGCGGGCGGAAAATCCATCTTTGCCCGGCTCAACGACCCGAACAACGTGGACATGGAGGCCCGGTATAGCGTCTCCAAACTTCTCGTCATATACGTCACCCGCGAGTTTGCGTCCATGATGGCCGCATCGGACAAGCCTGCCGTTATCGTGAACACGCCGAACCCCAGCTACTGCAAATCAGGTCTGCTGCGAGAGGCTCCAGGGCCAGCTCCGCCCAGCTTCCTGGCCCGCACCACCGAGATGGGCAGCAGAGCACTGGTGCATGGCCTCCTCGCCGGTCCCGAGAGCAGCGGGCAATATCTGACTAACTGTCATGTGCAGACGTAAGTCCTTGTGCGCGTTGCATATCAGCATACCGAGTACTGACATCATGTCTTTGGGACTTCACTGCAACAGTCCAGCATCGCATGTTACCAACAAGACCGGTGCGCAAATACAGAAGGCCTTCTTCAAAGAGCTAATGAGGGAGCTCGATTCCATCGTGCCTGGTGTTTCGGCAAATTTGTGATTGTACATTGTCTGGTTCTGCGCTGGAGGGAATTGGGTTAGACTTAGGTAATCGAACAACCATGTAAAGTAGTGTATGATCCTTTCAACCTCACCTCTGCGATCAACTGACAGCTCCACCGATCTCTCCATACCATCCCACGGCTCTCACCGGGCTGGCCACTCAGGCTATCCGACCTAGGTATCAATGTCGCTGGAGCTGCCAACAAGTTTACCTTATCAGGCTGCAGCGAACATCAAGGCCAACACCAGCCCATGTGGCCGGATCCGGCGACTGTGCCGCAAGCAGCGCCCCGTGCCTGCATCCTCAATATCGCCAGCGGAGCAAGGGCTGTCCCTCGGTCAGTCCGAAAATTTCTGAGACCAATCGGTGCACACACCGCTGCTGGACCACGTCTGCCGACATAAGTGGGTAACAAGCCGATCATGTCCGGGTCTCACCGCGACTACGAGTGCCGCCGGGAATATTCAATGTTCGAATACGGACCAAAAAGCAAGTCGACGACGGGAATTGAGCCCGACGTGGGGGTCGAACCCACAACCTTGAGATGGAGGAGAATCTTTCCTTAAGAGTCTCACGCTCTACCGATTGAGCTAGCCGGGCCGATGCCGTCTGGCTCTGTGTTGTGAACTGGGATGGTGGAAAAGCAGAATTTGTTTCCCCGTCCTGGAAGCAGATGTGGATTCACAAAAACGATTCTTTGGCGCCGAAGACTTCACCAAGGCGGAGACGGAAGGCCGTCATTACCCGTACCGTACATGTGTGTATCGTACATACATACCCAGCTGTTGGTGCAGGCCCAAATTTTATATGTAAAATTTGGCCTCTCGACTACCCCTCTTAGCAGACCCAAAGGCGTGCATGTATTTACAGTACCGTTACCCAACGTTGGCAACAGAAGCTGGCTCACCGAGACTAGAACCACCCGCCACGAACAGGATGCTGCAGCATAGCAGCACTGTCAGCACTGAATGTAAGGTACATGTTGGCACCTAGCTCAATGTCTTATTAAGGCAGAAATCCAGACATCCAAATTCATGCAGACTCATGAGTAGGGCAATGCCGACTTCCCTTCAACAAAGTCCTGCCAGTTGGATGGGCAAACCCTCGAGCAGGTCTGTATGTCAAGCCCAACACATTCGCTCTGACCGAGATGGGCCCAGCCGACCACTGGTAGCGACGGGCCTTCCTTCCACTTAGGTGAACTCATCAATTGCATTCATGAGCACGATAGGTAGCTACATTGAACTACTTCTCAAAGTCAATGTTCAAACTGCATGCAACCCGCTCACCGTATAATGTTCGCAGGTCGGGGCACGACCTGGACAACACCAATTATTAAGAGAATAACTGAATCGTCATGCATGTCTAATTTGGAATAATCCTTCGAACCTCAGCTGCCAGTAATCAATACTCATTGTATACCTCACAAACCCGCTTTCCATCATGCTAAGTACTGTACCGCCATCACTCAACACACAAACGGGTATTTCTGCTTCCGCCTTAACACACGCTCGGAATAACATCGCAATCTAAACAAGGACAAACTCTTTCCGCTCTAGATAAACCCCAGCATAAAACCAGTCATTCCCCCCCCTCTTGCCACGCTGAACGCGAAGGTCATGAAACAGCTCGGCCCCTACGCTTCGGAGCCGGCGTCCCGTTGACGCTCATGCCCAGCTTAGCAATCTTGGACCGCCTGGTCGCCATGCCTGTTCCCGTTCCATTTCCCTTAGTCGTCGAAGCGGTCGTCGTACCCGCCACCACCAATGACGAGCCAGACGCAACAGGAGTTGTCCCTGCCACAGGAGCAGAAGAAGGAGCAGGAGCAGGCGCCAGCCTAGGCAGCGCCCGCGTCCTAGACGGGCCCGTCGAACCAGCCTGAGACAAACCTGGCTTCTCGCCCTTAGCGCTCTTACCGCCCACCAGTTTCATGACCGGCGTCGGAGCTTGCAACCTAGACGACCTCCGCGCGGCACTGGCCCCGCCAGCCGTCCGTTTTGACGACAGCGCCCCGGACCCTGAGCCTGACCCGGCCGGGGGAACAACCACCGCCTTCTTCACCACCACGGGCTTTCCCTCGCTCTTCACGAGATCAAGAGGCTCCGCCTCGGCAATTTCATCCACCTCCATACCAGGCCGGCCCGTGTCCTCTCCGCTCAGAGACCCTAAATCCCTCAAGAACTCACCAGCCAGAACCTTCCCCCCGGCCCCGGTATCATCCTCTTCACCGCCCTGGTGAAAAGTAACCAACTCCTCCGCCCAGCGCACCCTAATTTCCCTTTTAGCCTTACCCTCCCGCTCCTTGGCCTCACGGGCTTCAAAAACCCCCTTAAGCTCCCTCATGCGCCACCCGGGATCCTCCGCCAGCTGGGCGAGCACCATCTGAGGGGGCACCGCGCCGGCCTTGTTCTTCCTCGTGTTGACCCTCGTGACGGTAGCGAGGTCCTTTTCCTCGCTTCGCTGCTGCCTTGCCCTGGCACTGGCGGCCAGATGGGCCTCGAGCGCAGCCTCATCATCCAGAGTGCCCATCATTCCCGGGAAACGCAAGGGCATCATGGAGAAGGCGATGGAGTTTGCGGAGGGCGCCGAAGGGCGCAAAGCTACACGGGTGTTGCGGGTGACGAGGCGGGCGCTGGTGCGGGTCGATCGCCGCCGCGGGGGGTTATTCTCGGGTTCTGGGGAAAGGGCAGGGGTTGGTTCCGCAAGCACAGGGTCCAGGCGGCGACGCCGGCGCTTGATGAGCCGCGGGCCGTCGCTTTCTTTGTTGTTCCTCGGCGCCGGGTCCTCCTCAGTGGGGTTGGCACGGTCGTGATTTTTGCTGGGGAAATCGAGCAACTCCTCGAGCTTACGCTTCTTGGCAGGGCTCGGGCTGTTGGTGCTCTTCTCGACCAAGGGTATACGACCAGGAGGAGTGTCTGGGTCGGATTTGGGTATGGGAATGGGAGAGCCGGATGAAGAGGTCACAGAGAAAGATGGACGCGACCGACGTATCGGGCGGCCGGGCTCGCTCGCTATCGCTGCGGCCTCCACGGCAGCTGCCGCGGCTTTGGCGTTCTTATCGGCTGTGACCCGTGTGACAAAGTTCCTCAGCATTTCCGTTTCCGAATCGTCGTGGTTGACACGGAGTTGCAGAGTGTCGTTCTCGACATGAGGGACACCTTCAACCATCAAGGTGAAGTCTTCGTCGGCAGTGATAAGATCATCATCCGTGTCGACGAGTGCTTCCTCCTCGGTTATCTCATCCGCGTCAAGGTCTTCTGCTCCCATTCGCTCAGCCTCACCTTCGTTGCTTTTTCTCCGGTGTTCCGGCCTGTCTGCTACATCTGGAGACGGCGAGAATAGGCGTGTGTTGATAGGAGTAAAACCAGATGTCTCCTGGTCCATGGGACTGGGGGCTCCCCGGGCTCCGGACTCCGGGGAAGGCATTTCGGAAACGTGACATGGTGGCGGGCTTACCCGACGACAGTTAGTATCCGGCCGTGCAACAACAGTGTCTTGGGGTTCGCTAGGCAAACTCTCATCGCCCGGCATATCTTCAGCGCGAGGTGCTTGCAGCTCGCAAGCTGCCTCCGGTCCGTCACCTAAGACGGATTCCCGAGCGGATAGCTCATCTCCAGCTCCCTCTTCAGGTGCTTGAACCTCAGCAATGGACGATTCTTCGTAGATAGTCGACAGCCCTTCAGGGTCCTGGGTTGTAACCGGGACCTTGTTCTTATCTGTCTCAGGCCCAGGATGTGCCGACATATCGAACGTGAAATGGAGAGGATCGAGACTGCAGGGATGTTCAGCTTCTCCTATGTCATTTGCGCCAGCAACCGCATCTGTTGCCGCTTGAGAGGCCGTTACGACTTCAGGTGCTGCGTCTGCGCCCTGGGCCACAGGCTTAACGTCGGTAGCTGATGAGCTCGGCATGACGCGGTGTGGGGCAATGTTGTGTTTGGCAGGCGAGAGATATGCGCCACGAGGATTATCAGACTCCGGGACAGATTCTACTCCCTCATTTTCTTCTTCCTCACACGTTTCCCGTCTTTCAGAAGTTAAGCCAGGAGCCTTGGGCTGCTGACCAAAAATGTCAAGGTTGGCTTTCGCATCAATCTCAAGAACCTCGGTCTTGGAAAGGCGCGTAGAAGCCCTGGCATGATTTTCATCGCTGATTCCCATGCCCGTGGGATCACCCGAGCCAACACAGAATGGATCGAGGGTTTTGCGTCTTTCCTTGGAGTTCTCTGGCCCAAATTCCGGGATGTTCCCAATCGATGTGAGACTGTGTCGGCGACTGGAGTTGTTCTGGCTGTTTTTGAGGGCAAGAACCCTTGAAACGCCGCTTGAGCCGCGTTCAATCCGCCGCGCCAGATGAAGCGAGACCCGCCTGCGAGTCTCATGCCGCGGCTCAGCTTCGGGATCTGTGATCGGCTGGTCAAATAAGAGGGGCAGTGGACTTGCGGGCGCGTGGGATGAATCGGCCGGCCCCTTGACACTAGCAGGGAGGACCTCATCCAAAGTTGACATGGCTGTGGAAGCCTTCAACAGTGGTTGTTCTGGAGGGCTAGACTTGGGTGATTCGAGGACGACCTTTGTTGGGGTGGCGCTAATTCTGAATGCGCGAAGCGGTGACTCGGTGACTTTTGTAGGCGAGAGTGTGACTGGCTGTCTCTTGGCTGGCGAAAGAGATGGGCCCGACGTCTTTTCTGGCGAGAGGTTGTCAACGGAGAGCTTCTCTGGCGATGCATCGCTTGGTAAGAGAGATATGCGCCTGCTCAAACGGCGGGTTGACCGTGTCCGCATCTGTTTCTCGTCGATCCGCACCGAGATGTCAATCGGCTCGGAGTCTACAGGAACATCGATCTCGACCAATGGTTGCGTATCAGCCACCATGGGATCATGGGTAGCTCTTTCTGTCTTCGGTTCGATTGGCCAGCGAGAGCTAAGCCTCTTTCGCGGAACCCATTTCAAGCTGTCCTCCGGGAAGGTCGAGCGGCGGCCCATCGCGGTGCTGTTGGTCCTCGGTGCTACCTTCGCAATCTCCTCCAAAGCAGCGGATACGGAGGCTGGTTCAGGCGCGTTAGGGTCCCGTAAGCGACAACTGTTCCCAGCACACATACCTCGCGCCTTGGCAATGTCGCACTTCCCGTCCAGCTTCTGGTCAAGTCTGGCGTCCCAGCGCGCGTGGCCCCAGGTAGACAGGTGCTTTGCTTGTCGCACGCGCTTCCTCGGCCCCATACCTCCTGTCTCCAGCTCTGCCATGGCGCGAACATATCCAAGATCGACTGACGGCCCAATCGGATCACTAACTCTTTTCCAGATATTGTGCCGGCGATTCTTGTTGGACAAGGGGGCGACAGCAACGCGCTCCCACGGTCTGGGACGCGGAAGTCGAGGCGGAAGGAAATACTCGGCAGTAATCGCGATCCTGAAGCGCGAAGAGTAAGCCAGTCTGTAAATAACCAAGGTCGTGATTGCTTGAAGAGTCTCACTGCTTGGATTGCGAGCCAGCGTCGCGCGGCACGTGGCCATCGCGGCCAGCGCCGAGGTCGAGCATGCTGTGCAAGAATATGGAAGAGGGAGCTGTAAAATGTAGGAGTGTCGACTCGCAATGTTAACTGGCAAAACAATGCAGGGCTAGCTCATGTCAACATAGTTTGGAATTGTGTAGTGTTCGATGTCAGGCTGGTGGTGAATAAAGAAGCGGGAAAACGCGCTGCACTCAACAGTGTTAATTGCCTTGTCGGGTGCGGTCTCAATGAGGGTCGCCGAAGTCACTCGACATGGCGCCTGGTGAGTGCCGATTTGTTTACATCTCCCATTCGCAGCCAATCATGTCTCGCCCGGCCCCGAGCTTGCCAAAACTGGATAAGCGCTGCCAGCAACTATTCCCCACTGTCCCACCTTCAATCCTCCCGTTATCACCACGTGACGAGATTTGATCAGACTCCAAAAGTTTCGAGCCAATTGGGTCCCGTCAGTCTCACTCAGGCGACGACGACGGCGACGACGGCGATCCGGACTTCGACACCCAGCCCAGCCCTCCTGTGAAGGATCCCTAGAGGAGCTGACAGCGAGTTACCTGTCGAAATGACCAACAAGAACCCCATTCGGCTGCCACCGCTGCGCACTCTGCGCGTTCGGCACCCCAACCGGCCCGAGCCAAACCCTTGTCTAAGATTCATGTCCTCAGTGCTAGGTATGCCATTGCAATCCAACCCCTCCCTCATTGCGTCTCGAAGTACAACTTCTGACCTCCCCCTGTGCAGCCTGTTGGGCATCAGCCGGCCACCAGGGGCGGGGCTGCAGCACAGTTGAGCAGGCTCTTCGCGCCTGCATGGACGCGCCGCCGCCGCCAAAGAAGCCCGGCAACACCATCAATTACCATCTGGCCCGGTTCTCCAAAAAATTGATTTCCCAGGGCAAGAAGGGGAAATAAGTGACTGTGGACAATGTTGGCGCGGATCGATGTCGGAATATTACGGCAACACATTTGCCCGTCGGGCCCTCATACACATGGCGCGGTGGGGCGCGCCGACGGACAACTCAAAGTCTACCCGATTAATCGCCCCGATGACGGGTAGATGGACATAAGACTGCGATTGCGAACGGGTGAGCCTACACACGAGGAAGAAGAACTGGCTCTCGTTCTACTCTGGCCATCCGAGCAGAGGAACGACTGTACAATACAAAAGACGAAGGATGCATTGTAGGGGAGGCTGGGGGGCGTTAAATCGGCGCTTGGGAGGCTAGGGTGGACTTGTACAATCTATAGAGCAGACTATACCATACACCAACATGCAGCACACTGCAAAGGAGTTGGCTACAACTTGGTACACAAAATGAAGCAACGTCTTGTCAAGCAACGCAAGAGACCCAACAAAGGGAGGATCATGATTCAGGACAGGAATGCTCCCTGGGTATTCATATCTAGAAAACAAGCAACCAAACAGACAAAGGTACTACTAAGTAAACTGAGAGCACATTCCCCGTTCTCTCCGTCCGTATCCCTCTCCTCTTCCCCGCTCTACTCCTTCGTTACCACCATCCTGGCGCAGAAAAACCTAACCCAGGGACTGGAATAAGTGCATCTAGCAGTTGATCAAGCAGGGAAGGATTACCCAATTAGCCAAATCCCCTGTACCCAATGACAGAAGCAAGGTGCAGCAAAGAGCAAGTCAGAACCAGACAGGACCGGTGAGCACGCGATGAAATGAACAGACCAGAGCGCATTTCCAGTAAGCAAGATCCGCAGTCAGGTGTAGCAACGTCAGGCAGAACAAAAGTAAAGGAGCGGTACGGCGGCGGTATTAGCCAGCCCTTTTCCGACTTGCCCCTATGCGCGCGCCATGCCGAGTTTGACCCGGACCAGACTCTGCCACCACCCGGGCAATTATGAAGAAACAGTACTCTTAGCCTTGGGTAAGAAGAAACGATGTCCGATTGCTCCTCTAAGTATGTCGTCAACGTGTTGAGAGGGGACTATGAAGGCCACAAATGAAGGGGTATGAGGCGAGCTTGCCCAGCGGTAGATTGATTGGGGTAAAAGATGATGCGGATTGGAAAGAAATTGGATTCAATGGTGTAGAGTGAGATGCGCCGGCTTCTATGGAGAATGCTCGTCCGGAAAGCGGAAAAGGAAATGGACGAAGGAATGTAAGGTTCGGGATCGTGGTGCAGGGTATAGCAATTCGGCAGGTACATTAGGGGAGGGTATCCAGTTACTAGTTGTCGATGGAAGAGAGAAGAAAGTAACTTATTTCGTTGCCCCATACAGCGGAGCACGAGGCCGGCAGCTGTAAGGGGAGGAGATGTATGCTGATGCAATAAGCTGGAAGGCTGAAGGACTTTGGGTTCTAGAACCGTCTAAGCGATTAATCGTTCTTGTTTCCCGCCTTGACACAGCACGCATGCAGCCTCAGTTCAAGTCGCCGACGCAGAAGAGCTCAATCTCTCCGAGGCCCTGTGCATTGCGCATGCCCTCTCGCCACTCAGAGATGGCAATCTGGATGTCGTCGTCACTTTCGATTGTCACAAAGTCGCCATCCTCGTCCCGGTACCGAAGCTTGAGATCACCCCTAGCAATGCTACTGTTGGTAAGCCGAGCGAGCTTGACATCGATTCGGTCGATGAGGCTCTGGTATGTGATGTTATATTGTGCGACGAGAGTGAAGTAGTTGCCCGTTTCGTAGTTGACTTTTACTTTGAGCTGGTTCGGCATACCAATGTCAGGGGTGGGAGGTACCATGGTTGATGTGAGCGGCGCAGTCCCGAGGCCCGGAGTTACCGTCCTCGACGGGTCGACGGGGGCAAGAGGTGCGAGACCTGGCGGCGGAGGGCCAGGTGGAGGGAGATTGGTTACGCTGGCAGGCGTCCCTTGCCGCGAGTAGATGGGCTGAGTAGGGAACTGCGCCATGGTGCCGCCGTATTGCTTGGCACGTTGTGTACCGGGTGAGCTTGTGTTGGTCCGTAGAGGGAGGTCATTGGCCGGACTGCCCGTGTTGCTCCGAGGGATGTTGGAATCGTGCCGAACATGGGTTGGGTGTGCGGGATGGTTTTGGTGGAGATGGGGTGGAATTCCAGGAACCGCCGGGACGGACTGGCCACTGCGCGTAGCTTGCCCGTTGATATCGGGTGTGCTGTAGCTTCGGCTTCTTTGCTGTTGGAATTGGGCCGATTGCGCGGAATCACGAGGCATTACGGGCATCGACGGTCCTCGCGGGCCACGCCCGTTGGCCGTCACCATGCCGTACGCATTAACCGGAGATGGCCCATCCCTGGAAGGCGCCCGGGGCAGTGCCGGGGCGGTATATCGATTGCTATCATCTGGCGCCCAAGGTTGAGGAGTGCCAGTCTTGGGAAAGGGATATGATGAGCCGGGGAAGATACCGCTTGTTGTGCTGGTCCGACTGGATGCTGGAGACTCTGCCACGGGCGAGAAGTAGGACTCGGCTACGCGCGGTAGTGGTGAGGCTTGAGTTTGAGTCTGTACGCTGAGGGCTGCGGTTGGGTTGATCGGGACCCGTCCAGGCGGCGGTGCCCGAGCAATGCCCGCCAAAGAATGCGTGCTCTCGATTGTGCCGGAGCGCTGTCGCGTGCTTGTGCTAGAAGCATTGCGCTGCATTGTCCCTGGCATTGCCACCGGCGCGTTATACAGAGAGGTGGCTGGCGTTGATTGGAGGGTAGTTCCGCTGAGAGCGTCGTCATCGTCATCGTCGTCGTCCGGTTCGGCGTAAGGGTTCTCCAAGCCGGTGCCTTGTGTCTCTAACCATGGAAAATTCGGTGGCGGCTTATCAGGACTGGTTTGGTTTTGAGGAGCGTTCTCTTTCCGCTGCTGGTCAAGACCGGCCGCCCACTTTTTCATCGTCTCCTCGTTCTGGAACTTGATCATAAAGTTCTCCACGCCGGGGTCCCCTTTCCACCAAATTTGCACCGTGTATGAGCCTACAATGTCAGCCGCTATGGACATGGACAGCATGAGGGAGTATCCTTACCAGTCTTGGACATAGCTACCACATCGGTGACGTTGGTCATGAAGATACGACCTTTCAGTTGCAATTTGGCGTTCTTGTTGCGCACTTTGGGCCCTGCTGGCTTTGTCTTATCCTTCTTATCCTTGCGATTAGCCGGCACCACTTCCTTGCAACACAGCAAGATACATTGGAAGAGATATATCTCGTACTATGAGAGCAATCGTTAGCTGTGAATCACAAGAAAAATCCGTTGGATGGCCGCTTGATCCGGGACTTACATCCTTCTCTTGGTCGCCCTTGCCGGTTACGACCGTGTATACACCATGGAGTAAAAGCTTGCCAAATTGATCGACTCGGTGCTTTTTCCAGTCTTCGACTCTGGCGATCAGGTCTTCCAACGCTTCGTCTAGCAGATCGCGGTCCACGGCTTCATTGGCCCTCTGCAATACCCGCTCAGCGGCCTCGATACCCGCTGTGAGGTCGGCCTTGGTCGCTTCATCGTCACTCTTCTTGAGTAAATCCTTCAGAAGAAGCGGGTATTTCACCAGACGCTGCATGGGCTTCAGGAGGAACCCGTCGAGAGTGTTGAAGTCGCAAGCGACCGGGTGACCGGCGGTCTGAATCGTCTCAAATACCTGGCTAGCAAGTTGGGCAGCCTTGCGCTGGTTTGCAATGAAGGGCTGGTAACACATGTTGAATGTTTCCTCGTATGCAACAAACGGCGCGCCCCATTCCTGTCTTGACGGGGGCATCGAGTTCGTCGTCTCAACCCTGATCAGGAACTTGCGCTGGCAATCGAGAATTGCGTTGATGTTAAGAAAGATGTTGTGCACGGCGTCTCCAGGAATAATGCCGTTCTGTTCCAATGTCTTCTTCAGATCGTGCAAATTCTCCAGGTCTTGAACGTATTTCCGCTCGGTATCTACCAGCTCGCGGACAACGTAGTCTCGATAACTCATTTGGGAGCCCGGCTGCATCTGGTCATTTTCGGGATACGGCTGCACCTGAAGCAGCAACCCCTTCTGTTCAGCGAGGTCGAGAACATGGTTGATGACGGACGTAACCTGATACTACGTGTTAGAATGCGAGCGCGGTGGTCACCACAGTAGCGAGGGATTGGGGAAGCCTGCCTTTACAAATCCTGTCGTGTCGTTCCTGGTAAGATCGGTAATGATGAAGACCTCGGTGGTCGGGAGCTTGAGCTTCGATTTGCAGGCTTCGACGAATCTGAGGATAGCGATCTTGGACAACTTCTCTTCGGACGCCCCCGCGGGTTCCTGAACCTGCAGGGGCGTCTCGGGCTGCAAGGCATTATAAATGGCTAGCAGCGGATACCCGGTTCGCAGTAACTTCCACAGCGATTCGACAGGACCACCCTCATCGGGGTCTGCGGCCATCTGCTCAAGCTGCTCCATGTATCTTTCGAAACCAGGCACCTTGGCCAATCTTTGCTTCAAGGAGACGCATATCTGGTAGAGGGAACGAGAGGCATCGGCCCTCTGGTTGATGATGTTGGAAGTGGCCATTACCGGGCCATTCGATGACGCTGGAGCGGTTGCGGCGGTGGATAACGAGTTTAGAGAGGTGGATGAGTTGGTGGAGGGGAATGCTGAGCCAGAGAGCTGGCTAGCGCGCGGTGCGCTCGGCATGCTCATGTTCAATCTGTCGACGATGTCCATGGCTGCGGTTGGGGGGCCCGTGTTCATGCGAAGTAGGGGAGCATGGGCCATAACTAGCTCTCCATTCGCAAAGTGCCGGTGGGGGGTCCACGAGGCGGAGGCGGGTCGGACGCAAATCCCTGGCGATGTCGAGGCTTCCTCTCAATCGGGGCTTTGCAGGGAAACGGGCGGGCACAGCGGGGCCTCGAAGGGTTGGTGCAGTACGAATAGATGATTGTCTTGGTTCGCGGAAGCAATCGAAACCAGCATGGACCGATCGAAGGAATCGAGTCACCCGGCCGGATGCTTTCAAGCCTAGGTAGTGACTAGGCTGGTCGGTCTTTGGCGCTTGCCGCCGAGCTGAGAGCCCTGATTTAGGTCGGCAAGCCAGCTAACTAAAAGTAGGCTCGTCGTTTGTATTGTATTGTACAGCTGCTTTCGGGTTATCGACCGCAAGCTGCGTCAATGTCGCTAATACTGTTGCTTCAACGAGCTATCGGTGATGCGGTGATATTCGCCGTCGCGCAGTGGTCTCGCCTCTCTCTGGCTTATCCCGATCTGCCTCTTGTTCAGGGAACTGTCGGCCTCAAGATTACCTGTTCCCGTCTCTTTTCCTCTTTGCTGCTGCCTGCGGCTGTGCGTGAAAGTCGTTACACGATTCGTGTCGTCTGACGATAGTTGCGGCGGGTAGCGACCGTGGATATTGAAGGCTCTCGCAGAGCTAGGTTGGGTGAGAATGCGGCGTTGAGATGCGGTTTGAAACGGAGGGTCGTGTGGCAAGTGACCGCTCTCGGAGGTGGTTGGTCGGCGCGCAGAGGGAGCGGGCAGCCTGTTGCTGGTTTGGAGGAGCGCTGTGGGTGGGCTCACTGTGAGTCGGGTGGGCGCGAAATGGGGCCCAGCCCGAGAGGTGACTGCGACGGGGCCGGGCTTACCTGATGATAGTGATACCTTAGGTGATCACTGCCGCCCTAGGTAGGTGGAAAGATGGATTCACCGTGCAGTGGGCGGATTCTGCTGCCGATGGTGCATCTCCAAAACCAGATAGCCCTGTCATAAATTGATATCTGTATGTAGTACTCCGTACCTATGTAAGGGTAGGTATTTTCACAACCTTAGGTGCACTGAGGAAACACCATGGAAGCGACGCGATGCCACCACTTAGACTAAGATACCGGTACCACGGAGTGGCATTCCAACGGCGTCGGTGCCAGTTTCCCATCACCCCCCCTCAACGTCAAGGTAGGCCAGATCCATTCGGATACACCCAATCCAATGATGCTGTAAGTGTAATCATCCAACGCCTAAGTACCTTAACCGTCCAGGCACTATCCGCATAACCGCCACGTAAATGCTCTTCCTTGGAATTACAGTACAGTTGGCTTCGCACACGGAGGACGGCATATATCGTGAAGCCGGGACAGGGAGAGCATGCGGACGGGCATAAGATCCCGTCCGAGCAGCCCCGCCTTGAGCTCAATGCAGTGAATGCACAGAGCTGAATGTGAGAATGGGATGCCAGGCGTTTACTATGTTATGTAGCTAAACAGGATGCCTCTCGCTTCCCCTCCATCATACATTTCGGTCGTGGCACTCGGAATGGGCAATAGAGCAACTGCAAGTTGCAACACAGCGGCCCGCCACCCTGTCTTTCCGGGTTGCATCGCATCCTAATTACCAGTTGTGCAACTTCTCGGAATAAGCGGGCGTCAATCAACAGGTCCGTAGTCGAATATTCTACCACATCCGTACGACCATGATGGTTCGTTTGATCTCACGTGGGGTTTGGGCTGCCCCTCCATTTTGGCATGATGCGGGAGGGTCTGCCCGTTTCAGAACTCCCACAGCTTTCAGACGCTAATCCAACTCTGGCCACCGCTGTGTGGAGCAGGCTTGGAGATGTTCATTCAGAAATCAGAACCAGCGGATGTCATTCTTCTTTCACACCAGCACGTGGGACAGGGCAACTCACTCAGCTTGCCTTACACCTGTCGTGGGATTTTAATTCGACATCGAAGTGTCCACTGCTCTATCGAGACAAATCTGTGCATTGTATGGAGTACATACATACATTTTCAAGTAGGTATGTAGGTACCCGGCAAGAACCACGTGGCCTTGCTTGCCCTTCATACACGCAGTACGAAAGTACGGTACTGTATGTATGTACCTTACAGTACTGTATGTACATCGCTATCACGATTTCAAGGCAGCCCGGGCAGGTGGTTCGTTGTGGCTCTGATCCTCAACGATCCTGTTACATATCAAGTCCTAGAGCAACAAGGAAATTTCACAAGTACTAACTTCATAAAGGTAGCTTGAGGCTGTAATAGGAACATTGTCCTAATCTCGGTGCACGCTACGTGTACATTCACAGTCCTTTGAGCGGCTTAGGTACCTCTTGTATTGTATCCGCACAGTACCTCGGTAAGGGTAAGGTAAAGGTAATTCCAACATCATCAAAAGCTCAGTCATCAGCGAGCAGCTCCAGGTCTGACTCCAACCTTGCCACAACCTCGGCGTAGTATTCGTTGCAGAACTTATCCTTTTTCAGATTAGCAACCTTGAAGGCGTTGCTGAGACACCAATTCACAGCCATCTCATAGTTTGTACCGGCACTCCCACGGACCTGGCCCAACAGTTCCGCACCCATTGTGCACTTGGAAAGGAGGGCACTCGAGTCCAGATTCTCTGACAGGCCCAACGCCTTGACCGTCTTGCCAATGATGACCTGGATGAGCAGGATTCCCAGAGATAGTATCGCGAGATTCGCAACGCGAGCGTCAGTGTTGACGTTGGTTTCGGGGGCTCGTGTGGTTAGGGAGGGGTTCACCAGTGTCTCGACAAGGAGCTTCTTGAGAACAAAAGGTCGATATGGACTGGCACAAACAGGTTTTGACCCGACGGCGGGTGCCGCGGCGGTTCCCATACGGTTGGCGGCTCCCTCTCCCGCCTCCTGGACAAAGACGACGTCGTCAAGCGTGATGACGCGCCCTAGCCACGGCGTGTCAAAGAGGTGAAGGACGCCGACCGACAGGGCTAGGGCGACTTCAAACTTATCCAGGAAACAAAAGGGCCGAGGGTGTTGCCAGCCGTCCTCTAGGACTTGGCGAAGGGTAATGACCCGCAGGTGGTTTGGTCCCTGTTTTTGCTGGAGCAGTCGTGGGTATAGCCCGAACTTGCGGCCGTCGATATTATCAGCAATGTATCCGCAGCAGTCTGGCACGGCGGTTCGGTGTTCTTTCATCACGAATCGGCAGAGATTGGTTATCGTACGTGGAGCTCCGCGTGCTGGCGCCGTCGTCTGGCTGATGACGATCCGGGGAGGACAGTCCGAAGACGCCTGAGTTGTCGATACGGTCGGCTTCTTTTCTATTTTGAAGCGCACAGTTTGAGACCAACGAGTCTGCTTTGGGAACAGTTTGCGGCCCTCCTTAGGAGACTTCGATGGCAGCGCTGATTCCTTTGGCATGGCGGAGTGTCCTTCGCTTCTACTAGCAGCATCATCGTGATTCTGACGATGGGCCTCGATGACTCGAGCATCAATGCCATCCCAGCGGGATGGGGTTTCCGGGCAGGGTGATGCTGGAACCGAGGTGTCATGCGATCCGAGTACAAGGTGGAAATCCAGCATTTGGGCGGCCACATCGTCGCTATCATCGGGAAGCACCGTGACTTCGCTTCGATGACGGAGTTCCAGGCAAACATTGTCGACTCTGTGTATTTGTGTATTTGGAGCACACCGGCATGTTGCGGCTCCGTGCAGTGCACTGAATAGACCACGGGCCAGATTCCGGACAAGGCGGGTGACGCGTGCTTGAGAGCGGTGCTTGCGGTCAGGCTCAAGTTGGCGGCTTTGGGTAGCAAGCCTCTCGAGCACTGAATTTGCCGCTTTTATCCTGTCTAACACGGTATCGTAATCTCTCTTTTTCAGTGTGAAGGCTGATCTCTTTTTAAGCTCGCGGAGAATTGTAATCGGATCCATGAACTTCGGCTGCGGAGCAATCAGCGGCGTCAGCGCTACAGTCTGGTACAAATCATTGGCTGGAGACTGGACGCAAAGGACTAATTGTCAACGTTCGAAGGTCGAGAGTAGTTTACCTCGCCATCTGCCGTCACACAGAGCTTCTTATGAAGCTCCTTTGTCGCCGCTAGCATCTCGTCTATATGCTTCACAAAGCTGGCATGCGTGTGCCATAGACGTAGGCGCATTTTCTCGTTGAATGGCTCCCATTCAGGCCCAAAAGGTGTCTTCACTACCTTAGCTTATCGACGGCATTGTGTGGAACAATCCCCATGAGCAGAAGCTCGCATGTATTCTGTAGACACGCCTCTTCCGTTTCCAGGTCCTGAATGAGCTTGGTAAGCTCGTACTTGGCAGTCCTGTTTGAGGAGAGGATGTCGGCATAGGCTCGGGCGGCCTTGATGGCCAGGGGCAGCAGGGCCAGAATAACACCGGCAACCTCGAAGCCAGACATGACAACGAATACAGATGGAAGCGAGGGGAATTTGAGACGACGACTTGGGGGTTATGGGTATGGCGTTCACAATTCTGTCACAAGTGTTGTGAAAAGCGGGCGTGAGATCTCGTCACCTCCAGCTGAGTTCTTTCCGCTGCACAGCTGACGGGCACAACATCATTGGTTGATGGACCCGAATACTTACCTACCTACATAGCAGAAAGCGGGGGAAGCATGAAGCCTACCCACCCTTTACGCCCCCGGGCCGTCCCTTCAACAAGAGACGGGAGCCACTTCATCTTCTCCCTAACGTCCGAGGTTAAGGGTCCAGTCCATTGTTCAAAAATGGAAGACAGACACCCAACTTCAAGTTCTCAAATTGCTACGCTTGTTGTGCGCATCCTCGCGTCTTTCAAAGTTCTCGTTTCCTGCCTGGTCGAGGATGAGGTGACACAGGCCTCAGCGGCTTCCTCCCAACAAGCAAGGTTCAAACTGTGGGCTGGCAGTTTGGGTGCCCACCGCCCCTCGGGATATCGTTCATTCGAATACCGCCTCCGCGACTCGTCCTTTATTCGAAAGCGTGTGACCTCGTTTCTTCGGGATCTCTGTGGTTCGGTTGAGGATGGTGTGTTTCACTTTTATATAGGTTTCGCTTCCTCTGTTCAGACGAGTGGTAGGAATCGCTGTTGCTCGAGGAGTTCATCATCGTAGTGATGCCCGGAGCAACACCTCCGACACCGTCGCTATGGAGCTAGACGAATATTTCCGATCTGGGGAGGTACTCGAGACCTCCGAGTTGAGCCAGGTCCTCGACGCAATTAGTCATATTATCAACTGTCTCTTGCGCCTGTCAATCGCAATTCGAGACCCAGCTCCGTACGACCAATTCCGATCGCGTGTCGTAGCGGAATCCGCGCACCTCGAGTTTTGGGATATTCGCCATGTCAGCGAGAAGTTCCCAAACGCAAACAACAAGACGGCCGAGCGTCTCGGCCGGGCCATGACGTTGCGCCGCCAGTACTTCAAGTATAGAGAAGAGCATCATGGCCGCCTTGCCGAGGGGCTGGATCCCGATATCGATGTCCCTACAGATGGCGCGACGACGGTGGCCCCGCCTATCCCAGGGCATTTGGTTGAATCGTCCGACGACCCGCTGACGCTCTCGGATGCTATGGCCAACCTCGACGACGCGCTTTCCGACGCCTCTGGCACTTCATATGCAGCATCCCAGTTTGGGGCAGACGGGTTAACAGAGCCCCCCATACCAAAGGGTTACAACCAAGGCCCAATTAAATGTCCGTTTTGCCAGACAATCATTCAAGTTGACAACCTGAGTGCGTGTAGAAAACACTTCTACCGAGATCTCAGACCATACGTCTGTCTCGCTGAAGACTGTCGTATGCCTGACCGTCTGTACTCCCGCCGACGGGAATGGGTCAAGCATATGGAGCTGGAACACTGGAGGGTTTGGACTTGTCCACTTGAATGTACCTCAATGGCATTTTCGAATGTCACGGAATTCGGACACCATGTAGTTGACATCCACGGCTCAAGGTACTCAGTTGAAGATCTTGACGCATTAGCAAACCTGAGCAGCAACTCTGATCCTTGTGCATCGAAGCGTACCTGTTGAACGCCAAAGAATATCAACGCCATGTCGGGCATCACCTCGAGCAGCTCGCTCTCTCTACCGTCTCTTCGGCTTTGTACGACGCTGAGGATAGCGATGGCGATAGCGGTGCAGAAATGAATCAAGTCGATGGGTCTGAGAGCAGCATTGTGGGTAGTATTAATGATAATGTGGGAATGGACAAGCATCGTGACATGTCAAGGCAAAGTCATGTCACACATGTCGAAGAGACCCGAGAGTTTGCGTCTGAGAAATTGGAGGATCCGCATGTTTTCCAGGAGGACAGAAGACGCGATGGTAAGGAAGACCCTGAGGAATCAGAAGCACGCAGCGAGAATTTTAAGGCCGTGCTCCCGGCTGCCGAGGAGACAGAACAAGGCCAGGACGAAGAGGCCATCTCCAGAGGTTTTACTCAGTTGCCGTCCGAATATCCGGACATGAAGACACTGCTAGAGCTCTCCAAGCAGGAGAAGAAGCGGAGCGAAGAAGCCGGGAACGACTATAGCGACGAAAATGAAGCTAAGGGGTGGGCTGAGCGACTGAAGAGGATCGAAGAGGACGCCAAGCGGAAATTGGAGGCAGCACTCAAGAAACAGGAAGAGAAGCTGGCGGCGGCGGTCGGAGCCGAGCGTGAAAAGCTGGAGGCAGCACAAAGGGCTGAGAAAGAAGCCAGGGAAGCGGCGGTAAAGAAGGCTCAAGAGGAAGCCGAATGGCGGAAAAGGTATTGGAAGACAATGCGAAGTAAAGGCAGAGGCCGAAGCGAGGGAGAAGCTTGAGGTCGAAGACAGGAAGAAGAAACTTAAGGCCAAGCAGATCAAGTTGGAGGCCGAGCGCCAGGCTACCATGGCTGAGCTAAAGAGGCTAAAAAACGAGAGAGTGAGGAAGGAAGAGGAAGATCGCATCAAGCGCGAGATCAAGTTGGAGGCTGAGCACCAGCCTGCCATGGCTGAGCTGGAGAGGATCAAAAACGAGAGAGTGAGGAAGGAAGAAGAAGAGCGCATCAAGCGCGAGCTGGAGCTAAGATTACTCGAGGAGGAAAGGAATGCGGCGGAGGAGCGGGCGCGAAAGGAGAAAGAGGCCGAGGAGATCATTGCCCAGTTCAAGGCCGAAGAGGCCGAGCGCCTACAGAAGGAGAAGGAGGCCTAGGAGACGTTTGAGAAGGAGGTGCAGTAAAGTGAGGGAGAAGCTGGAGGTCGAAGAGTGGAAGAAGAAACTTGAGGCCAAAGTGAGGGAGAAGCTTGAGGCAAAGATCGATGAATGGAAGAAGCTTTAGGCGAAGAGAGGAAGAAGAAGCTTGAGGCAAAGAAGGCCGCCGAAGACACTACTAGTAAGAAAAAGAGGGAGGAGGCACTGAAGAAGGGCCTCTTGGAGGAAGCTAAATAGAAGGCTGAGGAGGCAGCCAGAAAGACGGAAAAGGCGTCTATTATGGATGTTTTCAAAGGCAGCACAAAGGGCTGGGGCTACGAAAGGCGAATTTGAAGGATGGGAAGCTCCCATTCGGTTTCAAAGACGCCGTTGGCCAAAGATTCAACTTCCCTTTCCACCTATGTGCAACTTGGATGGTAAGATTGAAAGATTAACACCCATGCCCAACTCCGCCCGGTTCATACCCTTCTCTTGGATGATTCTTACCCACCGGGAGTGTTGTCTACCTATCCAGGGTATCAAGGAGGTCACTACCTTAACCAAGCCTTCCACCATGTCGATGTTGTTGACCCTATTGTGCAGGAAGGTCACTACTCGTCGATATCAACGGAGAAAGCATTCTCCCCACTCACTGGGAAAGGGTAATTCAACCCGACTGGTCTGTCACAATGCAAATGTGGCCCGTGGACAAGGCGCCTCTCCCGGCGGTGGACGGCGCTGGCTACAACTGCTCCGAACAAACCAGCTGACCGGGTTCCTACCGTGATACGTAAGGAGGCAAGGGCCACGGTGGATACCTACACGCGAGAAGATGAAGATCCGTCGTCGCGGAGCGATATCCCCACGCGCTGAAAGAGCGAATTCGCCCACAACCAGCGAAACGAACCCCTCGGGGCCTCCCGGCCTTCTCCGCATCACCAGCCTCAAAACCGCCCCTCCAAAGAGGACGGGCAAGAACGAGCGTGAAACACAGAGAAGAAGGTCCTTTGCTAACACAGCGGACAAGGACCTTGTGAAAGCTGCTCGGTTCCCACCGAGCCCAGAGATGGTAGTTGGTTTTACCCTTTGCTCTCCAGGATCGCCATATAGTGCCTCGATCGAGTCTGCCCTCATTTTTTTGTCGACTTCACCAGCTCTGCGAACTACGGGGTATTTGACAATCGATACGTAAAGGTGAACAAGATGAGAACACCACTTAATGTGCAATTTCTTCGATTCCGGTTGAGATCTATGTACTAGGTAAGGTAGGTACCCAAACTTCAGCTCAAACCGATCGATGTCTGTACTGTACACCCAACTACGGGCAAGTGGTTTAGGAACGACTAGAACATGCGATACTCCAAACCCACCGTTACTTGCAGGTGAATTCGCCAGCTACATACAGTCCATAACCACGCTCAAGCCTGAGCGATGATCTTAGCCGCAGCAATCTCAGCAATGCCATACGCCGCCGTCTGGATATGGGCCGAAGGAATGACTGGTATAATACTGTTATCTACAACGCGCAAGTTGGATGTACCATAAACCCTAAGATTGGCGTCAACAACCCCGCCGTCGCCCCGGGGGAGCATGGCGCAGGTCCCGACCGGATGATAGAAGCTGCCCATCGCCTTCCTTGCAAAATCCGCCCACTGCTCGTCCGTCTGCACGGCCTCGTCGCCGGGCTCCGTCTCAATCTCCCACGCCAACCGCATCGGCTCCGTGTGGGCGATGCGCCGCGCGAACTTGGCCGCTTCCACCAGCGCCTGAATGTCGTACGCGTTGCTCATGTACCCGGGGTCGATGACGGGCTTGTTGTTGTCTGCAGCAGGGTTTTGCGAGTCGATGTGCACGCTGCCCCGCGCAAAGGGGTGCATGACGGTGGAGATGAGCGTGATGAACTTGCCGCCGGTGTAGCCAAACGCGCCGACAAAGTTGGCTTCGTACAGGATCTCGACCGCTGGGACGATGGGGTTGTCGAGGTGTTGGAGCTTTTTGGCGTCGATGGGGTTGGTGCTCCGGCCGAACGTTTTGCGGGCGAGCTGTTTCATCTGGCTGTCGACGCCGAGCTGCTGCCAGTTCATGAAGCCGTAGGCCGCGGTTGTGTACTCGTACAGCGACTGCTCGCCGTTCAACCATTTTGCCAGCTCCCCCGTGGCGTTGGCCCCGGCGCTGTCGAAGATGAGCGGGTCGAACGAGTCGATGCCTTCCTTGAGACGGTAAGTGTTGGACACGCGGATGTGGTCCTGGTAGTTCTCGCCGACTCCCGGGAGATCGATGAGCTGGTTTACTCCGGCGGCCTTGAGCACCGCCGCCTGGCCGACGCCGGAAAGCTCGAGGAGGCCGGGGCTCTGCACGGAGCCGGCCGACAAGATCACTTCTTTGTTTGCTGCGATAATCTCGCCGCTGGACAGGGTCACGCCAGTGGCTTGGTACACCGAGCCCGGGCCCCTGCGCTTGACCAGATTGACCTTGGCAACTTGCGTGTTGGTCTTGACGACCAGGTTCCTGCCGGCCAACGGCAGATAGCTGGAGGCAGAGTAGGAACGGGTATGGCGTGTCTCGTCAATGTTGGTTGGCTGGAACATGACGCCGATGGGTTTCCCGCCCATGCTATTTCCGTCATTGACGTTGATACCCAGCTTGCTCACGGTGGGCTGCCACAGGCGTATAACGGGGTACACGACGCGGTTGTAATAGTTGCGGATGGGCCCCGTGAAGCCGTGCCGGTCGTTGTCGGAGCCGGTGAAGTTCTCGGACTTGGTCATGGCCTCGATCATGGCGTCCCAGCCCCAGCCCTTGTTGCCGAGCTCCCTCCAGGCGTCGTACTCCGGGGCCGAGGCGCGGTCGTAGCACAGGTAGTTCATGGCCGAGGAGCCGCCCAGGACCTTGCCGCGGTTGACATCGATGGAGCGGCCGCCGAGCGACGTTTGCGGCACCGTGGTGAAGTTCCAGTCATAGCTAGTGCCTAGGATAGACCCACGGAGACCGGGGACGTTGATCCTTAGTTCATCGGCAGCGGCGGGCCCGGCTTCGATAAGCAGGATCTTGGATTTGGGCAGCCCTTGGCTCAAGCGGGTTGCGAGCGCGGTACCAGCAGTGCCGCCACCAACGATGATCTGGGGTTCTTGTAAGCGAGACTCTTCGGCGTAGGGTGGACGGTCATGTACTCACATAGTCGTACGTCTCGTCCTTGGCGGACACGCCGGCCAAGAGCACAAGGAGAGCCCCAAGTGGTTGCAAGAACTTCATCATGGCGCACCGAGAGCCGACTCACCGAGAAACACAACCGAAGGGAAAACCGAGTAACGCGGGTGGGCAGTCAAAAAGAGACCCAGATGTTGAGGGACGGGACATGATGCTTTTATTTATCCCGGAATGCGCATGACTGCCCTCGAACTGGTCAGGGGGGCGCTCAAGTTCCTTTCCAATATTCTACCTAATTGCGACGGATTCGGCGATGCTGACCGCATGCAGGAATATACATATATATTGCATACAAGGCGTCTTGGTTCAAGACAGCTCAACCGATGTCTCTTACACGACTTGTCCAGGATAGTGTCAAGAGGCTTCGCTATCTGGACCAATTTTATTATTCTAGTCACAACAGGAGATATATTCTTGCTACAGTAGGTATGGTATAAGTAAGTATTCACCAGAATGCCCACTACCGTACCTTCTTTCCTATGGACTTGCTCTGCCCGTAGATATGCCATCGAGACGGGACGCACGGGAAGAGGGGAAGAGCCAAGAGAGGCCAGACGGGTCGAGTACTACCCTGAATACCAAATATTACAATATGATATGATATTGTGCCAACAGAGTCTAGTAGTCCCTGCAGGTGTACGAATATAACCAACATACATCTCTGTATGCAAGGTACCAAGCACACATTGGTTACTCCTTTGGACGTAGTCAATCTCGAAATGGCATGTCAAAGTGCCTCCTTCGCACGACACTGACTGGATGTGTACATACATCTAGTCCTGCTTCGCCCTGTACTACGTAAAGCCGCAGTTCGCGGGGTTGATTCGAATCATGTCGCCAGGGTCCAGAATCCTAACGTTACCCCAATCTGCACCTCGACATTCCTTGGCCGGTCTCCCGTCGTTTGGGATGCCTTTGGTGGTAACCCGGATCGCGCGGCTTTAGGTGCTCTGTTTACAAGGCTCTGAGCCGAAGCTTTGCCTACTTTACGGGCTCCTCGGAAGGGCTAACAGAGTTGTAGTTCGCAGAAAAGGAGAGGCAAAAGGGGCTATACATTCAGAGACAAGTGAGGATCGCTGTGAGGATCGCCTTGGGTGGTGCTGGCATCGAGCACTATCAATCCACATATGGCTCGAATGCCCTCACATTGAAGTCCCAAGTCCCTACACCCTCGTAACAACACTCCTCTTCTGCCCCTGCCCCTGGCCCATAGCTGCTTGCACCTGCGCCTGCGCCTCAATCTGGATCGCCTCCTTCAGCTTGCCCACCACCTCAGGCTGTCCGCCAAACGCTCTTTCCAGCATCTCATCCAGCTCCCGCTCCACCTTGGCCAGGTTCTTCCCGCCCAGCTTCGTAGCACCACCTGCCCCCGCCCCTGCCCCTCCTCTCGCCTCGTTCAGCACCCCGGCCCAGCGCCTCGTGAAGCCATAGATGCTCTGCCGTAACGCCTCGTCTAGTTGCTCGCTCGCATCGTGCATCATCTCCCCACCGCCACCGGGTGTGATTCCCGGTACAACAGGCGTGCTGGCGCCGCTCCGTGACCAGAGAGACGAACCCGGGATCCGGGTCGGGATGTAGGTGCTCAAGCTGCCAAAGGCGGAACTGAGGAAACCGCCGAGGAGGTTCTGGGGCAGCCGGAGGGTATCCCAGATCTGGGCAAAGTGCTGCAGGCCAGCAGCTCCAAGGGAGGCGGCGGGGGTGTGGTTGCTGCGCATGTCGCCAATCTCAAGCGTCATGAGTTCGTTTTTGAGCGTCAGCAGGTTCTTGACCATGAACAGGTCCGGATCAGTGCCGTTCTTGGTGGACTTGATGCGCGCCTCGGCGCGGTGGAGAGAAGCGATGGATTCCTTGACTATCTTGAAGACGACCGGGCTGTTGCGTTGCTAGGTTTGGGGTTGTGGATATTAGTCTCGGTTGCTAAACGAATCGAGATGCCAAACTTACACATCGCTCCTTGGGCATCGACTGATCAAACATGACAAGGAGCTCCAGCGCGCGCTTTATGGGAGGGAAGGCGTTGGAGGCGATGTCGCCGTTGCTCACCGGCCCAATCTTCAGCGCTTCGGGCGGAACGGCAGCTTTTGTTATCCGCTTGCTGATCTCAACGTCAAAGAAGCCATCTGTGAAAGTCCAGAGGTGCTCCGAGAGGAGCCGGGCCGTCAGCTCTCGGCAGCGGCTCGTGAATGGTGTCTCTTCTTCGTCGTAATCAAGGAGCAGGTACTCATTGGTTATCCATCCGACGAAATTGCAGATGGTCTGCAAATCACTGGACTGTAGGACCGCCTGGAGATTGGAGGCGATTGGCGTTACATTTGTGCCCGTCAGCACTGAGCGCTGGTGCGATTTGAGAACTGCATAGGCAGACCTGGGATCTGTCGAGTACTGAGCCTCAATGGAAAAGATCTTCCGGAAGAGGGAGGCTTCGTTGTGAGAGCTCTCGAAGCATTGCTTCACATAGTTTCTTGCGGCTGTCTCGATTGATTCTTTGGCTTCCGTCTTGAAGGTATCCAGATCGTGCTGGATGATGGGCTTTAGATCGCGCTCCCTGGCCGCCCAGTAGGAGTGGAACAGGTTGCTCGCTGTGTTGGCGTATATTTCGGCCTTCGGATCCGATGACGGCTGGCCGTCTTGGTCGTAGGCGTTCCGCACCACAGTTTGGAGGTTCGGAACCAAAAAGTACGACTCGAGCACTATCTCCTCGAAGCGGCCATAGGCAAGGGCGTGGCGCGCCGACTCGGACTGTGTTGCAGCAATCTGGCGAGAAATCTCGGCCGACACCTTGTTGAGGTGGTTGGTGAAGCCCACTTCGAGTAAGTGCAATGCTTTGGTTAAAAGCGCCTGATAGCGTGCAAGGTAAGTCTCGGCATCCCGGTACGAGGGCTGCCGGTCATGTCAGTCCAGAGAACCATGGCACTTGGGACGGGTGAAGTGACTAACATTAGTGGCCATGAAGTCTGTACAAGAGTCTAAAGTTGACAGAATCTTTGTGAATTCACTCCCGTCGACCAGGCGGCCTGCACCAGGAGCGTTGAGTCGCCTGGTGATGGGTTCGAGATAGGCGTAATACGAGAGATCATTACTCATGGAGTCGGCGAGAGCTTCAAGGCGCCTCTGCTTGGTCAACAAACCATCGCATTGCGCCTGGAAGGAGCTGGTCTGCTCATCGACGGCCCGGAAGGATTGGCCAAGCGATTCGAGCACCTTGAGAGCGCTGTCGGCGTCGGCGATGAGAGACTGGAGATGGCGCTCGGTCATGGCAAGTTCGTCCTCGTAGAGCCTAGAATCCTCGTCAAGATTTTGAAGGGCATGCTGGTTTGTTCTCCCACGTACAAGTATTCCTGCTGGCTTGCCCGCAGCAGCTCTTGTTCCAAGGCGTCGCCATGGCTCTCCTCTTCGCCAGGCAAACGCGCAGCCACCGATTCGGGGACCGCTAGCGCCTCCCAGCTTCGGTCATTCCGCCTTCTCTTCCGCCTCTTTTTGGGGCTATGGCCGGCGAGGTGTGCCCTCACAATGTCGTAGAAATCGGAGTACGACTTGGCCCTCCGCGACAGCGTCGGTTCGGGCGGTGACTTGTCGCGGTCCTGGTCTTCAAAAAGCGCTGGTAACGAGTTCGCATTGTCGGCATGTTCGATGGCGCCCTTCCCGGTCCAAGGCTTGTCAGACGGTCCAGTTCACGGCCAACACTAGGTAGGAAATAAACGCCAACGTACATTTGGCTGCTGCAGGAGCGATTCCTTTCGTCGGTGGCCGGTGGTTTGGGAAGCAGAGGGCGCCGTTCGGTGCTGAAACTCGGGCACGAAGCTGTACCAGGAGTCCTCGTACATGTTGAGCGTGCTGACCAACCCAGCGCCGACACCAGCCAGTAAAGTAGCTACGGATCTCTTCCCTCCTTCGTCTGGCGTCCCGCATCGGGACAAATTGCAGCAGGAACCCTGGTGGACTGGATTGAGGAACTGGCCCGCTTTTGTTGTTACCCGTTCTGGAATTCGTACTGTAACGGACCAACGGTACGTACTTTCGTAGCTCAGTGCGGGGGAAGCACAAACCAGAGCTTGGCACCTTCGCGACCCTGACATTGCTCAACTGATGAGTTAGGACAGTGGTGAGTTCAAGACAGAGGTTCCATGCTCCCGCTTGGCTCAAAGTGACCTCACTATTTCCAACAATAGACGACTGCCTGTACAATACATACAGCGGCATATGTTGTGTTAGCACAATGGCTCAAAATTGAGCGGGACAACCACCAGAACCAATACTCCCGAGAGAACCAGCATGGCTTCACCGGCGTTATCCAGGGTTGCTCTGCGCCCATCATCTCTCCGGCCGGCTGCCGCGCGCCCTTCGCAATGGGCTCGCCATTGGGCTCGCCATGCGAGTTCATCGCCCCGGGGACCCCGACCCACGCTTGGCTCTTTTATCCGCCATACGGCATTCATGGTAGCAGGCGGAGCGGCCGGTATGTACCTTTATTGGCGCTACGCTCTCGGCGGGATGCCAATCTACCGCCCTCTCATCGCCCCTGACTCCGATACGCTTGCAAAGGCCGAGATTGGCTACGAGAAGCCGCGAAAGAAGCCTAGCTCCAAGGAGGAGGGCCGCGACCAATTGAGCTCGCAACACCTGCAGGTCAAGAAAAGCTGGGAGCACCCCGGCGTCTACGCTTGGGGTTCGAACGCCGGCGGAGTGGTTGCCCCTGGCTCACAGGAGACCGTCATCAAGACCCCCCGCCGGATCCCCTACTTCGATGGCCAAATCCTGCGAGATCTTAAAGTGGACCGCGACTCTGGAGCCGCCGTGAATGAGCAGGGCGATCTCGTGCAGTGGGGTGCTGCTTTTTCCAGGGATGCGACTACGCCCGAGGTGACGCTCAAGGGCAAGGATATCACCAAGCTCGCGGTTTCGCGGGACCGCATTATTGCTCTCGCATCCAATGGATCCGTCTATTCAATCCCAATCGCCAAGTCGGACCAGGAGTCGGGCCCGAAGGAGACGCGCAAGTCTTGGTTCCCTCTCTGGACAGAAACCTCGCCTACCAGCTACCGGTCTCTCAAACCCGAGAACTTGGGCTGGGGTGAAAAGATTGTCGACATAAAGAGCGGACTTGAGCATTGCCTCCTACTGACCTCCAAGGGCCGCGTCTACTCGGCCGTCTCGAGCTCCGAGGCGTTCCCCTCTAAAGGCCAGCTTGGCATCCCAGGCCTAACCTGGAACACGCGGCCTGCAGGACCGTACGACCAGCCCCACGAGGTGGCCGGCCTTCGCGGATTCAACATCAAAGCGATTGCTACTGGAGACTTCCATTCGCTGGCTCTCGACTGCGAGGGTCGGCTTTTCTCCTTTGGCGATAACAGCTTCGGCCAACTCGGGTTTGAGCCCGAGGTCGGGGCCTTCCACGTTGACACCCCTTCCCAGCTTCCCATCAACAAGCTCTACAGCGGCACGAACCTGATGCCCAAGGTGACCTCCATCGCCGCCGGCGGTCTCAACAGCTTCTTCACGGTAGACGCGACCAGAGTCCGCGGCGAGAACCCCACCGAAATAGCCCAGCTCGGCAGGGTTTCGGCAGACACGTGGGCGTGCGGCGAGGGCATTCACGGCAGTCTCGGCACGGGCAAGTGGACCCACGTTTCGGCCCTGCCGACCCGAATCAAGGCCCTATCGGAACTCTACGAATACGACGAGGCCACCAACCGCGTGGTACCCATCCGACTCTCCCGCATCGCCGTTGGCGGCACGCACGCGTGCGCCGTGCTCGACAACTTCACGCACGTCGATGCCTCGGGCAAGATGTCTGTCAACGACACCAATTTTGGCGCCGACCTCCTGCTGTGGGGCGGCAACGAACACTACCAGCTGGGGACCGGTAAGCGCAACAATGTGAGCACGCCCGTGTACATTGCCCCGCTGGATGAAATGCCGGGCGATGCCGAGGACAGGCACCGGCTCCAGATCGCGCCGAGGAAGACGGTGCGTTTGGGCGAGGACGGAAAAGGTAGGACGGCGAGCGTTGAACAAAGGGTCGAGTGCGGACGCTATGTCACGGCTGTGTACTCGGGTGCTTGATTGAACCCAACTCTTGTCTCATACATTTGTACTACGTATTGGATAGGGTTGGACGGAGTCTGTGGTGTTCATGCGTTCTTGTCTCTCCACTTTTTCCCTGTAACTCCTATATGGGGGGATAGTTACTCCGTATTGTCAAAACCTCTCCACGCTTCGCATTTCTCCAGTCCGCGGACAATCGAACTATTGAATTTAAATGATTCTGGGGTTGCCGGACGCTCTTGTGTAGCGTAAGCACACGAGCCCGATCTTCATCAGTCCCCAGCCGCGGCTGCCAGTGGGCGGCCGGTGAGCAAGGGGCATGACCTAGCTGACCGATGGTGTAGGCTATTTTAGGAAGTAGATTAAAAAGGAGACTGCTTTTCGCAATATCTTCTGTTTCCAGCTGTCATCAATGACGGGCGGGAATAACTAGCTGAGACACCCAGGATTCATTCTTTCATTTAAAATGGCTTTTCCCCTGCAAATATTGGAAACCAGGTGTGTATGTAGGGTTGCCAAACGGGTAGATGTCCGGAGTTAAGGGACTCGCGTGTGATTATCTTGGACTGGCACGCCGGAAATGCAGGTGGACATTTGCGTGGGGCTGACCGTCGATGGGATCGATGGGTGGGTTAGGGTGGAACCTCGTGCCAAGCAGTCGGGCCGGAGACCCTTTGCTTGACAAGTGGGTCTTCCCCCGACGGGATTGTCGGGTCAAGATCTTTTGTCCCATTCCAGAACAATACACCGAGTGCGTGTATCGTATTGTAACTACGGATACCATAGCTCCCTCGTGCGCATCTGCGACGCTTGTCTCTGGAGCTGCACATCAATTCTGAAGCCATTTCCATTCCAGAGTCACGATTCCTTCTTTCCTATGTGCGACTCGAAATTTGCCACCTCAATTACGAAACCAACATCCAACCAATTCCGTCGGAAGAGGATCCCCTATTCTCAAAACATCAGCCACGAGCCGCACTCTGAACGAGCGATCGCCGTTCCCATTTGGAACCAACTGTCGGATTTGACTTGCAGAAGGCATTAAACGGTTGCGCGTGTGCGGTTCCGCCATACGGATACAGTGGATCGACCTCCTGAGTTCCTGCACCTGCATCTTCGCACGTGCTTACGGTTAAGTCGCTTGATCCCGCCGTAGCTGCTCTCAATTGCCAGGAACACGGTTGCCGTTCAATCACTTGAGCCCTGGTCGACTTCAAAACCGCCCGCCGGCTGGGTAGCGGAGTACCCCTACATTCGCCACAAACTTGAACGGCACCACGGTATAAACACTCTCGAGGCCGAGCCGGCCTTTGCGGGCCGTATACTTCCCCACGTTACCATCACCGGCGCTGCGACTGGCGACGTCATCCGTGAGACGGCGCAGCATCGCTAATTCCGGAATGGACCACATCCCCAGGTTTCACCGACGCCGAAAGGATGTTGGCGCTCCGACATTGATCACGAGCGATCTCCCAGCCAAAAAGGCGGCGACAACCACTTCGCCAGGTGATTTGCAGCCTGGATCGCCTATGCGGCAGCTCCAGAAGCTTAGTCCCTTTAGAGTGTTCCATCGCTCGTCCGGCAAGAGGGCGCGCGATTCGCCGCCTGCATCCCTTCCCCACTCGCCGGCCGAGGCGCAGGACGTGCTGGCCCGCGAAAGCGCCGATGGCCGGCCGGTCTCTCCGTTATCTCTGAAGACTGATAACGAGGGCGACCAAGGGCAGAAGGCCGCGACGCCGCCTAAAATGCCCGCTTTTCTGAATCTGAGCGACGATGGTGGGTTTACAATGTCTTCTCCTTCCCCGATTGCTCGAAACCGTAAGGGACTAACCTGGCCCTGCAGAGATTCTCAAGAGGTTTTATGAGCTGGTATGGCGCGAACGGAATCGGTTACTGCAATCCATCAACAACCCATCACCCGACTTCCGCTGGGCTCGCGTCACCGGACCACATCTCAAGACTTTGGACAGGTACATGAATGTACAGCCGTGGCAGAACAACCGGATCAAGCTGCAGGTGCCTGATGGTCATGTAGACTACATCAATGCCTCGCCGATCGTTCTCACACCGTCCAACGGCGCCGAGCCCGACCGATACATCGCTATGCAAGGCCCCAAGCAAGTATCGACGGACCATGTCTGGCGCATGGTGTTTGAACAGCTACAGGACCCTGCCGTCATCGTGATGCTGACAGAGACACACGAAGGGAACATGGAAAAATGCTTCCCTTACTTTCCGCGCAGCAAGGACGACCCCCCTCTCGAGATCAACAGGCATGACGAGTTTGGCGACGGGTTCAGAGCCACCGTGCGGTGCGAGGGTATGGAGGAGACGCCGGCCGGGGATGCCATTGAGCTGCGGAAGCTGGTCATCCGCGTGCTCTCGCGGCCACAGGTGCAGATCAAGGTCACCAAGGTACCCGAAACCACGGTAGAAGACAGCGAGAACAAGGAGGCAGATTCCGATGTCAGGATGGAGTCTCCCAACTCCGCAAGGCCGACCCCGTCAAAACCGGACACGACTGACGGGGACGGCGGCGGTGAGGACAAAATGAACCAAGATAATAACGACATCACCACCGAACCAGAAGAACGAACAGTCTACCACTTCCTCTACAAAAAATGGCCCGACTTTGGCGTCCCTTCCCTATCAGACCTCGACAGCTTTTTCACCCTTATGCGCCTTTCCCGCGAGAAGAACGCCGGGCCGGGCAACCCGCGCATCGTGCACTGCAGCGCGGGGGTGGGGCGCAGCGGGACCTTCATCGCGCTGGAGCATCTCATGCGGGAGCTTGAGTCCGGCGCCCTGGCCAACTATGACGATGTAAATCCCGCCGCATCCGTGTCTGTACCTGGTACGGATACACCCTCCCTGGGGCCCGGTGGTGGTGGTGGTAGCGACGCTGGCGGCGCTGAGGAGGCGGGGTCAGGGCCTCCACCTGGCGGGATGAGGGATATGATCTTTGAAACGGTCAATCAACTGAGGGAACAGCGACGGACCATGGTGCAGGCCGAGTCGCAGTACCTGTTCATCTACCGCGTGCTGAGGCAGTTGTGGGTGGCCAAGTACGGTGGTGGCGGCGGCGAGGGGCGTGCTGAAGGGGCGGCGGTCGATCATGATAACGACGCGGCGACGGCGGCGGGGGCTGGGGATGAGCCCGCGGCCAAGAGGCTTGAGGTTGATCCTGCTTTGGTGGGGAAGGATCGGGATCGGGATCACCATGACTCCTCTGCTGAGTGAGGGCGTGGGCGGTTTCGGTCGTCTGCGGTATCCATCATCACGGATCGCTTGCCGCTTCTTGGTTGGCAGGGCTGTTTATCTTTTTTTTACTTCTTCCTTTCTTGTTATCCCTCCTTCACATATGTTTGTTTGACTATAGGGTGCATGGGCTGGGGAGATCACCGGATAGAGGCTGCTTTCGAGGCAAGTGCCGTCCGTGGTCAGCTGGCCCGCCAGTCATCATATGGGTTCGGTAAAAGGAATGTATACTACGGAGATAGATGTACGATGGAGGGTAGAAGGGGTATTTCTTCTGCTTGGGTTGGTTGGTTTTGTATCTGTGAGTCGACAGGACATGGACTGGGGGATATCATAGCATCATTTTGCATCACTAGGGTAGCCATTGGCATTCAGCTGGGTTGGGGCGAAATGGCAGTGGTATGGGTTTGTGCTCTTTTTTCGCTTTTTTTATACTTTCTTACTCTTTTGTTTCCTTTCCTTACGGCGTGCCGAGGTAGCCTCCTCCTCAACGGCGGTGATCTTGTTAGATACCCAGCCGTGTCCAACTCTTCCATTTCATCCATCATGTTGTTGGGCATTCCCTGGGAAACAGGCCAAGACAGGTGACGGCGGTGATATCTGGGATGGCCGGTACTTGGCAACAAAGCGGCAGTGGTGCTATAGTGTATAGTATTTTTCTTTTGCTAGGGGGCGTGTATAAGGCCGTCCCGATGTTTGTATTGTACAAGCAGGGGTATACCATTTGTAAGTTTGGTGGCGCCGCTGCGCCCCGTTCACGACGATTTCGTCTTTTTCTTCGGCTTTTCCCAAAGGACGCTCCTTTCCCGCTCTAGATGTTCCGGCCGCCAACGTCTGCCTTCCCGAACTTCCCTTCAGCACCCTGCGGGATTTGATGTGCTAGCCAAGCAATACCCCGGCGAGATGCAGCAGACGGGGGCTTTCTTCTTTTCCCGCATGTGTACATATAACCATCTACATAACCCTCTATCGTCTATCCTACTGCTGTGCTTCCAACAGACTACTCCTATATAAGGAGAAACAGGGAAACATTCTGATACATACGACCATACCTACTGGAAAACTCGGGATCCCGTCCGCTCTCCCCTAGATAAACCAGTAAGGGCCAGATTAGTAGTTGGGTCGGTGACGACCAGCGAATCCCTGGTGTTGTATGTTCTTTTTCTCTTTTTCTTCCATTCCATGTCTGAGAAGGGCTTCTCCGTCAGTATCTTTTCCCTTCTGCCTTTTCACTTTTTCCTGTGACGGGGACATTTATGACTCCGACCCCTGTCAAAGTAGAGCATACTACGGTAGACAAACATGTATGTACGAAGTATTGTCCCCTTCCATTGATTAGTAGCTAGGAAATTGCAATCCGGGATGCGGATACATACATGGACAACACGACCATGTCATCCGGAAGCAAAGCGTGCAATGTATTTGATAGCCGGCTACCGACGCAGTCCTACGTTACAGCTGTAGTTAAGCCTTATATTACGGATGCCACGTGAAAATAGATTAAGCCATGGAGGAGTCGTCGTCACTGGAGTGATAATTATAGCTCGGAGCTGGGTAGAGAATGGTGGGTTATACAGTAGTGTACGGAGGTATATGGTCGGGATAGGAAATTGGAAAGCGAGAGGGGGAGTGCATTCTCAGTGTGAAGACACGGCACAGGACATGCCGTCCCGTTTCTACCCCGGCTTCTTCCCTCCCGCTTCTATGTACACTTACTCCACGCACATGCACAGGGTCCGTTGGTGAAATGACGGCTCTTGCGGTTGTGGATCATCTAATGTAGTGTTTATGTATTGCAAATACATCATCAGTGACTGGCAGCGCTTATATCATGTAGCAGTACGAAGGTATATACTCCGTTCCTCCGTACATACAACACTATACTACGCATGGTCTCCACGCAACGGTTTCGGCCTGGAAGCGAGCCAAAGCGAAACTGCCGGGACTGGACATGGAGCGCCAAGAACTGCGGACAGAACTACACACGTACGTAAGTTGTAACATAGGAAGGGACAGGAAATCGGACCGGTGTGGCTAAAGTCGCCGCTCGTTCCGTTGCAGGATTGCTCGAGGTGATGCTCCTGTAGGCGATGTACCGGTAGCTTGGACCGATACCGGTACCTTTAGTCATGCATATAGCTAGCGCAATTGAGTGGTTTTCCTCGTGGATAGCACGTTCACTTCGGTGGACAAGTCGAGGTGTGTGTATTTCCGAGCTATACTGAAAACCTTCAGTAATGGAATGCCAAACGCTCGTCAATACTTTTCCCTGCTTGATTCGTCCCGCGAGCTTTCAGAAGGCCCGATAATGCGGGTAACCTGTCATCCTTGAGTCGTGAGTGGAGTATCAACTCGAGGGGCATGATTGCGTCGCTGCCATGCAGCCTGCCAGTTAATGACAGCGGGTGTAATATGGCTGTTCAACGTCACTAGGGGCGTTCCAGCCACGTCGAAGGGCCCTACTACGGAGCTGTAGACAGGCTGCTTGATAGCTCAATGCCAAAACGAGACAATGGAGCACATCCATCCCCCAAGCCGGATGAAGGCTTACACTACAAAGCGCCAGTGATTGCATCGGATGCAGTTACTGCCGCCGTTGATCAGGACCAAAGGATCGGGAAAAGCTAAAGCTGGCAAGGGCAAGGTGGTCACCAGGTGAGTGCTGGATGACATCTCATCCTCCCGATTCGCCGGTCCTTCCTTCCTTTGTTTGTTACCGTCGCTGAACACCGAGGCGTGTTCTTGAATGTTGTTCGGGACATGCCGCAAATTCAGAGAAAAGCGTGAGTCAGTTCGGTAGCTTACCTTAATACAACAGCCTCACCATGCGAGAGTGGATATAATTGACTCTTCTTGGATATTTCTCCAATTCGCTTCCAATTCTGAAATCATCAAGGACTAGGTAAAACTCTGTTCTCTATTCCTGTTGTTTGTTCCCCTCAAAGCGAGGGGTGTCTTTCACGTGGGAAGACCCACGGCCCGAGTCTTAGACCAGGTGTGCAAGCGCCGTGTAACATCAGATACGGTAGTACTGCGTAATTTCGCACGGACAGAAAACGCGGGTCTCCACAATTGTCTTCGCGTAGGCATAGGGCAATTTGAAGGGTTCAGCGACGCCTTGAACCAGTGTAAACTACGAAAAGATGTAGATGGAAGTTGTCCAGGTCGGCTAGAGTAATTATACCCCCGAGCAACGAGGGATACCATCCAGGGAATGGAAGACCGAGTAAGATATCACAGTCGGGAGGATCCGATCGCGTGCCGCGGGACCTGGGGAATCGGATTGAGCTGCAGCTGCTTGGACTGTGCGGGGTGCATTCGCCGTGCCGACCCTCACCTGTCTGGGCCGTGCCATGTGCTGGTGTACATACATATGTATGTACATACACAACAGTGCTTCCCGAGAAAAGCTTCGGAAGTTGAATAACCAAAGTTACCAAACTTTGAGGCATCCTGGATTGCTGCGTTGTCTTGACAGGGTGGTGTCTGGGCACGCGGGCATGTCCATGCTTTGACGGGAGGTCGTCCCGAAATGGGACGCCGAACCCTGGTAGTTTAGCCCCTGGTTACATACGTCGTAAAATGGGACTCGGAACAGGAAGAAGGAGCGCATCAGCCGTCTCATCAAATTTCGGACAGCAAGAGTGCATAGAAAGCGCCATCTCGAAGCATGCTGGCGCCAACCTATGGTTCTCGTCTTGACTGTAAGGATATTGAGTTACCTCTAAAGTACCTAAAGTATGGTACGGTACATACAAAACTACAATCCCGTAGGTCCCTTCGTACCAAACAGATCTTGGGATTGGCAACGGCCGGAAGAGCCGGCCAAGGGGGCCGAATTAGGCAAAGAACGAGTTAGTGTAAGTAGGTACTCCGCAGGTATCCACCATCGGCCTTCTGGAAGGATTCTTCAATTCCTATAAGGGACCCGATCAGCCCTGCATCTCCTTGGTCTCCATACTTCGAGACCTGATCAGCCTGTGCAACACCTTCCATATTTGCTTTACGTACATTGCCTAAGGGTCGTTTCCTCGTACCGGGACCAAGCACCATCTCAGCTGCCCGGAAACCCTTCGACGAGTGAGTACTAATACACCTATAGCACCGGTGTATACACCTTCAGTACTTCGTCGGGATACTTTCCCTCGATTCGTCGAGCGCGGGGCCCTCTTATCGGTTGGGCAGACACCTCTTTGCATGGGCTGCCATGGCTCGCGACATCTTATTCCGAGGTTGAAGCTCTCTCGTCCGAGGCCCGAAGCCCATAACTTTCGCTGAACTGCGATCTGCCTCCACAACGTGGTATCGCGTCGTGCGTCACTCTGATCAGCTCACAAGTCACAACACAAAGTGTCCAGCCCGGTCCATTGGCACATGTCGAGACCTCGCCATCAGTAATTCGGACAAGTTGAAAATCCTGGGCGCCTACGCCACGGCGCGCAATTCCCTATTTCACAACGACGTACTTCGTATTGTACATACATACACCACAGTACGGCGAGGACAAGAGGTAAGACGGCGACTGGCACCAACACCCGGCAGAGCGGACGGTCCCAGAACCGGAAATTGTGTGCTTACCGAGACGACGGCCACTCTCTCTTTATCGATTTATTCCCCGCCATCACTTTCAGCGCAACGCATCCGGGCCTCGCCACCTCTTCGCGCGCTACCCGCACTATCCGCTTTACATCTCCGTAGCTCTGTTGCGACAGCTGCTGAAAACACAGCTTGGAGCTCCTTTGCCGCTCAACATAGCCATACCACCAATTGTCGAACACTAATAAACCCCCAAACCGTTTAAACCAACAGAATAGCGACTATGACGGCTCGATAAGATAAAACACCAATCATGACGTTGATTGTGAGTCTGCCGCTCCCCTCATCGCAATCTGACACCCCTCCATTGCCCAACCTCAGAGACAATGCCGTTTGCCCTGGTCGCGCGCCTGTGGATGCAACCCAACAAGCTCACCGCCTCACTTATAACGTGTTGCTTAACCCGGGGGGACGGCTGCCTTGGGGTGGCCCCCACGGAGGCGGCGCCGTATGATGGCTCCTTGTTTCTTTCGCTGGTTGCATCTCCCCACGTGCGGCAGTCCCAGCAAGTTGGATTGATAATTGGGCACGTCGGGTCCGGACTCGAGAGCATTCCCCCCGAGGCGCGCCCTCGACGCACATTAAGGGGGCACTGCCCTTTCTTTGCACTGCCGCCCGATGGCCTTCTCCTCTCCTTCTCAATCTAACCATCAGCCGCAGCCCAACCCGCCCAATGTCGACTTTGCCATCTGACCATGAGGCTAACATCTCATATCCAGCTCTGCTTGGCCCATTATTGTGACCTTCACGGGCCCACGCCCTTGATGGTGACCGAGGGGCTGCCGGTCCCCTGCAAGGCATGCTATGACGACGAGCTGCATGGTAGCACGTGTACAAGTACCGTGGTTGGCCGCGACAGGCCTCGCTCCGGTGTCCCAACTTCCAGCGAATCCGCGCACACGACCACTGCAATCACCGAAGCCTTGCGCCGACTTGACTTTGCCGGCCCGCACCGGAGCTCGTCTGTACCTGCATCCGAGCAGGAGGCTCAAGCCCACCGTGCCTCCCTCCGCCAAGCAGCCCGGACTACTGCAGCTTCCGGCTCTGCCATTGAGACCCCCCCACAAAGCCCCCGCATGCCCCCGGGCCCCGCCGCACAACAGCAGAAGCCGCGCCAGGAGTCGGGCTTCCGCAGGACATATGACGAATACGTGACCCGGCGTGCTGGGCCTTGCGAGAACTGCGCCTTGACATTACCGAAACGACAAGAGGGTGGTAGCGAATTGGGCGTCGAACCACGACCCGAGCGCGGTCCCACACTGCGAACCCGGGCGCCATGTGCGCGCGTGTTCAAGGGCGTTGACAGGACCTCGCCGCCGACCTCAGAGTCTTCGTCGTCGGCGCCGTCTGAGGACGAGTCCAACACCCGGCCACGGCAGTCACACCGTCGCACTGGAACATCCATCTCCGTGACATCGCGATCCAGCGCGAGCTCCTCTAGCACCAGCGCCAATGCGCACACCCATTATCTCGACTACACATCGACCCACGAGCCCGTTTCGCCATCGTCCTTCTCCTTTGTCCGCGCCTCGTGTCTGCGTACGCTCTCGCTCGAAACTCTCCCTCGCACGCCCGCGACGGGCCCACCTTCGGCGGGAAGCGCCATGCCCACCCCCAGCGCATCACCGAACACGCCCGCCTTTGTCACGACGCACAGCATCGGCTCCGCAGCGTCGGGTGGCCCCATATTTTTCGGAGACCCCGCGACCGGCTACACCACGGCCTACATCTTCCGCATCCCCGACGTGCACGCCCGAGGCCACAAGCGCGTCTACGCCTTTTTGGCCCTCAGCAACCACCGGGAACGCCTCGCCATGAAGACGTTTCCCTTCATCGCGGCCGCGTTCCGGGACATGGCGTCCTGGATCCAGGAGCTGGCCGAGGCCGAGGCCGAGCGCGCGCTGGCAGAGTCGACGGGTTCGTCAGCCAGCAGCCCCATCGTTCCGGGACCGGGCTACGGAAGCTTCTCCCATTCTGAGCCGGCCGCCCCCGCGGTGATTTCGGGAGCGGGAGGAGGAGGGGGAGGAAGCAGCAGCAGCAGCAGCTTCCTGATGGGCGGCATGGGCGGCCTGTCGCGGCGCATGGGCGGCGGGTTTGGAGGCTCTGCGGTCGCGCTCAAGCAGCGCGGCTTGGCCGAGTTGGTGGGACTCCCGGATTTCTTCATTGAGCTGCATACCAAGTTTGTGCGGCTGCTTCTTGAACTCGGGGTCGTGCTTGGCTCGTGAGCGAGCGGGCAGCGGGTGTTCCGAGTGGATGGTTCACCTTTGTATTATTTTTCTGGTCGGCCGGTACCATCCCGGTCAGGTCAGGTTACGACAATCGTTCCTTTTCCCGGAGAAAGGGGGCGACGAGAACCCTCTGTTTCAACACCATCCACGAACGCCATAATTTTATTCGGCTGCGTTGAACACACGCACCGTTTCAACATATCCTAGGAGGCCGCCCTTGGTCAACAGATGTCAACCATTAGGCAACTGGCTATGATCCTGGCCCGAGATCGCGACTTAACACCTCGGTCACGAACAGAACTCTGCGACAATTCTTCATCAGAACAAGCGGCGATTTGACCTGCCCGGAAACGGGCGGCGAATGTCGACCGAGCATTATAATCAAAAGCATATTGCCTTGACGGACGGTTAAAGGGGGATTTGAAGGGAAGACATGAATAGACGGAGCATGGCATGGATAGGTAAGGGCAATGGCATGTGGCATGTACATTGATTACAACAGGGGAAGGGGTTGGGGTTGCATGTATAGGTTCGGTTTGGGTTGTTTTTTTTTTGACTGCATGGCATGGAGGATATACCCAGCTTCTCTTTGGGAGGCTTGTTTTTTGGGGCATGAGATGAGACGAGATATTCCCGGCAGGGAGTTAGAAGGAGAGTAAACCGGGAGCAACATATATTGTACGACTGGGGGAAAGGGGTATGGAACGGACGAGGAGGACGTTCGAGCTGTTGCTTTGTTTTGGTTCCATTTCATGCTGATGATACCCCCCTGAAGCAAATTTCGGGTTTGTTGCGAAGAGATACCACGACAGGGAAGGGGCCCAAGGGGGCGCAACGGGGAAACGCTTGTTGGAATTGAGCAAAGAAGGCTCATGTACTATTATTACCTACTTATGACGGGCTGCCAGGCCAAACGCCAGCATTTAACGAGGGGTTAGACCAAGGACAAAGGAAAAGGGGGCAGACTACCTGAAATCATGGTATCGGTGAGCTTTATGGGCAGGAGGTCATTACAGAATATTTGCCTTAGGTTCTTGTACGATAGGTATGCATATAAATCGAATGACGAGAGCTAGTATGTACAAACTGTTTCTCGACACCATGATCATCCATCGCTGTGATTATAATAGCGAGGTTGAGTGACGTCCTAAACCACCAAACCCGTTTCTACGGAGTACTTGCAGTGTATCGTACAAGAGGAACAGGCTAAATCGCCTCTCTGCCCCTGGCCAGCAGCCTATCACTCTGCCCGGTCCTGCTCCTGCTTCCTGTCCAAGCAGCAAACATGGCCGTCTATTTGTAAAAGTCAAACTTGTTTTCGTCAGTCGAACCTTTAACCTGGCTGCTGTACGCATCTTCGAGGTCGGCCTGGATGATGTTGTAGCGGTTCTTGCGCACTGCGCGCAAGCCGGCCTCCTGCATGATGGCGGCGATGACGGCACCGCTGAGCGGGTCGTTGCGCACGATGAGGCTGTCGAGGTCGACCTCGGGCGCGAGGCTCATCTTGGAGGCGATAGTCGTGAAAATCAGGCGACGCTCGCGGCGGTCGCGCAGGCTGGGGAACTCGATCTTGCGGTCGAGGCGGCCCGGGCGAAGCAGGGCCGGGTCGAGCGTGTCAGCGCGGTTGGTGGCCATGATGACCTTGACGTTGGCCGTCTGGTCGAAGCCGTCCATCTGGTTGAGCAGCTCGAGCAGGATGCGCTGCACCTCGCGGTCGGCGCCTGTCTGCGCGTCGAAGCGCTTGGTCGCGATGGCGTCAATCTCGTCAATGAAGATGATGGCCGGCGCGTTCTCGCGCGCCATGCGGAACACGTCGCGCACCATGCGCGGGCCCTCGCCCAGGTACTTTTGTACGAACTCGGACCCGACCACGCGGATGAAGTTGGCCGTCGTCGAGTTGGCGACCGCCTTGACCAACATTGTCTTGCCCGTGCCCGGCGGGCCGTACAGGAGCACGCCGCGCGGCGGGTCGATGCCAATCTGCTTGTAGAGGTCAAAGTGGGTCAGCGGAAGCTCAACGGCTTCCCGGATCTCCTGCTTCTGCATGTCGAGACCGCCAACGTCGGCGTACGTCACGTCGGGCTTCTCGTCGGCGCCGAGCATGGCGATGGACGAGTCGGCCTCGGGCGGGAGGATGTCGACCAGCGCATTGGAGTGACGGTGGAGGGCGACCGAGGAGGATGGCTTCAACTTCTCACGATCAAGCGTTGAGAGAATACGGACGACATAATTAGACCCAGTGCTGGATTGGACAATGCCGGTACTGGAGATGGAGCGTTAGCCCGGCTGACAGCGGCATGGCACGAAAACAGAGAGAACCTACTTCTGATCGATGGCCTCCATAAACTGGCCGATAACTAGGGGAACACTCTGAATGCGCTTGATCTCCTCCTGTGCCCGGACCAGCTCACGCTTCAGACTCCTCTGCTCGTCCTTGATATACTCCTCTTGCAGCTGGATGTATTCGAGCTGTCGTTGCAGCCGCTTGAGCGTCGCGTAGTCATCGCCGCCTTCTGTTGGCACGCCTTCGAAGTTCTCAATGCTTGGAATCGTTGACGGCCCGTTCTTCTTGTGCGGCTGGACGTAGTTGCCTGCGTTCTCGGCGAGGATGTCTCCCATTTTGCAGGCTGTGTCTGATTATCGAGTTGTTTGCTTGGAAGAATCTGCGAGGGTGCCTGAGACGGGGATAGTCCAAAATGCAACTCTTGGTGTTGATACTAGCAAACGTGCGGTGTGTGTAATCGCGGATCGATTCGCTGTCTAAGCTGGTGTATGGAGGTTTCACGCTTTCTTTGCTGTTCGACGGTTGCTTTCGCCTTGTGGTGGATGGATGCCATGCAGGTCGGGCAGTCTTGGCTTGGCGGAGTGTCTCGTCATCCACTGGAGCCTGAGGTTTGGCCCACTCTACGGTGTAGGTTCTTAAGTCTCGATAGCCTTGGGCTTGGCGCTATGATAAGGTAAGGTAGGCGAGGCGAACCGCTCCAGTGGTCTGTGCTTGGGCCGTGGGGGAAGTTGCCCCACTTCTTCTTGCTGTCAGGGATCCATGGCAAGGATTGGTTGAGTCAACTCCGTCACCGCAACGAAGCACTGTGCGGTTCCGACTATGATATACAGTACTAGTAGTCAAAAGGCTCCGAGGGTCCGTCTGTTCCGGCCGGATTTGCTATATAGAAACGACTATTTAGTTTGATGTTTCCTCCTGTATTCGCAATGCAGAGGGAAAACTCCTACACCAGGGGAACCTAATGGATGGCACGGAGAAAAGGCTGGAGTTGCTTCCCCACAGAGGGGCAGCATGCTGCTACCTTTCTGCCGACCTTGATGGCCAAGACCGTTCTCGACCGTCCCACGTAGCCTTACCAATATACAGAGCAGCTCCTGCAGCTCCATCATAGTGAAGCGACTTCGCCCGAGCTCCCTCAAAATGCCCCATATCAGATGATGCTGGTGTGAGCTGTAACTGCAATCATCGTAGCCACGAATCCACCCCTCAAGAGATGCAGCGGGTTCGGGGCCCAACGACAAAGCCAATGGCGCCATGGAGTGCCATGTGGATTGAATGGATGGATCGCCTGCGTCAGTTGGCCCCAACCGTTGTGCCTTCCATCATTGCATTTCTCCATGCCGACCCTAAGTGTAAATAGTTCACTATTAACGTTAAGTTAGCCACAATCGATTCGTCGCTGGCTAGTACAATTGCTCCCCTTTCAACCTAAACGTTAACTTAGTGAGTCGAGCAGCTGGGAGTCCATCCACTCCATTGCAATCACTCTGCCTGCCAGACCCTGCCTACAGTGGTTAGCGTACTGTACACTACCTCCCTCCTTGCCTGCCAGCCTTCAGCCTGCCACTAGTGCTACCATCCATCCTTCTACTCATCTATTCCTCCCGCCCTTGACTTGTCCACGCCGCCTCTTCCCAACCGTCGTTCCCCGCGAGCCAAGCCGTACTCACCCTCCGCCGCTTTTTGCTGTCCTGGCCTCGCCCGAGGCTTCGATTCATTTCACCTTGCTGGATTCATGGTCATTTCCTATCTGCAGCTCTGCACGTCCTCCCGGCAGCAGTAGCTCTTCGACTCACGCCACCGCTCTCCCCTATACTCAAACGTCAGGCCGTCTTTGAGGTGTTGAGACTTGGTCTCCTCCATCTGTCACCGTCGCGATGGATAACATGCCGTCTTCCATCACTATTCCCGATCAGCGCCGTCGGCAGCGACCTCAGGCCGATGCCGGCTCGTCGCCGTCGTCCTACTCGAGCTCCCCAAGCACCCCGGAGCCTTCTTCCAATGCGTCGTCTCGGGCCGCCCAAAAGCAGAAGATGCTGCACACTAGGCGGCCGAGTCTACTTAGTCAGTCTAGTTCCGCCTCCCGTCACTTCCGTCTCTCACTTCCGTATCGACGGGACACCGTCCGTGCTTCACCGGCTAACCCCTCGCCCGCTAGGCTCGGCCTTTGCTAAGCAGGAGTGCACCACCATCAAGATTGGTGACGATCCTGACGGACCCATGAGGCTGGTAAGTCTGTCCCGCTGCGGGCTTGGCGTTCTACTGCCTGCCCAGCTGCTCGACTTGTTGCTCACAACCTATGGTTGCCAGGTCACCTACCTCTCGTCTGGCCAAGGCTTTGTATGGAACCCTGAGATTTTCCTCCCATCGTTCGGCGACTACGACTATGTACCGCTCGACCAGCGCCGCGACCCGGTGCACGAGATCTACCTTAGCGACGAAGAGATTCGCAAGATGATGCCGCAATAAACGAAACGCAAACGAGTGGAACGGACAGACTGTATCCCATACAGTTGTATATCAGCTCGGTTTCACCGGGAGGGGTTACTGGACCTGTTTCGCTTCACAAGAAGCCTCGATATGGCTGATCGGAGAAACCTGGCGTTGGGAGCTGACTGTGATTTTACATTGTTATCTTTTGCCCACCCCAAAACGCAGTTTTACCGGGGGTTGCGGGTTCTTTTGAGAGAAACCACGAGTACATTTGTATCCGCTGCTGGCAAATGACGGGGTTGCTTTGGTTTCCTTCTTTCCTTTTAGTTTCACCCGGAAAGGCATACAGCGTTATGGTGCTCAAGGGTAGGGTTTGGAGTTTCAACTTCTTCGGGATTGAGGGGCTATCATTCATGTCATGTCAAAGGGGAGTTGGATTTTGGGTGCTCTCGACTCCTTCGGAACAGAGTGGTTTGGCATCTCCGTTCCTCGCAGTATAGCTTACGCTAGAGCTCCATAAACCAAGCCTGTTTTGAATGTTGTGATCTTGTTAACATGACAGGAACAGCTGTCTTGGGGCTACAATGTATGGTAGCGCGGTCAATTGGTGGTAGCTTATTCAGGTCGAAACTGTGCTCAGTAAGCTCTGCATGGACGGTCGGAGCTGGTACAACGTTGAGCGAGTGACGCTGTGCATTCTTCGATTCTATCTGCAATCTTACATTCTGTCGTGGAATTGTTCCCGTTCTGGCCGTGTCCCATATGTTTGGCCAACGGAGGCAGCCTTGTCTCTTCGACTTTGGTAGGGACGCCGTCACACCGGCAATGCGGCCTCCGCCGATAAAACCGGGCCGACCGTAATGACTTGTCGTTGATCAGGGCAGTTACATAGCCGAACCCCACCAGGCCTTACTAGCGCGGCTAGCTTGCCCCGCTCGGTCCCGCTACAGAGAAGGCTGAAAAGCACGCTGTTATCGATAAGGTGTTTACACTCGTTGATGGCGACGCGATAACGTGTAGTATCACAATGAGTGGACGAACTCGATGCACAATTGCTCCTCTGTCCACACCACGGCAATCAGATACCCAACCACGCTCTAGCAACAAGCCCTCGCTTCTATTAGCAACAACCAAGATCCCCCGAAAGCCCAAAAAGCCAGTCACCCCGCGATGGACTCAGCAGCCCATCGCCCGATCGAGCTCCAATCGCCCGAAGACTTCATCTACCTCATCGACAACGTCCGGCGCGCCGCTGCAGAGAACATCAACGAAGCCTTCCCGCCTGTGGAGGACGGCCAAGAAGAGGACGAGTTGCGCAACCGCATCGAGCAGCTCGTGAACGACGTACGCATCTTACTCTTTATCAAACTCTCCAGCTCCCCAATGAACTCGAACTAACCCCTTGCTACAGTACATCGTAACTACATTCACGCTCGCCGCCCCGAACCTGACAATCAACGGCCTGCCCGTCGATCCGTCCCAATTCCTCTCCTCCCACGGCCTCACCCAACCACAACAGCAGGAAGTCATTGAGGAGTACGAGCCCTTCGACGCGCGCAAGCGCGACCGAATCGAGGAGCTGGTCGCCCAGGAGGAGGACCTGCTGCGGTCCATTGCGCAGCTCAAGCGGCGGGTGCCGGGCGCGACGGCGGCGCGGTGGGCCGACGCCACGCGAGAGGGGATAGCGGCCGACGAGGCGGCCCTCGAGGCCGCGCGGGGGCGGATTGAAGAGGACGCGGCGGCCGCCGGACGCAAGGCGCTCGAGGGCATGGGCGACCTGGACCGGCAGCGGGACGTGGAAGGGAGGTTCAAGGATGCCGTTGCGGGCTTGGAGAGGTTAAAACGGGACATGCCGGCCGCCGTGGCCAAGATGGAGAGGGCGAGGGTGGCGGCTGGGTATGTGGCTACTAGCACTGGGGGTCGAAGGTAGGGTTTGTGTTGGAGGAGGGAGGGGAATTGATGCTGGGTATGGGACAAGGGATAATGGATAATGGAGTCTGGCGCTGGTTGGGTACCGTGAGCTAGATGGTTGGTATCTTCTGTATTTGCATGGTGTGGTGGCCGGCATGAGGCAATGCTTGAAGGGATTCAGTGGAGTCAGCGGAATACCCAAAATGCAAGGAGTCTATTGTGTATCCATGCGGAAAAAATTTATGACGCAGTGATTCAAATGTACCCATGCTGCGCGTCACAGCACCCTGGAGAGCCAACAGCTTGTTCAGTCCCTCCATTATGATACCACAGCGCCAGAGCTGGCTAGGCATGCTAACCCCATGCTCCCAATGCCTTTCGAGGATAAATCCTTCCAGTCCCAGTAAAAGCCACAGACAATATAATTCGAAGATGGGAATCCGACTCTGACGTCGACTTCCTCTATGCGGCGGCCGGAGCGGGAGCGCCAGCTGTCTCGTTGACCTCGGTAGCAGTGGGCACGGGAGCGGCCACGCTGGCATCAGCACCCTCCTTGGCGGCATCAGCCTTCTTCTCCCATTTGGCCGGTCGTGCCCATTCCGGTTCGTGCCAGGGACCCATATCGCTGAGCTCGCAACCACCTGGGCACTCGCAGGTGCCGCCAAACTGCTTGGGTAAGTTCTCGGCGGGCACCTGTTTTAGCAGCTCCTTTTGATAGCCGCTGCCAAGTACGTGGATCTTCTGCACCGTGACGGGGTCCAGCCACCCCTTGATGGCACCCCAAACCGTGCTAAAGCCCCAGGGCGCGTTGATAATGTACAATTTCCCCAGACGCTCAGGGTAGTAGTTTTGGCTCATTGCGCTCGCCTGCTTGACGTAGCTGTACACTTGAGGCGCCTTGGCCAGGCCCACTCCCTTGAGGTCCATGATGGTGCAGCAGGTCTCGAGTAGGCATCCGGCCTTGCGGCTGCACGCAGGCAACCGCGGGTCCGCCACCCGCTCGTACTCGACCGCGAGGTTCATCAGCATACGCTCCGCCGTCGTGATCTTGTACATGGCGTTCAGGTCGATACCCCCGAGCTGCTCGATGTAAACGGGACGACCATCCTATTTCACGAAGTGTTAGCCGACGAAGGGACTAAGCATAAGGGAGGGCAGGAAGCCGCACCTTGTCAGTCTTGTGGTAGTACTGGGGATAGTACTTGAACATCTCCTTCTTCTCGGGGTAGTCCCAGTTCGGCACTGTCTCGTCCAGCTTGATTTCTTGCCGCCACTTCTCGCATTCGACGAACCTGAGGGTTGTTAAGCATTCCCGATATCTAGGATAGCCGTCATCGGCTAGACACCATACTCACATCTTCTTGGCAAGTTCGACGTCAAACTTGCGAGCGCGCAGAAAGCGCAACTATCCCAAGTCTCAGTCAGCAGCGGTCCCTCATGGCACGCTTGCATTCTCAAAGAGAGGTGTGCGGTACCAGCGTCAGCGTGTCTAGACGTTTCGTGTAGCCCTCGGCTTCGAGCATCAACCGCAGCTGGGCCACCTGAGCCTGCTGCTGGGGGGTCAGATAGCCGGGGTGCCCATCCTGGGGTTCAGGTGCTGCGGTCGGGAAATCATAGTCGTCATATTTGGGATCGAGCTCCAGCGGTGTAGGTGCCATTATGTCTCTTCGGTTCCCGTCCTGTCGAGTTATGCGGGCTCGGTTATGCTCAGTTCTCGGATTGTTGGACACACTTTAGATACCACGTTTCCTGAGGATCTGGAGACAAAAGGGATGAGAGCACGGCTCCACAAGTTTGTGGATATGTGGATATGGACTCGCAAAGACCGAGATGGTTGTGGCAAGCGAAATGGTTGAGGTGCACGGGAAAAGGCGGACTTGGTATTGAGGTTGACGAAGTGCCTGAAATGGCCAGGGGCCTAGCCCGCTGTGGATTTTCGTCATTGGCGGCTGGGGCAACGACTGCGGCAATCACTTCACTCACAGGAGCAACTCAGCGGCGTCAGCGGGGCAATGGAGCCCCACATCCAGCCAGAGTCCTGGGCCAACAGCAGGATGTGTGTATTGTACGAATAGGTGCTGTATGTATGTATGTACATACAGTACCGCATGTAGTGTACATGATACATACATACACCTTACAGTACTGTACAGCTCATTAGTACGGAGTACAGCAGCTCTAATGTCACCTGCTTTTGAAGCCCTTCATCCGAACATTGAGTTTCCATCTTGAACATGCAGCCACATGGCTACCAGACCGGCCGTATCTGACAATGAGGTCAAGTCTAAGAAGGCAATTTGTTGGTGTGGTACCGCACGAACGGGTTGCAGCCCGGGCCGCCAGGTGAGTGCTAAATTCAAGTCTCCGTCGCATATGCCACCCTCAGGTGGCCGGCTGGTACCAATCGCCAACATGAAAGCCGCAAAGTTCGCAGCATTCTATATGAAGTGCACATGCCGTTGCCATCTTGCATGCACACTATATTCGTTGATTGTCTAGGTACTACTAACATCTCGAGGGACGCCTTGACTGCTTCTTCCCAACTTCCTGCTTTGTCCTCCACTACTGGAGTACAATACCTTCGTTGGCGGCGGCAATGCCTCAATCGTTGGTGTGTCTTCCGCATGCTTAGGACTCCGTTCTCTTAAGGAAACCGCGCCTGTCGACAGGATTGAGTTAGGGTGGAATGACAATGCATGCCCGCTTGATGGTATTGGAAAGACGGTAGAATAGGGTGGGCCGTCGATAATATTGGCATCTCTGGGAGAGTCGACCATGTTAACGTCCAATGAAGGACTCAACCTCCTGAAGGAGGTTTCTCAACGCCCTTCCCTGTGCGCTTATCCTCCTCTTCTTTGTCCTTGCGTTTCTGTACCACATCCCAGTTGTATACCCTGGCGACTGCCACCTCCATGGTCTTCGGTAGTCAGTAACAGCTGCAGGACGAAGACGAGATCGGGGTAGGGCATTACCGTGATTTGCTCCCTTAAGAAGTCCAGGTCCTCTAGGCAGTTTGACAGACTCTGCTTCGCGGCCTGAAGCTTTGATTCAAGCAGCGTCTCGGCCTCATCGATAGGATATGACAGCATTACATTGGCCTAACCACATATCAGCAATCGAAATCCTCAGCGCCAAATGCAACAGCGAGATGGGAAAGACCGAACCCCAAGCCACAAGTAGACCTCATCTGTCGGCGGTATTTGAGCCTTCGCGTAAAGCGTCTCGTTTAGCTCGAAAGTCGTCTCGATCGGGTCCGACTCGGCCTGCCCTCATAAAGGCTTCGAATAAGCATTGTTCGCTTGTCCACAGCTCGGCAGGAGTTGGGTCAAGCTTACCGGCCTCATTTTCAGAAAGCGCACCGTATCCAGAGTCTTCTGAATATCCGGCAGCTTATCTTTCAGCCCTATCACTCTCCTCTGTAGATTCTGTTCCATGAACTGGTACTTCCTGGCTCATCCCGAAACAAGGTATCAGCCGGGATACCATCCACCACTTCAAGGCTTGCCCCTGGAAGCCACGAAATCCCGGGCGAGGAACTCACGCAATCATTTCCTGAAAGCTCCTGAGGGTCGGCTCGACGTCGGCACGTGATGAGACATAGTCCTCAACCTTGTCGACGAACGGCGCATATGGAATACCTCGAGGGTTAGAGCCTGGAGCAACCCTACGTTCGTCAGCTCTTACGACCTCGTGAACTGTGACATAGAGAAACTTACTTCGTTGCTGGTTCTTTTCCTTGACTTGCCATCTTAGACCAATCCTTCACATGTTGCGGCAGCGACAGACAGTTTCCCAGAGGCGACGGGATGGCGGCAGATTTTCCAGCTTGGTTGAGTTGCTCATTTGACAGCTCACCGGGCAAAAATTCATGGCGGGGTCGTAGCGGCCTGGGGTGGACATGTCACTGATGTAAGTAAAATACAGTCCGCAACGCGCGTTACTGTATCGTACAATACACGTACTTACGCACTACTCGAAATCGTAGTACGTATTTGTACCTTGAGCGACAACGCATTTGTGGGGTCAGTTGGGAAACGACCTTGCACTCCAGACGTCAGACGTCGGTGGCAGCCTTTGCAGTATCTGTACTCCTTAAGATCAGATTCATCCATCATCGTCTTCTACGTAGTAGCCTAGCTCATCTACATACCAGCATTGTATGATATACACTTACTTACAGGTAGTACTAGGTCCGCCTTACTCCGTGGAGGCTGCTGCGCATGACAGGCCGGTGGAGCTTGATTGATAGCGCATCCATGGTTCGAGTGTGGACCATGGCGATGTTTTCCGATGTATAATATGTATGCATCAAATTTCATGAACGCGGAGCTGATATGTTGTGGTTTCTGTCTATGCTGGGCTGACAGAAGAGCCATTTGTATCTTCCGTCCCAGCCACCCTGTCACCTGTGTTGTGTAATGTGTTGTGTTGCTGACGAATGTTGCACGTGGTGACTCGTGCCGTGTAAGTCTATACAGTGTCCAGCACAGTACCGTTACTGGACCTAGGCTGAATGGAGCTGGTGCCTCGTGCCTGCATCCGCTGCGTCCCTACGTAATCATACCCCAACCGGGAGGCGCCTCTCCTCCCGCAGCATAACAATCCGGGGTTTCTCCAAAACACAAGCTGAGCTCTCCGTCATCCTTCACCTGCCTAACTCCATCGTTTCTTCCATCGACCTCACCCCTTTCATCACCGTCGGCATCATCGGCCGCAACAGTGAATCCGCCTTTGCTACTCGGCTTATCGCCTTACATTCCTTATCTTCGCTTTCCCGCCACATCCGTCGACCGTAGAGCTGCCCATCATGAAGGGTGCTCTGCTGACCGCAGCTGTGCTGCTCGGCTCCGCCCAAGGCGCAGTCCACAAGCTCAAGCTCAAGAAGGTTCCCCTCGCTGAGCAGCTTGTAAGTTGACTCTTTTCCGGGAGCGCCTGATTTCTTGCTTATCGCTGCTTCTAGGAGTCGGTTCCCGTCGAGACCCAGCTCGAGCATCTAGGCCAAAAGTACATGGGAATCCGACCCCAGAAATCCCATGCCGACGCCATGTTCAAAGGCATGGTTGCCGACGTCCAAGGCAACCACCCAGTTCCCATTTCCAACTTCATGAACGCTCAATGTACGTGCATCATGTGCCGGCGTCGACGTGTTCTAGCAGACTTGGACTAACGGTTACTGCAGATTTCTCTGAAATTACGCTAGGTACTCCTCCTCAGAGCTTCAAGGTGGTGCTGGACACGGGTAGCTCCAACCTGTGGGTCCCATCCGTGGAATGCGGCTCCATCGCTTGCTATCTGCACAACAAGTACGACTCGTCAGCCTCGTCTACCTACAAGGCAAACGGATCTTCCTTCGAGATTAAGTACGGTTCAGGAAGTCTGAGCGGTTTCGTGTCCCAGGACACTATGACCATCGGGGACATCACCATCAAAGGTCAGGACTTTGCCGAGGCGACCAACGAGCCAGGCTTGGCCTTTGCTTTTGGCCGCTTCGACGGCATTCTTGGCCTTGGTTTCGACCGGATTTCGGTCAACGGGATTGTTCCCCCGTTCTACAAGATGGTCGAGCAGAAGCTCATCGACGAGCCAGTGTTTGCTTTCTACCTATCCGACACTGATGGCGAGTCCGAGGTTGTCTTTGGCGGCGTGGATAAGGCCAGGTACAAGGGCAAGATCACCACCATCCCGCTGAGGCGGAAGGCCTACTGGGAGGTGGACTTCAACTCCATCTCTTATGGCGATGACACCGCCGAGCTCGAGAACACGGGCGTCATTCTGGACACCGGCACCTCGCTCAACGCATTGCCGAGCCAGCTCGCCGAGATGCTCAATGCCCAGATTGGAGCCAAGAAGAACTACGCCGGGCAGTACGCAATTGACTGCAACAAGCGGGACTCGCTCAAGGACGTCTCATTCAACCTGGCGGGTTACAACTTCACGCTCAGCCCCTATGACTACGTCCTCGAAGTCAGCGGTAGCTGCATTTCCACCTTCTTTGGCATGGACTTCCCTGCGCCTACCGGGCCCCTTGCCATCCTGGGTGATGCATTCCTTCGCAGGTATTACACCATCTACGACCTCGGAGCCGGCACCGTTGGGATTGCTGAGGCGGCGAAATGAACGCTGTTAAGAATCCAGATTGTGGAATGCCTGGGTAAAGGGGGTTACTGTGGGACAGGCTTGAGTACACGTCTTTTTTGTCTCTTGTTTCCGCATTCATTGTACTCTACGATGCAAATCCTTAACTACTCATCCTCTTACTTTTCTGGTGTTTGTGTGATGAAATTGCTCAACTTGAGTCCGGGCCCGAATATCACAGGAGCCGGAGAATGGGGATTAGAATAACTACGCCAGTCATGTTCCTTCATGTCTGAATCAATACTAGGTTCCTATGTAAAATGGCAAGGCCTGAGCCTTTCTCCTTTCGAGGGGTATCTATCCCATCCCAGAGAGTGATTCTATCCAGTACATAGGGTAACCGTGACAGAAAAGTACAGGTAGTGATCCCCGAGTGAGGCTTGACGCAAGGATGATATGCGTTGGGCGCCTCAGCTCTTAAAAGTGGCCGTCCGTCCGCCTTTTTCATAATTCATCTTCCTGGCGCCCTGTGGCGCATCACCGGACTTTTTCGTGTATGGATCAAAGGCGGCCTTGCGGCCCTTGGTGCCGTTGGCGGCACCACCACCACCACCACCACCACCAGCATCCCTGGGCGCGTGCAAGACAGACTGGGCCTTGCTGTAGTCAAACTGCTGCTCTCCCTCCTCAACAGACGCGCCTGACGCCTGCTGTTGCTGCTGCTTCTGCTGTTTCTTCTGCTGCTTCTCCAGCCTTTTCTGCTCGCAAGCGGCCTTCTTGGCAGCCCTCTCCTCTCGCTTGAGTCGAATCAGTTCCCTCCCAGCTTCTTTGCCCTGCTTGCGCAGGGCCTCCAGTTCCTCTCTAATCAGCTTCTGTTTCGGCTTTTTGTGGGCTTCATCGGAGGCCTTGTCGTCGCTCGCGGACGGACTTGCAGCCGCCGAAGTTCCGCCCATTTCCGCGTCATCCCGTTCGGAAGCGTCACCGCCAGAACTGGGTTGCTGCTGCCCCGGTTCCGACTCCGGCTCCGACTCGGGCTCGAGCTCAGCTTCTCTGGCTTTGCGCTTCCGTCCGCCCTTGAGCGTGAACTCGGGCTCCTCCTCCCTAGCGGATGTGGCTGCCGCATCGGGCTCCTCTGCGACTTTCTGAGACGGTTGAATTTCCTCCTCTGCACCGAGGATACTGAAGGTGACCTCGGAGTAGGGGAACGGAATCTCCACCTGCTCATCCAGGGTATCAGTCCGTATGGACCCATCCCAAGCCGAGCTGAGAGCCATGCTGCCCCATAACTGGGAATGCTCGCTCTTCAGTTCCTGGATGCTCAGGGGCTCGCCGTCCACGTGTACGCTGACTTTAGCTGAGGAGTCTCCTAACGGGGTCTGACCGGCCGCAGCAGTAGATGACTGCTCAAAGAACTGCAACATAGTCGGGCCATTTGCCCCCTTGGCTTTGGCCTCTTGGATGACGTCGAACAGAGAGTCGAGGTGAGCCTTGAGACCGCGAGCTTGTGAGTCAAGAAGGGTCCATAAAGCCTTCTTGTCAGTTGGTATGATGCGCGCGATATCCGAGAGCACTTGTTGAGTCATGAAAAAGTACGGGCTCTCGTCCTCGCGGCGGGCTAGATCGTCGCGCCACTTGTGCACGGCTTTGTATACTGCAAATTGCTCACCGTTGTAAAGTGTCGGTGCTTTGACCAACGTATTGAACCATCCACGGCTGCCGGCGCCCATTTCGAGGTCACAAAGAGGGTACTCATAGCGCTGCAAAGCCACCTCTCGGGACTTTGCAAGAACCCGATCGATGGGCTTTCCGTTAGGGTGGTACTTCCCAAGCTCGGCCAGCTCGTTGCGCAGCATGTCGTAGATGTAGAGCAGATAATGTGTGTCGGACCGCGCATAGTAGAACATCTCGTCCGGGAGCGGCCTGGGAAATTGGTCAGTCAAGTATCTGTCAGGGGGTCGCTCAGGCTTACCGGATCCGCCAGTCTGCCAGTTGGTACTTCTTGTCCGCATCAAAGTCGGCGAACTTCTTTAGAAGGAAGGCCAGGCTCTTGCCTGGATAGTTGAGGGCGTCGCAGGCATAATATGTATCAAAAAGCCCCACTAGATACAGACCGAGATCCCGCTGAAGCCAGATGACGTCCATGAAGGCGCCGTGAAGTACCTGAGCGCTGTTAGCAACACGCATTACTGTGAGAACCGTTCATTGCTCACTTTGACGATTTTTGGATCGGCAAAGACATCGTTGAGGACCTCAAGCTTGTGTCTCCAAGGTACCAGGGTGTCGATTATCCAATCTTTTTCCCTTGTGCTGATCTGCATTAAGGACAGAAGGCCCTGGTACGACCTGTAATCATGGTGTTCCAGGTCAACTGCGATCTCGGTTGCCTTCTTCAGCTCTTCTAGCATTTCCAAGACGCCTTCGTAGGTATCGACCCAGACAGCCTTTTTTGACTCGATTGGGAGATACTTGACTGGCTCGCAGGGCTCGAAAACTTCCTTGGGATACTGCATGCTGAGAATCTCGGGTTCATAAGGGTGCTTATATCTACGTTCCAATTAGCACAGTGATTAAGCAACCTTCATGGCTGCCCTCCTCTCCATCTCAGTTGTATCAAGGGACAAGGAGGCGGGGACACGTACTGCAAGTTCTGATTCGGGTCCGCAAAGGTCGTCAAACTCTCCTCTAGGGGTACTTTGGCGTGAGGCTTGTTTGTTAACAAGGGCTTCCATGGCTCAGGATCGAGGTTGTCGATCTTCCTCTCGAAGGCATTTTGGGGCTTGAGAATGTTTGCACGCTTCAGGGACCATTCCAGTCTGTCGGAAGTTGGCTTCGAACGTTTAGCATCACGGCCCTGGAAAAAGGTTAGTCTCAGCCTATAGAAGTCGATGATGTGCGTGCGCATACGGAGTCATACGTTGGCGCGTCCTTTCGCTTGACCAAGCCGGTGTACTCGTCGAGGCAGGTGTCGGCTTTCTCCAACAGCGAGTCGATAACATCCACCACGGGTCTCCACTGTATCTCGATGTCGTCGACATCCTCCAGCTGACTTGTTTGCTGGCCGGTCAGTTTCCCAGCCGATTTGAGGAGACCACTTGCCAACTGCAGCAAGCGATCTGTCTGCTGGTCAAGCCGGCGCGCAACCGGTGGATGTACTGTCCGCTGAAAGTGAAGGTCCTCGCTGGCTAGCCCATTCACCGATCGCGTGACTGTCACCAGCGCAGCTTGAACGCCTTCTCGCAGAGCCTTAAAATCCTGTGATGGATCCATGGTGACAGCTCTGCAATCCGTGTGTCTTGCGCGGGCGCTGGGGGGAGGGGAGCTCAGCGCATGCCACAGCAGGTGTAGGTACTTTTCAATGTTCAGGAACTTTTCCGAGCGTCGCTTTGTCTTGGCCAAGCGGGCCTGACGCACCATATGCCGCTAGGCAATTGAAAGTTTTATTTTACGCGCAATGTCTTTTTGGATTCTTACCGTAACATGTCGGTGGAGATAAACGAATATGGAGTACTCGATAAGATAAGAATGCCCTGAATGGTCCGGTTGATGAAGCCGACATGCACCATCAGATCATAAACACTCCAAATTCCTTTTGGACGATTCTATCCAACCTCGGATTATTGCTAAAGAATCCCTCCCATCACATCCTAAAGCCAACTGCAAAGTCAATACGCAGGAGCGAGTGGCGTGGAGTCCTAGAAACTTGAGCTTGGGCAGCATCAAACTGCGACTGAAAGAATATCAGAAAGATATCTGCCCAGTCTTATAACAGCCAAGACATTTGACATGTCACAGTCACTCGCAAAAGAATGCAACGAGGTAAAGGAGTGAGTTAATCGAAGTCTTTCTCTGGGAAGAGCTGGGCTCAAACTAACATGGGCTAGACGTTATGACACATGTTTCCTAAAGTGGTACAGCGAAAGTGAGTCCCAGGCTCATCTTGAGGGTCTAGGAGAGTAAAGTAAAAAGTTGCTTATATCGCTGCAGAGTATCTTCGAGGAGCCGGCACAGCCGACAACAACGAATGCTCAGCACTTTTCAAGGAATATAGTAATTGCTTACAGGTAAGGACACGACGGACCATTCAAGCCACCTAGGCCTGCCGCCGTCTGTTAGACGCGCGTCATTTCCAGAGCTAAGCTAATGGGCCAACCACTAGGGAGCGCTCAAGGAACGGGGCATAGACAAGCTGCTGGAAGAAGCGCGGGAGGACAACAAAGAGAACGATGCAACATTCATGGGGAGAAAGAAATGTGAGTAATGATCTTGTTCTAAGGAGAGTCGTTATTAACAAACTTTGGCTCAAGAATCGCACGTTGATCTCGGGATGATGTCTATGTATGTATTGTACAGTACAAAGTTTATGTTACAGCTGTCTGTGAAATGTGTACGGTAACGTCGATTGCAATCTACGCGATTGGCGAGGTGTGCTGTGGGGCGGTTCTCGATCACGCCCTGGATTCTGATGGCGGGTCGCTGGACCTCTGAAAAGCTTCATCCGATGTGTGTCCCCACCTGTGTCTCGGCTTTCGTTCCATTGCGTTGAAACTTTGACGCTACACCGGGGCACAGGTTTACTCCCGTCACTCCACATCGTGGTTCCTTTTTCTAGACGATTGATCAAGGAAAAGGTCTTCTTACCAGATGCCCTCGTCGTATCTCGGAATGCTCAGCCCGTAGCCGAACAACGCGAATCTATGCACCCCTTCTCAGTCCTGACCCTCGGCATCTTCGTAGCAGGCTACATCACCGCTCGATGGGATCTTGTTACCCGCCTGTATGAACTTGCCATCTTTGCCTGGGACTACGGAGTGGTTGTAAGAGAACTCCCTCAACCAAGCGCGCAATCGAACCATGTTCTAACAGGCACGCGCCTGCTCTTCGCGCAGTCTCGGGCCGCCAAAGCCTACGCCGTGCTTAGCCTGGTGTTCCTCGTCATCTTCCTCCCCGTGGAACGTCTTGCGACCCGCGAGGCCAACTTAGTACGACCATGCTTTCCCGCCTGCCCAGCCCGAATCCCTGCTGATCAACCCTGCCCAGCATCCACGGTCGACGGGGTCCGGTATATCGGCCAGAGAGCAGTTGAGACGGCGGGGATCTTTTTAAGAGGTCGCTGGATGTGCCCCCGCTGTCTGTCATGCCAGAGCATGATGGGTTGATGCGTGTGTTCTGGCCGGCCGACCTCCCGCGGTCGGACCTGAGAGGCGTAGTAGTAGGGTGGAGGAACTCGGCCTTGGACGTCTTCGTTCTCGCGATTCTGGAAGAGGTGGAGGTGCGTGCCTTAGCCAGAGCGCTTTCAGGTGGCTTTGAGTTATATCGGAGTTTGCTGACACGTGCCTAGCCGCGAAATGTTGAGACCGCCCTCAAGCTGGGCACCCTTCTTCGCAACGCCCCTCATCCCGTCAGCCGCATACACGAGCTGTGCGGTCAGTCATCGATTCACGTGCTAGGCCTATCCAATGCCCCTGATTCCGTCAACATTGACCCGTCGTGGATTCAGGTAACCACAGGGCAAGGCCGTCGAGTCCCGGCAGTCACATGCGCTCGAGCTTCCAGCATCCAAATCATTCTCTTTGAAAGACCTCTTCCCGGGCGAATGCAGTACATCTCGCTAAACCCCATCTCATTGGCTTTGGCAGACAAGCATGACAGCTCCAGGAATGAGGTTGCAGATGGCGGCGAGGATGAAGATGAAAAGGAAGAACGATTGAAAAAGGAAAAGAAAAGGCAACTTGTCGAGAAGCTGAAGAAGCATTCCATTTTCAAGCGTGTCCCCTCGGCCAAGGAAAGAGCGCTCGCCAAGATCGTGAACCAGATCAACTGGGCGTGGGAGCTTGAGAAGCTACTCCAGAAGAATGTCTCACGTATCGGCACACGTCCTAAGCGAAGCCTCAGCGTCTCAGAGAGGATGGTGGAGTCGGCAACAACGGCGCGAGACATGATGTTGGTGTGGATATGGGACATCATCACCGTCTACCTTCTGCCCGTGATCAAGCGCCTGTTCGTGATGGGATTGATGGCTCACCGGGTCGCCGCCGAGGTGCTCTTGCTCATCTTGGAGTGGCGGATGCGGCCAAGGAATGCCGCCTTGAAGGATATCTCAGCCACCGCCCAGCAGGTCGAGATCCGGCTTCAACAGTTTTGCTACTGGCCTATGCAGTATGTAACGCTGCGGCTCAGGAAGAACGACTGGGAGAGCGTGACGACGAGCCATCCGGACTACATCCGCTTTTACAATAGTTTGTGGCTGGTTGCGAACGATGTCATCATCGGCATTGCGCTAGGTTCCTACATCATCGACAACGCTGGCTGGGTCGCGGAGGAGATCAGCAAGTTGCTCACCCAATATACGGTGGAGGCACTCCAAAGTAGCATCTCCTGGCTTATGGGCTGGCCGGCGGGCTTAAAGTTGAACAATGAGCTGGCGGCTTTCCTAGGAGACCTGTTCTTATGGGTTATCGATTACTGGTCAAGTAAGTTGAGAACCACTTGATGCTTTTACAAGTGAACCTCGCTGACTGTCTCATAGGCTGCATCGAGGCTCTACGCCCGGTCCTACCACACATGATCCGGTTTATAGGATTTTCCAGCTTCGCCGGTGCTAGCATGCCGATAGCCATCTTCTCAGACCTTCTCTCCATCCTTACGATCCACATCTACTCGTTTTACCTCGCATCGGCCCGGATCTATCACTGGCAGCTGAACATCCTAATATCGCTGTTCCACCTGTTCAGGGGCAAGAAGCACAATGTTTTGAGGAATCGTATAGACTCGTGTGATTATGACCTCGACCAACTTCTTGTCGGCACCATTTTATTCACTCTTCTCTTCTTCTTGCTTCCCACTGTCGTCGTCTTTTATCTTAATTTCGCCATCGCACGCATGGTCATAATCTCTCTCAAAGCCGTTTTCGACACGATGCTCTCTTGTTTGAATCATTTTCCCCTCTTCGCGCTCATGCTTAGGGTCAAGGACCCTGGGAGGTTACCAGGTTTGTCTCAGATTCGAAACGATGTTCATGGTGCCAGGACTGACCGCTTGACAGGAGGAATTCGTTTTGAACTTCAAGATACCCAAGACTTTAGACATGCCGTTAATGACTCGACGCAAACCCCTTCGATTTCTGTGATACACTTGAAGGCGAGTCTCCGTTGTCGAATATCGAAAACCTCAGATGGAGACGGAAAACTAACAACTTTCCAGTCTGTGCCTCTGAGCTTCAAGGCCATGTTCCACCAATATTTCCAAATGGGGAGCCGCATTCGCAAACATTACCTCTCGCCCCGCGTCTTGCTGTGCCTTCTCACTGGCAAGTTTGTCCCTCCTTTGAACCGGAAGGTCCTCTACAGCCTCCAGTACAGCATGCTCCCAGCTCGGCGAGCGGGTGTGATGGAGATGTGGGACGCGGTCAACTCGTTGCCGGCAACCAAGAAGAGCTCCCCGCCGGTCTATGTGCCAGCGCTAGCGAACGGGAGGAAGTTTCCCTCAAACTATGGCGGTGGGAGATCACGAGGATATGGATGAATATCACAGATAGAAAGAAAATAATAGTTTATGACACGGTGATTCCACTTTATGAAACGGCTCTGGTCTCTGTGACTAATGTTGGATGATCTGCTGCCAGGGAAATAGCCTTCTAGCTAACTCCTGTCTACCCCCCTCTTAGTGCTAGTAGGGATATAGGAAATCGAGGTGATTCCTGAAAACTTAGAACATACTCCCCTTGAGATACATCGACAGGGATCTCTTGCAAATAGACGCTACCCCCGTGCAGATGCCAGCTTCGCTTTATGCCGAGGTTAGGACTATTAGCACAGATTAGCTCAACAAGGTGGGCAATACCGTGAATACCTACTCAAAGATCAGATCGGAACATGGAAGTACGACGTCACCAGAGGGTCAGCTGCAGACCCTTGAGGTCGGGATCGCAACCTCAGAGGTGTTTCCTCGACGGACGAAGAGCCCCTGAATATGCGGGGAAGCAGGCAGTGACAAGCAGAATCTCATCCATGTCTTGTTCCACCAACCGTGGGTAGCGTATCGGCTATGGTCAGCCGCCGGGAAAGTTCAGTATTGGCTAGGTTGTAGTGTCTTTGCCCTACTCAATCCACACATCGGTTAGATTCCTGGATACAAAGACTATTTTGTAAGGCATCGACAAGGAACAAAACAAAACCATGTAGTGTACGAAGAGGCTAAGGTAGTTAGTACAATACCTTGTACTGGACAGCATCGTGAGAGCACAGATCAACCTGGATCACTTGACCAGGACATGCAATTACCAACTAAGCCTAGGCCTTTCAATCTTTCCTTAACTGCTGCTGCACGGTATTGTTCATCCCTGCCTGGCGATGTTTGTGACAGTGACAACCAACAGCAGGTTACCTGCTGCTCCATGTAATGTACTCACCCACTCTACCCCACCATGCCCCCTTATAATTCGCTAGCCATTCCCCTCATCCCACATTGGAGCTTCTTATGGTTCCATAGACCAAACCGCTGGGTACCTATGTTCACGAGCTACTCAAGTGCAAGTGGTGTGGAGTGATATTGCTTGTGAACCTCGCTGGTTTGGGATGTCGTGTCGTCACAAAATCATCCCATATTGCGCCTGTGTAACGGAAGAGAATAAGTCCTTAACTGCGTCTTCAACATCTCAAGTTCGGGCGCTCGGGTAGTACGTGTGGTGTCGATACACGACATCATACCATAAGAGAACCTTCTTCGCACCTCACCTCGCCGAGCGTCTCCTGTTCCTCAGCCCATCTAACCATCTCACCACCCTCTTCCTCTTCCTCTTCAACTTGCCACTTTCACTTCTCTGTCCAGCTTTCCGAATCTCACTCGCATCATAAGCTGGGACATATCATCATACCCCAAGCTAATCATGGAGTGGGATACCAAAGAACGGTTTTACCGCCATTTCCAAGTATCAGTAGCCAGTAAGTTTGATGTTTGCCTCGCTGCAAAGTTTATCAAACAACGAGACTGACCCCTTCGGTCATTCCAAGCCCTGAGAGAAAAAATCAGCCAGCTCCACACCATCGCGGCCGTCGGCGGCGAGCGGCAAGATGCGATCGAGAACGTGCTGAACGGTATCACGCGCCTGTCCAACGAGGTTGCCGACGCCGCTGACTACGTGCCCGCCTATGACCGGCGCCTCTATTCCGACGAGATCAAAGCGCTTAAGGAGCAGCTAGACGAGGCGACGGCCGCATTCGCGCCCAAGATCCGCTTCCGCTTCAAGCCCCGCGCCCCAGGCGCCGGTTCGACGAATGCAGGCTCTTCCGCTTCCGACCCGCGGAGGCTGAACCCGACAACAGCCACTCCCGCTTCCAACAGCACCGGCGATGGTGCATCAACGACATCCACCGGAGCGGAAGCGGAGGCAAAGGACGCCGTCGGCTCGCTGCCGGCCATCGGCAGCAGTAGCGGCAGCAAGGACTACCACGACGAGATCGCACGCCCGGCAGGAGCTGGAACGGAACAAGAGGGTGGAGGAATCCGTAGGCCGAGTTTCTCCGCCGCCCGGACCATCACGCTGTCGGACCACACCAAGCTGCACATCCTGCTGCCGCCGTCGGCGTCGCGCGCGACGGCGGCCGGCGCGCTGACCAACCTGACTCGATGCGTCGTCGACATGTCGGTGCCGACCATAAGAAGGAACGCGCCCTTTGCGAGCCTGACGCTCAAGGACATCTCCGGATGCGTCATTGTGGCCGGCCAAGTCGATGGACCCGTCCACGTCACAGGTCTGAAGGACAGCAAAGTCGTGGTCACGGCCCGCCAGGTGCGCATCCACGAGTGCGAGAACGTGGACTTTTACCTGCACGTTATGAGCCGGCCGATCATTGAGGACTGCAAGGGCGTGAGGTTTACGCCTGCGCCGGAGACTTATGTAAGTTTTTGCGTGTGAGAGGCGGCTGAGAGTGGGGATGTGCTAATGTGTGATTGCAGTTGACGGACAAGGAGAGGCAGGAGACCAACCTGTATGATCAGGTCGACGACTTCAAGTGGCTGAAGGCAACTCCCTCGCCGAACTGGAGCCTGGTACCGGAAGAGGAGATTATTCGGGATGAGACCTGGAGTGAGACGCTTTCAGGAACTGCCAATCTGGGGGTTGAACGGATTCTCAAAGTCTTTGGCGTAGGCAAAGCGCCCCAGATGTCGTAAGGTAATACCCGATCGTATCAGGGAAGAAGAGCCGGAGTTGTTTTCTGGCGTTGGTTTTCTCGAGGCATAGTATCGCCATTAGGAAGGCTGGACTGAGGTTTCGAGAGCACATGTGGCACAAATAGAACCATCGATGCTTTCCCGTCCACAATCCTTCGCAGACTTCACCAAAGTGTGACTATACCGATACCGTAGGCTTCAGCATCCACTTCCGGTCGGCGCGGTGAACTCTCCACTCGTCATTGCTTTTCCAAGGGCTCTACCATACGGAAGCAGCCTTAACCTAGCAGCACCCCTGGGTATATAACAGTGTCAACCGCAGCCGTCAGTAAATGCAGGGAATGACAGACCCACCGCCGTATGCGCCCTCCATTTGCAACCAGTTCAGCCAGCCGAAGAAGCAGCATCCTCTCCATGTCCCTCCCCGACCCTCACAACCTAGATCAACACAAGACCTCACATCACCATCATCCGATCCCCCTCCTCATCCTCCCGACTCCTCTGCTCCGCCCGGACAAACTGCAGCCCTTCCTCCTGCGTGCGCGCGAGCATGTCGGCCTGTCGCCGCCGGCGGCCCTCGAGCGAGGCCAGCTCGGCCTCCTGCGCCGCGATCGACCGGTGCACGTCCGCCAGCGTCCGCATCGCCGCCCGCGCCCGCTGCAGCTTGTGCTTGAGGTTGTCCGTCGCCGCGGGCAGCTCCTTGGCGCTCAGCAGCGGGCCGTGAGTACTGTCGCCGACACCGCCGCTTGGTAGTGGTGTTGTGCCTGTCACGGCCCCCGGCGCGACGGGCGTCGTCCCGCTTGGCTGCTGATGCGCGGCTGCTGCTGCGGGTGCGTGATTTGAGGCTGCTGCGCTGGTGCCGCCGCCGCCGGTTGAAGATGCCGCCGCCGCGGCCGCGGCGGATGCGAGGTTCTGTTGTTGCTGGGCGCTGCGCAGCTTGGTGATGATGGAGGTTAGCTCGGTGAGCGTGTCGACTGCGTCCGGGGAGAGGCCCTCCGGGATGTGGGAGGTTGCCATGGCATTAGGCTTGTGGGGTTGTTGGTAGGCAGGCAGGCTGAGATCTCAGTTGTCGCTTGGCAGGGCAATTGGAGTGTGAGTTGGTTACTGTAGCTAAGTTCGAAGGTGCATATTTGGGCAGAACGGAGCTTGCAGCATTGCGGGATTGGCCGCGGTGTTCAGATACAGCAGACCGGCGCGTGGGTACGGTACCTGATGTGAGTGGTTGCTCCGATGCCAGGAGTCCCAGGATTGGGAACGCTAAGCTTGTCAAATTAAGCAGTCGACGTCAGGTGGGGTGAGCTGAGAGAATGTGCTGTGCAGTGGAAGTGTCCAGTGCAATTAGGAGACTACCCCGCCATCCCAACAATATCGGATCGGAGAGAAGTGAAAGCCTTTCTTATCTGGACTTGTTCTTTTTCCCCGCATCCCTTACGCTCTTTTACCCATTGTCCCTCGCCAATTCGAATCTGCTTTGTCTTCACTTGTGACTGCACGCCACTTTCTCACTTGCACCCGATACCCAAGTTTTGACCCCGCCGCCAACAAACATGGCTCCCGAGCAGAAGGCTTGCCTGAGTACGTCCAGACATCCAGACTACCCGCTAGTCGTCTGCTACATCCTGATATATCTGGAGCTGGGTTGGCTGATTCTGATGCTCTTGCGGTCGCCTAGTCGTGATTGACGGATGGGGCATTCCTTCTGACGAATCGCCCAAGGATGGCGACGCCATTGCTGCCGCCAATACCCCGGTGATGGACGCCTTCTCCAAGAGCGCAACTGGTTACACCGAGCTGGAAGCTTCCTCCCTGGCCGTCGGCCTTCCCGAGGGCCTCATGGGGAACTCCGAGGTCGGCCACCTCAACATTGGCGCCGGCCGCGTTGTCTGGCAGGACGTCGTCCGTATCGACCTCGCTGTCAAGAAAGGGGAGTTCAGCAAGAACGAGGTTATCAAGAAGATAATGGAGGCGTCCAAGAACGGAAACGGTCGTCTCCACCTTTGCGGCCTCGTCTCCCACGGCGGTGTTGTTGGTTACCCGAATTAGCCCAGAGTTTCAAGTCAGAAGGCTAATGATCTCATAGCACGCAAAGCAAACACATTTGTACGCTTTGCTCAGAGCCGCCAAGGAGTACGGCGTCTCAAATGTCTACATCCACTTCTTCGGCGACGGCCGTGATACCGACCCCAAGTCTGGCGCCGCTTACATGGAGGAGCTGCTATCCACAATCAAGGAAATCGGCATTGGCCAGATCGCCACAGTCGTCGGCCGTTACTATGCCATGGATCGCGACAAGAGATGGGAACGGAACGAAATCGCACTCAAGGGCCTTGTCCTAGGCGAGGGCGAGCAGAGTGATGACCCAGTCAAGACAGTAAAGGAGCGGTACGAGAAGGGCGAGACGGATGAGTTCCTGAAGCCTATCATTGTTGGTGGCCAGGAGGGCCGTATCAAGGGTTCGCGAGCCCCGCTCTTTCCCTTCGTGATTAGGCTCTACTTCATGATCAGGATACTAACTGTCTGCAGATGGGGACAATGTCTTCTTTTTCAACTATCGCTCTGACCGTGTTCGCCAGATCACGCAACTTCTGGGCGACGTTGACCGTTCGCCTTTGCCCGATTTCCCGTACCCCAAGATCAACCTAGTCACCATGACCCAATACAAGCTCGACTACCCGTTCGAGATTGCCTTCAAGCCCCAGCACATGGGTAATGTGCTTGCGGAGTGGCTTGGGAAACAGGGTGTCGAACAAGTGCACATTGCTGAGACGGAGAAGTATGCTCATGTAACCTTCTTCTTTAACGGTGGTGTTGAGAAGGTCTTCCCTCTCGAGACGCGTGATGAGTCGCAGGATCTTGTACCTTCCAACAAAAGCGTCCCAACATATGATAAGGCCCCCGAGATGAGCGCCGATGGCGTCGCCAACCAGGTCTGCAAGCGGATGGCAGAGCAAAAGTTCCCGTTCGTCATGAACAACTTCGCCCCGCCAGATATGGTTGGTCACACCGGAGTCTACGAAGCCGCCATCGTGGGCTGCGAGGCTACGGACAAGGCTATTGGCAAGATTTACGAAGGGTGCAAGAAGGAGGGCTACATCCTCTTTATCACGTCTGATCACGGAAACGCCGAGGAGATGAAGTTTCCCGATGGCAAGCCCAAGACCTCGCACACCACCAACAAGGTTCCCTTCATCATGGCGAATGCTCCTGAGGGCTGGAGCCTGAAGAAGGAGGGCGGTGTCTTGGGTGATGTCGCTCCCACTGTTCTTGAAGCAATGGGGTTGCCGGTGCCGCCGGAGATGACAGGTACAAGCTTGCTGGTTAAGGCATAGATGGGGAGTTGGGAATAAAAAATAAAGTACGTGGGTGAGATTTGGAGCAATCAGGGAGTTATAGAGGATAGACTTGTGGAAATGAGCTATGTCACGAGAGCAACTCTGTCCATTTGCGGCATTCGCAGGGGTGCAGTACAAGTCCTACCGCGTTACAAGAAGCCTCACAAAAGAGTTAAGTTGACTTCAAGCTGACGACCAACCAGTCAGTGCTCATCATTCTTGGTATAGCTGACAGTGCTTCTCCTTGCCAAGAGTGCTTCTCACGTTCCTGGGAAGATCAGTGGAACACCGGTTGTACTGACATAACCCATCGTCCACGGTCATCTTTATCCCTCAATCCTGGAGAGATAGCGGGAGTGAGAACTTGTATTACCCTGCGTCGGATGAGGTGGTCTGGCCACCTTGGGGCCCTTGGGGGTGGCACACCAATCGGCGCTTCCACAGTAATTGGCAACATTGCGTTTATTACCGACTCTTGATCTCAGCAAGGGCATTGCGTTGGGTCGAAACATTCTCGCACGTCTCTTACATACGCTTCCCGAGTTTCGAGAAGCACGAGACGTTGCCTCCACCGGTAGTCTATCTCCCGGGCGTAACTCGATCACCCGGGTCTTTTTCTATATCATTCGGAAGGTACTCTAGCCATGTCTCCAAGTCTGGACATTCGATATTACACTGCAGACAACTTTCCACCCATGCAGTGGGCTGAGTGCTCAGCCAAACTGTGTGCACTCCATTGTCCAGTGAAGACAAGGGGGGCGTCCCGCCAAGTTTGTAAGGAATGCGGGGAAGCTGGTTCATATGCGGGAGGGCCAACCCCAGATTACCGCCCGCTACATCCTACCCTGTACTCCACCTGCCCTAATTCGCCATATTGATACCTTCTGCGGAAGTCACCTCCCACAACACGATCTGCACTTGCCTTTCCGTTGCATAACGGCGTAGAAGACGTGAGGGGTAAACAGAGCGGCCCAAAGAAGGAGAGGCAAGGGCAAAGGAGAATGGTCGAGAGGGCTGGAGGAACCCGGGTCTAATAAAGTGACCTGCCCTTCCACCCACTCTCGACTTTATGTCCTCCTTCTGTTCACGCGACCACATCCAAACCAAGTTCCAATCTACATATCAGTATTGACCCTCGAAAACCGGTCTCGTTGCGTCCTCTGCATTCCTACACTTTCATATGAACAGAAAGCCTCTATCGAACAACAAACCTGTCAGTTCTGCTTCAACGGCTAGCGTTGCAAGTGCAGCGTTTCCCGCCGATTGATTGCAGACGCTATGCTCCGCTTGAGTGGAGCAAACCCTGATCGATCTGTCAGTTTCACGCTTAACAAGTCAGTTGAAGCTCCATTGCCGACAGGAGTGGAGTTCTCGAGCCACGATGGGATTGAGTACCAGAGCGCCAAAAACACCAAGGACGGCTTCTAGAGAAAGGCCTGGGGCAAGACCATTCTCTGATTGCCGTTTATTGATTATTTTCACCTTGCGTCTTAGCCTTTCCTCTCCAGATGAATATTTGGGCATCTGTTGGCTTCCAGTTCTCACTGCTGAAACCTTACAATGATTCTAACAAATATGCACAAGATCAAGTGATTTTTGGCATTGGAGAGTCTTGGTTTTTCCCTGTTGTTCCTTTCCTCTTCAAGGGCCTGTGTGAGAATGGAAACTGTGAGAGATGAGAGAGACCAAAAGAAAATCTTTTGTGGTGGTATTTTCCCCGCAACCTGGGAAAAGAACCGCGGTGGGTTATGGTACAGATGTGTCGGCAGTGCCGACAGACGGTCGATTTGTCGTCGAAAGCTCTCCCCGATCTAGGTTTCTCTATGGCCCCCGTCTCTATGGTGCGATTCTATGCCATTATCCCATGCACACTTCCGCCCGTGTCATTAGTCTGTGCGATGTGGTAATGCCGCATAGAACTATGAACCTCTCGTACACAGCCCCCCTCCATCCCGTCCCCTCGTCTCGATATGTACAGGGCGCGATGGTCCCCCATGGGGCAACGCGACCAATCCCGTCCGAAGGTGGATAGAATACGTTTACGTCTGGGTTGGATAATTAGTCGGCTTATCCTTCTCGACCTAGGACTCCGGCGGCGAGCACTTACAAACTTGGCCATGAGGGCAACCATCAGGTCGAAAAGACCGATGGCTTCGACGAAGGCGAAACCCAGAATGGCGTACGAGAAGAGCTGGCCACGGAGAGCAGGGTTGCGAGCAACGCCGTTGAGAAGGGCGGCGAAGACGAGACCGATACCGATACCGGCACCAGTCAGACCAATGGCGGCAGAGCCCATACCAATGTTCTTGGAAACCTCAACCATGGCCTGGGCGATCTCAGAGGAGTAGGCCCGGCGCTGGACAGTGAAGGCCTGGCGGGCGGTGGCATTGATGATGGAGGACATCTGCTGGCGCTTGACGGCCTGGAGAGGAGAGGCCTTGGTGGCGGCTGCATCGCAACGGAAGAGAGAAAAATTTTCGTTAGATCGAGCTTCTATTGCGACGGCGCCGACGAGGCTACTACGAGACGATCGCCAAAACTCACCAGACATAGCCCGCTGCTGGACGCGGACAGCCGGGCGGGCGGCCTTCGAGGCCATCTGAGCGGCCAGTCTCGAGGCGAGCACACGGGTGGAGGCCATTGTGTCTGAAGGGAAGAGTATACTGAAGGGAAATGGAAGGACGGGACTGAGGAGATGATACTCTCGGAGATGAGGCAAGACGATGGCTAGACTGCTGAGTGGGAGAGGGAAAAGAGACGAGAAGCGAAGGGAAAGTGTGCGGAAGAGAAGAACAGGTCAGCTGGGGAAAGCGGAACTTCGGGCTGGTCCGGGCAACGGGCTCGAGCAGCGAGGAGAAGCAATGTGACTGGTCAATTCACAGCTTGTTGCGATCAAAACTCCACTGCGAGCTCATTGTGGGTCGGGTATCCCGGCTGGGGAGCAGAGCAAAGGGGAAGAAAATTTTGCTGCGGCGCTCTGCAAAATGCTCGGGCAATCTCGGACAAGCGCACACATCCCAACCATGGCCAAGCACCGACGAAGGCTGAAACTCAGGACTCTTTGCCTTGTGGCGTTGTCAGCAGCCTCAATCGATATGACTCATTTTCTAACAAGCAGACAGAGCTATTACGGCCCTGATTGATTTCGCGGGAACAGGTCAGCTCAGTGAGAACTTCGGGGAGCTCATGAGCTTTTCAAATTTTCGTTTGTGTTGATGTCTCAGGCGATGAGGCTCCAACAAAAGCGGCGTGGGGGCATGAAGGCCCCCACTTAGCGGTAAATGATTCCAGATGTGAGTGGTCGGCTGGCTGCTACGGTGTCCACTCGGGATCCATCCTTTGCGCTTAGGGGCTTGGAATGACGAAAAGATGAGGGAAAAATGCCTCTCATAATCAGCTCCAAGGAAGAATTCGCGAGGATTCGTTCAGGGGAAGCAACTGAAGCAACGACACCACAAGATGCACACTCACTGCGTACAGGAGAATTCATAGTGTACACAAGTGAATGTTTGTTGCAACCATTTCGATCTTACTCAGCTTCAGATCTGACGTCGGCGCAATTTAAGCGATTGCCAAAGGCCGCTTTTTGGGTTGTTACACTGCATGACCATCGGAACGCAAGGGTTGGAACTTGGAACGGATGGTTCACTTGTTGGCTGTACACTAAATTTGAAGAGTTTCGAGAACCAAATATTTGGGAACCCGAATACATTGTAGCTTCATCAAAACCCACGTGTGGTGTAGTTGATATATGATTGCTTTACATCGTTCAGGGCAGACATGCAAATTAACACAAGCAAACAACAAGGACATTAGGTACGAAGGTACTCTGGACCTTCCTTACAAGTAGACTTCAACCATCACTTCAAGATGGAATTTCGAAGTACTAGAAACAGTCGGGATACAGTAATCCCGTTGTCTCGAGCCTATACAGAGGTACGAAGTACAGTTCCTGTTGTGATTGTTAAGACTTGTCTGGTTCAACTCATCTACTTCTAGGGAGCTCTTGACGGCTCTTGACCGCTCTCGCTTTTATGAGTTATTCAACAACATGAACACTCAAGAGCGCCTTAGCTGTACAATCTATAGTAGAAGGATTGTCTCTTGGGTTGAAGAGACCCTTCGGCATGAAGCTTGCAGTTGGGAGAACACTTTTTTACCCGTCAATTCCAGGGTTGACGGCAGCAGTACCTGTACTCTCAGCTCTGCACTATCCATCTGGTTCATGACCAAGTTATCAAGGGGACTCCCGCGACAGGTACTCGAAGATAGGATATTGACAGATAAAAACATCACATTCATGAGCATTTGTCAACCTACGAATGAAGAACGCGGCCGGCGAGATATCAAGTCGCATAATGCCTGAGATAGAAGACAGTGCAGTTGATGTGTTCCGGTTCTAGATCCGGCAGAGCCAACTCGGCTGGTTGAATGTTACACTGCAGCCACCGAATACCGGCATAAGCAGTCGACCGAATCCGGGTCCAGGCCACGGTGGGCCGGGATCTCTTAGGGCTTTCGGTCATCCGGGCCCGACGAACATGAGGCTCCACTCTTCAACTGTGTCCCGGCGTAGATTGATGCGGAGCCCGGCCGAAAGACCGGGACAATACCAGAACGGTCAAAGGCACACTACCCTCAAACCTAAGGAATGCTTGGGTTTCTTCAACTTTCTGTATAGCTCCCTCAAGCGACGAGGACATTTCTAATCAATCTGTGGAGAAGACGGACAAGCATTCCAGGGGCGCATCTTTACAGTTAGTTAACTCCATACAAGTAAGTGATGGGCCGGTTGTTGATGACATCCTCTGTTCCTCCTACACAGTAAAGCTGTTGGTGGTTGACACCAAAGTGTGGAGCATCTTCGCGGTTTGTGATTCGCCTGTTCTCTTAAAATGCAAGCTGATTGGCTTTTTTCCATCTAGGCTGACCTCAGCACTAGGGTCTTCACTCACACTGCTCGTGAACCAACACGGAAGAGCATGATGTGCAATGCAATGCCCACAAAACATGGGATAGTAGGATTTAACGATTGGGCAGGTTGGTTCTGGCAAGATGAGAGCCAGTCCCAGGCCTGCTGTGTCCCTTATAAAGGGTGATCCGGTACAGCCATCCCATGATTCCCATCACTGCCAGATCTCGATGCCTCCCAGGTTCCTTCTTGCCTACCTACCTACCGTGACTCGCCACCATCATCACTTCCTTCCCCTTATAGCCTGCGATCCATAGTAGGCTGAGAGAACTCTCACACGCAAACCCGAGAGTCCTCAGACATCAGACACCAAACCCCCCGCCGGTAACAGCAGCCATGAAATCCACCGCGTTCAACCCGGACAAGGACGTGCCTCTGCTGACGGGCAAAGTGATCCTCATCACGGGGGGCAACGCGGGCATCGGCAAAGAAGCGGCCATCAAGTTTGCCAAGCGGGCTCCCGCCGAGCTATGGATCACGGGCCGCAGCCACGAGCGCAGCAAGCCCGCACTCGCCGAGATCCAGGCCGCCGCCGCCCCGGGAGTTTCCGTGCGTTTCCAGCAGCTCGACCTCGGCTCTTTTGAGTCTGTGAAATCGGCCGCCCGCGCTGTCCTGGCCTCGGTGTCCCGCCTGGATGTTCTGATCTGTAACGCGGGAATCATGGGTGGTGCTCTTGGTGTGACGCAGGAAGGGTATGAGTTGAGGTTTGGGACGAATCGTATGTTACCCGTCAACTCCCATTTTCCCTCCAAGTTGACTCCGCCTCCAAAAAGCCTTAGGGATAAAAGGTGCGGGACTGACGCAGTTTTGTTTCTTCCTGCTAGACATGGGCCACGCGCTGCTGGTCAAGCTGTTGGCCCCGCTGTTGAGCAAGACTGCAGCAACTCTCACATCGCCAAAAGAAGTCCGCGTCGTGGTCGTGGCGTCCGAGGCGCACAAATACGTCCCGAAAGAGGGGATCCATCTGGACAGGATAAAGTCGGACGGGCGGCCGCTGACGGCCATTGACCTGTATTCCGAGAGCAAGCTAGCCAACGTGCTGTACGGGCAGGAGCTGGCCCGGCGATTTGCTGGGCAGTTCACCGTCGTGCCCATCGACCCGGGCCACTTTGCTACGGGCCTCTACACCTCGAAGGGGGCGGGCATTTTTATCGGTCTGCTTGGCGTGATGGTTAGGTTTATTGGGACCTCGATGCGCGAGGCGGGTAAGAATTATCTGTGGGCGGCAACCTCGTCTGATGTTGTGTCGGGCGAGTATTACAGACCGGTTGGCGTGGGCGGTGATGGAGGACCGTTTTCCAAGGACGAAGCGCTGCGGAGGAGGCTTTGGGAGTGTACTGCGAAGGAACTCGAGGGGCATGTTCTTTGACTTTGTTCTCTTCACGTTCCATCAATCTCAGCAAGTAGTAGTAGAACCGTTTAAATCCGTCCAACATCTAGTTTGGATGTTGTATTCCCTGCTCACCGTATCCACAGGGCGATTATTTCGTCTTCGACTGCCGGTTAAGATGAGTTTGCCATCCGGATCCGTTGGCAGTTGGACTTTGAACTCGCAAATTCTCTGCGCTTCGGGGAGCAGGGGTGTGAGGAGGTCGGTCTCGGTGGGAAGGGTGAGCACGTCGAAGTCGCTGCCGCAAGCGGGCAGGTTGACGTAAAATGCACCTTCCTCAACCGATATGGCCTCCCAGGCCACGTCTGACATCAGCATAGCATCCCATATTCCTTCCTTGTGCGGGACGATGTTGATGAGCTTGGCGGCCTGCGTCCTGACCCGGTGGTTACGACACTTGAGCGCCGTGAAATACAGCGGCGGGATGCATCCAACGTCGGAGATGGAGGCAGTCATCTCGGGTCCGTGCGCCAGATGCTCATCCAAGCGCTGCACACGAGGGACAGTTGTGACCCAAGAGTCGATCATCTGAGTTATGATCGAAACAAAGCCCGGCAGGTGGGAGTCAAAAGCCGACTCAGTTGTCCGACAAGACGTGGCCGCCATGATTGTCGCCATTGTGTGGTAAACGCTCAGCAGCTCGTAGGCGATGGTTTCTCGGGGAGTAAGTCGCCCACGCAGGCTGGAGGTTGAGACCTTGTATGTTGTGAACCAAGACAACAATGTTGTTTGAATGTGCCGCTGAGCATCGCACAGTTCAGACAGATCCTTATCCACCTGTGAAGGAACATCAAGCCCGTAATGGTGCCACTGCTCAGAGAGCTTGAGAACCCGACCAAGCAACAGGTCCAGAGACAGTCTCGCTTGTTCGATCGACTGGAAGATGGGACCCGGAATCGCAGGGGTGGACACCAAGGATTCGAGCGAGAGCTGGCAAAGATCCTGCTCCAAGAGTGCAGTTGAGACTTGGACCCTGACAAACGTCTCTAGGATGCAATCATCCAGCTCATTGCAGGGCGCACCGACGGCCGTAACTGAGGAGCGCTGGCGTTGTCGAATCAGCTGTATCCCGTTCCGAAGGTGCATCGCGCCTGACATGTAATGGCCACGGATATATTCCAGAAACACAAAGAGCAAGCAGGCTATCAGAGCAACTTGGTCAGCCGTCCCGCGATCCGCGGAGAAGAGCGGCAGCAGATGACGGATAGCCTTGTTATACTGGCGCAGCATGACCTGTTCCTTCTTATCCGGAACATCCGACCGTGGCCGGACATTACACCCATCATGCTCATGAGCTGCGCTCAACGCCAAGACACCATGAAGCACCGCCGGTTCGGCCGCCGCGACCTGGAGTAAGGCGGTTGTCCAAAATGACGAGATGAATGCACCGGGAAGTTTCCTGGCTGAACGATGCAGGAACCAGTCAAGGCAGCGCTGCTCCTCGACGCTCACCGCACGAAAGGTAGCCAGGGCCCTGGTGAGAAGCGGGATCATTCCAGAACGGCGAGCGTCCGGGTTGAGAGTGGGATCGCCGTACCGGTTGCCTCCGCCGGCCCATATGCCGTAGCCATCGCATACCCGTCCCGTGGATACGCATCGTCGACAGGCCGGCCGCACCTCGTCGCATTTGACATGGCGGATTCTGCATAAATTGAGTGAGCTCCGTGGCTTTCTGCCTCCAGGTTCTTGCTGCTGTTTACCTACACGTGCGGCAACCAGTCTTCACCCGTCTTACTGGCATATCCGCACTATGTAGTGTGTTGTGGTGGCTTCAGACCATGATTCCAACCGCTGCAAGATGTCAATCGTAGGTGCTGTTAAGCAAGATGGGGCCTTAGGTAGTAGTGTAGGTTGGCTCGGTGGGTGCAGTACTTACCTAGGTAGGCTCAAAAACTGACGGACAGGGGCTTGCATGCACGTTGATCGGCCACTTCCATTTGATAGCCCATAGGAACTTGCGATGGAGGAAACCCTGGAGACGATTGATTGTAATGATATGTAACTCTTGCACGTCAAGACTCAGAAGACATTTTATTGGGGGTGAGACATCACTGATTTTAGGTATCCATCCCTACTCGGCAGCAGAACCGAGAACTGATGGAGACTTGAGAGACATGCATATGGTGATGGCAACCACCATATTCGTACGCTGCGCCTAGTGATATGGCACAACTACGGCGGCATCTCAGACATGCCCAAGTGCTAGCTGCCTGGCCTCGCATGCTGACCGTTCCCAAACACTGCTCGCGCATCCAACGATTGCAATGGCACTGTCCTCGGCCCAGGATCATGCGGGCTCCTCCGACACAACCTTCTTCATGGCATAGCCCTCCACAAACCCGTTTGGATCGCAAGCCTTCTCCAGGCTGATATTGTTCGCCGCCACCCACGCCCGCACGGCCTGCTGCGAGATGCGGACCCTCTGCACGGGCTCCACCTCTGGTTCAGGCGCTGCTGCTGTCCCACTGCCATTGCCGTTGCCGTTGCCGTTGCCGTTGCCGCTGTCCTCGGCAGCCTTGCTCTGTTCTTGCGCCCGCGCCGCCCGGGGCGGACCCTTCCCAGCATCCTCCACGACGCCCATCTCGCGCAGCACGAGCAGGCAGTCTTCGGCAGCGATCCACGTCGCCTGGCTGCACTCGCCGACATCGACAACCGTCTCGCCCGCCGACGAAGAGGAGGGCTCCAGGCTGAGGAGCCAGCGGGCAATCTCGCCGGCCCAGAATCGCTTGTAGCCCTTCTTGCCCAAGTCCGAGATGGGCTTCTCGGGCCCGCCGAGCAGGCCCTCACGCCGCGAGATCTCGTACGATACGCCTATGAGCAGCGCGCCCAGGCCCTTGCGCTGCCAGGGGGGGAAGACCAGGATGCAGGCTAGGTTGTTGTTGTCCCAGGACATCTTTTCCTTGGAGAAGAAGCCGACAATCTGGCTCCGCGGCCGCACGATCTCGGCCACCTCGGCGTTTGGGTCGGGAGGCGGCGCCGGCGGGGTGTAGACGAGCAGGAAGTAGTTGAAGCCTGTGACGTCGAAGAAGACGGATTTGTTGTCTAGGAAGAGCTTTGCGAAGAGGGAGAGGTTCTGGCAGAACAGCTGATTGACGTAGTTAGGGAGTATGTTCCTATGAAGGCCGATGGCGGAGATTATAACTCACCACATCTGTCTCGCCGTCAACCTCCCAGATGCTCCACTCCCCTTCGTCCTGCACCACCTCCTCAACCATCTTCTGCCCGGCACCGCCGCGCTTCCCCCTGCTGTGCTTGGGCACCGGCTGGCCCGACGGCACCAGCACGGTCCGCTTGCCCTTGGGGTGAACATAGATCTTCTGGCCCGGCACGAACCCTCGGCGTTCACACACGCGGACGTGCTCCCACCACGTAACGAGCTCCTTCGAGTACTTGAAGCAGCACGGACAGACATACAGCCTGTCTAGCATGGGTGGGTTGTTGTCGCGATCCCCCCGGCGTCCCCCGGAGCTTGTTTTGGCCCCGCTTGCATTGTTGTTGTCGCTGTCCTTGGCAGCCCCCTGCACCGTCGTAGTCGTCGTCCCGTTGGTCTTGCCATCCTGCTGCTGCCCGCCCTTAGCGCTGCTGCTGTTGCCCGAAATGTCGCCCAGTACCTCCTTGCCGTAGTATGACGAGTACCAAGTCCGGAAACAGATGTCGCCCAGCATGACCATATCAATGTTGCGGTCCGATCGTCCCCAACTATTACCACCGGTCCCACCCCGTGCGGGCCTGTCGGACGGTTCGCCGTTCGCGCCAGTAGCAGTGGTTGTTGTCGTCGGACGAGCGACCGGCTGTGCCGAAGACGTGGCCATGATGATCGGTTTGCTGCGTCCTACTGAGATGGACTGCTGATGCGGCTTGAATGCCTCGGCCGCCGGCGGCCGCCCTGGCCTCCTGGCTGTTGGGGCGGCTCCGGCTGTCCGCGGGGGCATCGGCCGTTCTGGCTCTATCGGTAGAACCGATGCAGTCGGGGTAATGGTAAAGCCCATCGCTTGTTTTGGGCGGCGAGCGTTGCCGGTGTTGGCGTTTGACGGGCGGGGCGCAGATTCGAGCACAGCGCTGTGACGTGTTACACGCGTCGGCTTTAGGGGTTGCTCTTGGTGGTTTGGTTGCTGCTGTTGCTGATTCAGCTGCTGCCGCCGTTGCTCGGAATGTACTGGTATGTTCTCTTTGCCTTGAGGAAGATGGTAAAGCTGGGAGAGTCCGGTAGGCTCGCCATTGGCATCCGGCTGGCGGCGCCGACGTCTTGGTTCGGGGTCTTGGGGCACGGGCAGCGGGGGATTGGAGCTTTGGCGCGTCGCTCGACGCGACACTGCCGGAGCGGCAGCGGCCGGCAATTTGGCCGTTGCTAAAGCAGCGGCTAGTGAGTCAAACTCGCCGTAAGGGCGTTTCCGTTTGAGATGGACTGGCATGCGTGCTTGCGGTGTATGTCCTGTCTTATAAACGTCCGGGTTGCACAATGATTGATGACGGATGATTGCTACAGGTATCTGGCATCGGTGCAGTGAAGCTTGGCGATCAAGAGCTACAGTATCCGTACCTACCGGTAACCTACACTGATGTGTGTAAGGTAAATTAGGTAATGATATCTGTACTGTATGTACCGGTAACGCTTTTACATTGCGAACCTACGTGTACAGTACGCTGCAAATTCCACTACGGACAGTTACAGTACACTTACATAACACATTACCCCCTTGGCGCAGGATCGAATGCAGGGTTTCTGGCTTTCATCTGGAGTTTGAAAGTTTCTTCGAGTCGGTCCGGGATTCAATTCGGCACATACCTCATGCTCCTGGATTACCGCGTTGTCTTCGGGAACGAGAATAAGGGTGGAGGGGGAGATATGAGTCTCGATATATCGTGACTTCTATTTCTTTGGTAACTCTTCCACGATGTGCAGCAGCCTGTCTCGATGCGCATTGCAGGAGTTATTGCCTTGAAAAGGGCTCCGAGATGCAAGACTCTTTCTCTGGTGAGCATTGCCCTGGTTTGCACCTCCCGCATTCTGTCTGCTGACGCCGACGCTCCAAGATTGGTTGCCAGGTTCGTCTGCCCATCTCAGATGCTGTCAACGTCCGCTGGCATTCGGCCAACCTGAGTGCCGCACCCGTGGACCGTCGAAATGACGAGACCGACGAGACCGACACCCGCGGGCGGTCTGGGTCCGCGCCTGACCCCCAGTCAAGCTCCGAGTGGGCGGGACTACTAGCCGCCGCAGAATCAACCAATACCGAAGCTAATATGCACCGAACTTCCTTTCATGCCGCGTCAATCGTCACCGCCCCGCCAAGAATGCGAAGCTCGAAGTTGGCGGAGAGCGTAGCCGGAGAACCGCAGTCACCGCCGCCTAGCAGACCTCACGCTGAACTAGCCATACCGCCCGAAGGCGAACCACTTCCTGCGGGACTACCGACGGGATTCCGCGACATGTCGCCGACGGAGCAAGAGGAGGAGCTATGGATACTCTTAGAAGGCGAGCGCCTTGAAACCGAGTGGAAAACGGAAATCCTAGGCAAACACCGTCCTTACATGAAGGACTTCCCGAGATACTCGCCTGTCAGGGTCGTGGGAACGCTGTTACGTTGGCGAAATAGAAGGTGGACGCCCCGAGAATGGCAGCTGGCTCGTGCCATTGCCAACAATCGAAGCCTGCGTCCCTCTATTATCACAGCACAAGCTTTACTTCGCCGATACGCGCTCCTTGCTCGGCGGACTGGCATCACGACCAAGATCGAGCGTTATCTTGGCAGAACTTGGGAGTGGAAGAAGCGACTTCGGCAGCTGCAGGCTCAGACTGGCATCACTGAAGGTGATATCAAGCAATGGCTCTGGATCCTGAACCCCATGGACGGGGATATGCAGGTCACAAGATTCCTTAAGAGCGACTGCCGCAAACCTTTTTTCCTCCTGATGGCGCTGCTCGCTAGGGACAGGATCATCAGAAAGCCCGCTACATTTATAGCCTACATTAAGTACATCAGGGATAACTACATCTCGTCGGAGCGCCCGGCGGACGAGTTGGCCAACCCGGCCTATCAAGGACAAGGCCGATCCATGACGTGGTGGCATTTTCTGGTCCTGCTTCATCGTCTTGTACGGCACGCCCGAGAGACGTGGCCCGCAGGCATGCCTTTGATATCGCGCCTAGCCGCCGACTACATTGCCACTATGCCTCCTGACCAAGACAGTCGGGCGCTGACGGGCCCCCAAGCTCGGTCGCTGGTATTCAACAAGGCACTTCAGCACGTTGGTTGGCCCGCGCGCATCCGGCCCCTCGACCATATAGAACACAACTGGGCCGCGCAACGACAGCTTTTGCAATTGGCAGCGTCGGTTGAGCCTCCTCTGATGATGGACAAGAACAGCTATCGGTCTGTCAGAACGGTCCTCCTTGGCATGAGCAAGACAAAGGACGAAGCAAGGAACGTCGACCGGGCCGTCAAGACGTGGCCACCCTACCGACGCGCACTAGATGGGATCGATGAGCGACGCAATCCCGAAGATGGTCTTAGCAGGAGCGTCAAGGCCGGGCTGCTCGCGCGTGAAGCCGGCTACAATGACGATTCTGTCGATCGAGCTCTCAGCGCCTTGGGCGGATCCACGTTTGGAGACTCGCCGACCATACAGACGAGGTCACTGCCCCCACCAATGTTCTCAGGCAACCGGGCCAACCTAAACGTCTATACCGAGTGGGCCTCAACGATAAGGGCGACGAGAAATGCCAGAGAAGCGTGGTTCATGTTTGAGCACCCTCCCCAACCGGGGTTGAGGCCTGATATTCATGTCTACACCGAGATGTTCCAAAAACTATTTGCCCGCCCTGTGGCAGACTCATCAGGTATACGACCAGGAGATGTCAAGGAAGTATTCCCAGTTCACGATGGCAATCTCAGCGAATTTGAGATAGCAAGGCTGACCCCACCAAAACCCGAGGAGCTATACGAACTTATGCTGCACCGCGACCACATCAGGCCCACCGGGCATTGCCTTGCTGTTCTTGTGGCGAACGCTCCATCGAAAGAGCACGCTCTACGGTTCCTGGACGATAGCCCATGGAGATCTCACATCGGCGCACTAAAGGACTTCTCCCTGTGGACGACGAAGCCGCGATCCGGCGAACCTATGAGGGAATTGTCCATGGTACCTATCGCCATTTTCCACGCATGGATCGCCATGTTATGCCGCATTCACACACTGAGACCGAAGCAAGAGGGTCCTGCCGATACGTCCATTTCCCGAGCTAAGCAGCGAGCCATGAATATAGCTGGGGGCGCTACAATTGTCGAGGCTATCGAGCTCACGAGAGCATTTCACGCGAGGAATGGAAAGCTTGCTTCGCGCGACAAACGATCATGGCACCTAATCATGGAGGCCCTGGCCGGGCCTAAACTGTTATACAGCTTTTTGGGAGCGCCGTACAATGTCCTGAAGACGTTGACTTGGTTTCTGCATGTTTACGAGAAGACCATAGCCTCAAAAAGCATCGACATAGTTTCGTTCGAATCGCTCTGCGTCATGATCCGCAAGGCGCTGAAGCTGTCCACATTTGAGGATGATAGTAAATCAGAAAAAGTGCAGCGCGACCGGCGCGAAATCAACTGGCACCTCGGCAAGTTTGTTGTGCACGCGCACCGACTCGCCGTGGCGGGATTCCAGCAATTGACACTCCTTCCTCCAGTGGGTCAGGGGATTGCTGAGGAATGGGAAGAGTGGGATGACGAGACGCCTCACGGCGTGACGCAATATAACGTCTCCGGTCGGCCTCTGTATCGGTACATGATGGCGCTGGGGTGCTGCGGCAGTGGGAGGGAGATGGTGAGGTTGATGGACTGGATCCTGGACGGATGGGACGGCGCGCACATTCGGGACGAGGCCAAGGACCCGAAATGTCTGCCCTACCAGTACCTCATCCGGGCGTTCGCCTACTTTGTCGACGTGGCCAAGAACCTGGTGGAGCCGGCCGAGATGGAACGGCTCCGTCAGCGCCTGGACCAGCTGGTGCGCACGCGGGAGTGTACGTGGTTCTGGCCCGATGAGAGTTGGCGAGAACAAGCGGGCGCGACGGCGGATGCTGAGGCTGACCTGCAGATCGTCACCGTGTGGCAGCATGTATTAAGGGACAACCAGGTGTCGTCGATGCCGATGGACGGCAGCATGGATTCGGGAGAGTCCCTTTCGGAATTGATAGACAAGATACCAGGGGTATTGGAGCGGGAACGGCCGCCGGGCTGCTGATTGTATATATCTGATTGTATATATGCTTGTGTTGATGAGTCATGTATAGATAAAGGAGGATGAAGTCTGATCCTTGTAATTTTACGATTGTATCATGCCATGGACGAGTGCACACATGCTTAAATTTGACACCACGGCATGTCTTTCTTCTTTCCGCTCAGGTTGGGACCATTCCGAGGGAAGGGAGCTCACGTGCGGGGCCGGAACCCTTCGCCTGGCGGGTCCGGCCTCCGGCGCGTCAGATTCCCGGCAGCGGAGCTGGCGCCGATTGGCCAATTGATCCAGATTTGTTTCTTGGCACTGCTCGACGCGTGCAAGCAATGGAATGCGCGACTGCCACGCGCGACCCATCGTTGAGGGACACCAGTGCACCACACAGCACTTGGAATGTTCAGCTGTGCAAAGCTTTGCCGTCGCGGAATGATTTCAGTACTCGAACAATGACCCTTATTTTGATTCCCTTGCTATCAATCTCTATTTACTAGAAGAATTTGCACTGAATATCCTCTCTCTGCATCGCACATCTTGTGGAGAATCGCTCTTCTCTCCACAGACGTTTTCTTCGCTTTTTTTGTCCTCGCTCTGTTTCGATTCCTCGGAGCCGCCTTTTCAGACAGCTCGACAATACTACCGCTCAGCGACTGGGGACTATTATTCGCTCCCGCGCATACCTATTGAAACATCTTCTCGCGAGAACCGTTGCTCGACTTTACGCAGCACCTGCCTTGCTGCTTCACAACCTTCCTGGTCTCCTCGCTCGATATGGTCAATAAGAGCCTAGCGGATTGAAAGCATAACTACAAAACAGAAGCATTACAGCTTTTGGGGGTGGTCGCTACCTCGCTCGCGGCGTCGATCAAATGGATGTGTTTACGGAGGGACCCCTCGACGGCCAAGACGACCTCGGCCAACCGCTTCCCGAGTCCAGTCCGCAACCGCCGTTGAGCGAGGCGCCTCCCCGCCACCCCCTTTTTCCCGATGACTGGCCGTCTGCCAGCAGCCTAGCCGCTCAAGACGTCAATGGGGTGAACCCAGCACCTCTCGCAGGGTCACCATGGGAAACGCCAAGAGCGTCGGCGCCTCTCTCCGACCTCGAAGTCAACGGTGAACAGGCCATTGAATCAGACAACGCAGACATAGCAACGCCGGTCTCATTCGACATCAAACGGAGAAAGAACATATATGTGGAGCTTCCACAGTCAACCTTGGTAAACCCAAGGTCCCAGTACGATGGGTGGACACCCCCGCTGCCGCCGAGTCGAGAGTGGACTGCGGTTGCGGCGCTGATGGAAGTAGCCGAGGCGAAAGAGGACTTTGTCGAGTTTGAGCTCGATCAGTTCGTCTTTTACATCAATTCGAAATACTATGCGTACGAAATGAGACCTCTGCAGCACATGGCTACTCGCGTCGGACAAACCAGATTTTTCTTCAATGGCGTGCTGAGCGTTGGCGACCAGAGGCACTATGTCGAGAACGTTGAGGTGTCGGAGCTGCCCATCGGTAATTACGGTGACTCCAACCACGCGGTTGACGGCCAAATCTGGGTCAGATCTTTACACAACGCCGATAAGGAAGTCTATTACCGCCTGAAAAGCCCCGCGACCGAATACAGAAGGTTCTACGAGCCCTTCGTGTGGATTGCCAATTTGGCCAAGCATGTTGTCGACTTCTCTGCCAGTTTGATTGAACAAGGCCGCGCTGTCGACCTCCATTCATTCAAGGAATCCTTCGCCCAATGGCTCGACCAGGCGCACGGCGAAGCCCTCAGTTTCCAGAACTGGCGGCAGCAACACCCCAGCCGGGATTACCGCACGTCGATAACCGCGAATATCGATTTCATCTGGAAAGAGATGAACGGCGTCCTAGGAGAGAGAAAGGCATCGTCTCTCCATCTGTTTAGAGAGACATACCATTTCAGTCGCTATAAGGCCACGGTTGCACCCCCAATTCCCATGATTGTCGAAGAAGGAGAGGCTGAGCCTCAGCCCCCGACCATCGTCACCCCGTACATTAAGGAATGCTTCGGGCACATGTCCCTTGGGAAGATGCTGAGGGTTGTTGACGGCAGTACTTCAAAAGCTCAACCGGATTTCGGGTCACACCGGTCTTTTGACGCAACCAGGACAGTAGAGAGGGCTACACCGATTGAGGCAATGGTTTCCTCATGCACCACTGGCCGAAGGAGGAAACCATACTTCCTCCCATGCGAGGTGATCGATCGGATCCGAGTCGGCGATACCATCTCCACCCCCCGTGACTGCGAGACGACGGATACGAAATGGCGGAGCATGGAGTCCAAAGGTGCGGCAGATGATGGCAGGTGGTTTGGTCTGGTGCAAAAAGTCCATGTCGCCAACGACGGATTTCGCACCTTCGATGTCACCTGGTTTTACCGCCCCGTGGAGACGCCTTGCTGCATGATGAAATACCCCTGGCCGAATGAGTTGTTCCTTTCAGACCATTGCACATGCGAAGAAGGAGAGCATGCCCGGGTCAAGGAGTACGAGGTCCTTGGGGTCCACCATATCAACTGGTTCGGGAACCCAAATGAGGGAGACGGAGAGTTCTTTGTTCGCCAAACCTATCTCGTCGACGGACGTCGCTGGGTTACTCTTCAGAAGTCCCATATGACGTGCTCTCACGGCCCAGAAAAGCCCAGGTTCAGGACAGGCGACACTGTGTTGGCCGCACTTTCATCTGACGCTCTGGCCGAGCCGTACGAGGTCGCCAAGATCTTTAAGCAAGGCAACATCATGTTCGTACGGCTGCGGAGACTTTTGCGCCGGAGCCGGGTTGATCCTCAAGCAAACCCGGCGCCGAATGAGCTAGTGTATTCTGACCAGTTCGTCGTGGCAAAGGCGAACAAGGTTGGGGAAAGGTGTGTTGTCCGGATCTTTCGGGCAGGCAAGCAAATTCCGGTTCCATATGACCGGGGCGGTACGGGGAATCTGTTTTATATGACCCACCGACTTGTGGAAGACGGCAATAGCAAGCGCTGTATTCCATTCGACGGTGATATACCGTCTTCGTTCCGCCAGGGCTTTGACCCAGCCAACCACTCATTCCGCAAGCTCAAGGGAATGGATTTGTTCTGCGGTAGCGGCAACTTTGGACGCGGTCTCGAAGAAGCTGGTGCAATAGAGATGCACTGGGCAAACGACATTTGGGACAAGGCCATCTATACTTATATGGCAAATAGCCCCGGGCCCAAGACCACAAAACCCTTTCTGGGGTCGATCGACGACCTGCTTCGCCTAGCAATCGAGGGCAAGTATGCAGACAATGTACTGCGGCCGGGTGAGGTTGATTTTATCTCGGCCGGGAGTCCATGCCCAGGCTTTTCTCTCTTGACACAGAATAAACAGACTCTGAAGCAATTCAAGAACAGGTCTCTGGTGGCGTCATTTGCCTCGTTCGTCGACTTCTACCGGCCCAAGTATGGCGTTCTGGAGAACGTAACTACGATCGTACAAGCCCGCAAGCACAACCAAGCCGAGGACGTGCTGTCACAGCTCATTTGCGCTATTGTCGGTATGGGCTATCAGGCCCAGTTGATTATGGGAGATGCCTGGTCCCATGGCGCGCCACAGGCACGAACTCGAGTCTTTCTCTATTTCGCGGCACCGGGCCTACGACTCCCAGAAGCGCCAGGCCTGTCCCACTCGCATTTCCCGGCCGCATCATCGCGGGACCTGGGAGCGTTGTGTAACGGCGAGCCGTACGTCCGCCGGTCGTTTGAGGCCACCCCCTTCAAATACGTCAGCGCGTCCGAAGGCACAGCCGATCTCCAGCGGATTGGCGACGGCAAACCCGATGCTTGCATCCCCTTCCCGGATCACCGGGTATGTACCGGTATCACACGGGAACTCCGCCGGCAGATCCAAATCATTCCGATACACCCGTACGGCATGGATTTCGTCACAAGCTGGCGTGGAGGTAAAGGGGTTATGTCGGCGGCGGACCGAGATGCCTTCCCCGCCGAAGGAGGTTCTCGTAAGGCATCAGTGGCGTCTAATTCAAAGGCGTGGCAGCGGATCCGCCCCACCGAAGTCTTCCGAACGGTTACAACGGGCGGCCACCCGGGAGATGCGCGTGGCGTGACGAGTCTGCATTGGAATGAGGACCGGCCTCTTACACTACAGGAGGTACGGCGCGCCCAGGGGTTCCCGGATCACGAGGTCCTTTTGGGCAATATGCAAGATAAATGGAAGCTGGTCGGGAACAGCGTGGCGAGGCAGATGGCGCTGGCGCTCGGCCTCAAACTGCGCGAGGCGTGGGTTGGGACGCTGTACGAGGACGGCAGAATCTCGCGCGCGGCGTCGCGATCGGTTACTCCAGGCATCGAGCCCGACAGCAGGGCGAGGAGCGTGACCACGCCGGCGTCGGCCATTTCGGATACCAGGGTCGGCATGAGAAAGCGGCTACTGTCGCAGACGTTGACGACAGACCTGCAATCACCTAAGATGCCTAAGCTGGAGAGAGACTCGACCCCGGCTTCGGAGCAGCAATTGAATGGGACTGTAATGCCGGCATCCGGGCTGGAGTTGGACACGACCCCGGACGATGTTCAGGAAAGCGAAGCGGCGTCGCCGGTGCAGCCGGGGCCAACGGTGGTCCGTCTCTCGGTGGACGACGAGTTGGAGGATTATGAATGATGGTAACAGGCTATACTAGAGCTGTTTGGCACAGGAAAGCATTGATACCCAGGGAGGTTGGATAGGATTGTTTGGCGGCATAGACGGATTTTGCAGACGCAGTCCATGGAGGCTAACATCATGGCTTGCAAGCGATATCCGATAGAGATAGAGCGCGAGAGGGGTGCATATGCATACTTGCATCATCTGGAGCAGGGCTTACCTAATTGACTAGGTACCTTTATGGGTGCCAAACCATCAGAGTCGGGTTGGGGGCAGCATGGCATGTACGGCAGGGCCGGCGAAGGCTCTGTCAGTTTAAATTGAGCGATTGATCTGTCCTTCGTACGTAGGCAAGTGTGGCCCAGATTCAACGCAGGCCAATTCTTCCAAATCTGCGGTCTTTTCGATTGCTGGCAAAATCGCAGGCGATCTTGGGCGGTGAAGGCTGGCAGTATGGGTGATTGTGGTGGGGATGGGAATCATTGTACATACAGGGTGGCAAACAGCATACATAGGACCTACGAAAAGACACTCTCAATAATCATTTATCAAGGGTATAATATACATCAGAAGTACTGTTGTACTGGAGTTGAAATTGATGAAATCAACCTGAGGTTTCACCTGGTTTTCGCCGGCAGGTCCAGGCCTGGCCAGGAACAGGGGTTCGACTTTCGTCTGTGCCACATCTGGATCCCCGCATCTTGGTGTTTGGCTCGCAGCTTCCCGGATCTGCGACCTCCTTTCACAGATCCGCCAATCGCAAGCGGCCCGCGCCTGCCTCATTGACAGTTGGGAAACGTCGGCCCAAAAGCTTCGCATCCAGCTTCAGGCGCTTAACTAATATGTTTGAGGCCCAGCGACATACATTCGCTTCTCGCTGGGAGAGAAACCTTGGTGTCATCGATGAGTTTGCACCGCGGATGCGAAATGACAAGGGGTTCTGTGGCCGCCCTTGCTCCGGCTGTTTGCGTCCATCGATGCCCAATAGATTGGGAACAAGAGAGTGCTGTTCTCGGTAATAGAGCCTTGCTAGCTTCGGTAGCTGGCCGGCGATTGCTGGCCGTACAACTTGCAGCGCTATGTCGCTTGCCTGACACGCCATGAATGGCTCAGAGAGAGTAATACGGTAGGACGGCTGCCATCTTGGGCCCCATTGACCTGTCTCAACAATCGCGAACATGACGAGTCACTACCACGACGCGGCTATGGCATCTCTTCTTTTTGTGTGACTTTTCTCCTTTCCTTACGCCTTCCCTCTCTCTTCTCCGTCTTTCTCCTTCACAGTCCATTGTGTCTGATCATCACATTGTCGCTTTGTTATTGCATCTCCTTTGTAATTGTCTTGCTTTGTGACTCGTTTTTGGAAACAAGCCTTGTGTCACAAGTTCCTTTTGGTTTTGAAAGCCATTCTTATTCCGTTGGCCTCTCGTGGGCAGGTCCTGCGCGAAGAAGGTTGAAGATCTTCTCCAATTCGGTTCGACCCTGTTGGGATATCTCCTCAACTCTCAACATCCATCTACAGGAGAGATGCGTACCACAGCACTAATACTGCATGCCCTATCGTTCATTGCTGCCGCTGAGGCTGGGCCTCTGAGGAGTCGCCAAAGACACCATGCGCCGGCAGCACCAAGGCAATTCTCAAACACCACCATCACCTCGACGACGAGAAATGGAGTCCCAACCGTCTTGTCGTCAACCCTTCATGGCAGTCCTTCGACTCTTGAGAGCACCACACCCACTACCCCGACCACAGGGTTGAGTGAACAGTCTACCGCTTCCACGGGCTCACCATCAACCGACCAGTCATGCTCGGGGACGCCTGGCTCGGGACATGCCTCGAGCACTTCGTCTCCCAGCAGCTCGCCGAGTTCTGTACTTTCTAGCACCGTGCCCGCCAGCTCAACTCTCTCATTACCACCCCTGCAGAGCTCACTCACGCTCCCGCTCGCAGGGACCGGCAGTACAGCAACCTCACCGGCGTCCTCCACGAAGGCGTCCTCTACAACACCGTCATCTGCTTCCCCAAGCACGGCAACAACAGCCTCCAGCCCCTCGGCCTCTCCAACAACTGATGGCTCGTCCATGCTTAGCCTGACGACACTCACCACCATCACCAGGCAGAGCTCGACTTCTGCAACATCTGCCGCGCTATCTTCCAAAACTCAAGATTCCCTTTCGTCTGCTACCCTTACCGTTACGGGGGCGCCCATTACCGCTCTTCCAACTGTCGTCCAGCCTCCACCCACTTCTACCGGCACTGTGTCCCCTGCTGTATTCGAGAGCAATCTTGCCGAGGCGCGGAAGTACAATGAAATCTTCGCCACCCTGACTGCACAATCCGCCTGCAAGCTTGGCCAAGCTGCATGTATTGCTGGGAGCATTGGGACCTGCGCAAGCGGCGAAAGTTTCGAGCTCATTCCTTGCCCTGCAGGAAGTGCCTGCTTTGCGTTGCCCATGAACACCACCGAAGGCGTGATACTAGGGTGCAACGACATTGCAGTAGCCAAGGGGATTCTGGGCACGGTTCCGAGCGCGTTGCTTCCGACTGCCTCGTCGACTGGGGCGGTGACGGCGACTCCAACGTCGGGCACTGCCGGGTCGAGTGCCTCCACGCCGATCACTTCCATCGAGGAGTTCACGAGGACCGCGACGGTAACTATGTCATCTGGGACCGTCACCGTGACCCTAACGATTGATCCCGATCTCGGAGCATCCTCGACGGCAGCCTCAACCACCTCACCTGCCATTACGAGCCCTATTTCAGAAGTTGTCACCACGATCACAATCACATCAGTAATACCCGTCTCAACAGTGTCCACTTCACCGCCGGCCGTTTCAACCACTTCGAGCAACCTCCTCCCTCCCGGATTTGATCCCGTCCCAAGTGTCATCGACCCAGATCTCAGCTCCATTTTCGGCCCGCCCCAAACAACGGCGGCCCCGCCGTCTAGTACCACGGAAACCCTGCGGGTCATTCCCATTGATACCAGAACCCGGACCAGGAACAGGAGGCCCGAAGCAGCAACCCCACCCCCTGGCGCACCCAATGGTGCGAACGCCGAAGCCCCTGCCACCACCAGCGGGGTGGTAACAGTCACGCAGCTTGTGACGGTCACGGAGACTGAAAGGGAGACCACGACGGTCTTTGCGACTCGGTAGTGCTAGGATATAGGGGTTAGGGATTGTTATTGCGGCTATCTTGTGGCGAGCAGACTGGCTTAGGGTAATAAAGGTAGAAAGACAGGCCGTACCAGATCATTTCTTTTGTCTCTTTTTGTTGTATTTAAGCAGCTATCCTATGTTGGCGTCTGGCAGAGCCTGGTGTTTTGGGACGCGAGTCACTGTAGTCTCTTCAGGGGCATCTAATCTTGGGAGTTTATTGTAGCAAGGCATGAGCTAGCGGAGGTTTATTGTTGATTTAACAGAGTGTATATACCCAACGTACCAGATACAAACTCAGGTGAATTCCACGGGAGAATTCCACAGACTGCTGTCTGCTCCATATGCTGTACTGTTAACTCATGACAAGGGAAGCCCTGATGAGCAGGACCAGGCGCCAGCAGAAGAAAATCCAAACCAGCCTGAGTAGCCACAATATACGGCCATAAGGCAGTGGAGAGCTCGGCATCTGTGGCAACTTCAACCTTGTTGGCGTTGGGAACTGAGGCTAAATAAGGCCATGACTCTATGAGGCTGTATCTCCCAGTGTCACTGACAGGCACCTTTCTTCGCAAGGGGAGAATTGCTTGCCAACGGGATCCTGTCTCATCGTCATTCTCGACGTGTGTGTTACGGGTTAATAGGTCAAGTCAACCCCCAAACTCTCACCCCCCCCTGGGTAGTAGGGTAGACGTACAGTGGAGTGGTAAAGATCCGTAATCTAAGACCAAGAGGTTCCCCGTTCAAGTCGCATGAAAGTCATGTGTTTGTCACACGCATGAGTACCTGGGACTAAGGTACCTTATAACCACACAAGAACCCGAACAACCCGAGCTGAATTTGAAAGCAACGGTTGCTAGCTGGCTGGCTCGCTTACTCCTATATCCACCCCAAGTTGGCTTCCCTGAGTCGAGCTATGGGTACATGGTCCTAGTCAACAGACACAGTAAACATGTCTCCAACATCGAGACAATCCAGCCCCATTAATCTAGGTCCGGCAACCGAGGATAGAGGGATATGAGAGATCTCCCAAAGAATCAGGCCTGGGTACATTGGCCCAGCCCAAGTCAAATGAAACTGGGCGGGTCAACGGAAACATCGCCTGCAGCAAGCCGTACACCCCTTAGCCGGGTGAGGTATGACAACTCGGCCTCGTTGAAAGAGTTCTACATTACGTCGCCTTCTGTGCATACTCTGGGCCCTACCTTCAACACTCTCTGCTGGCGACTCGGACCAGAAATGTGGGCGCAAAGCAGCGCACATGGAACAGATGTGGAACTCGCTCGACCGGGAGAACCTCCCTCCTTAAAACCTCCCTCCCGAGAACCTCCCTTCCTGCCCCAGCAAAAACAGCACCAGCAACAAGCAACAGCAAGCGCCGCCAGCTCACTACAAAACGAGCCGGAGTTTACACCCCACGATCTACCGCCACCGAAAACACTCTCAAGTTACCCAGTTTTACAGATAGATCGTTGACCTTCCTGTTAGTGATAGGTCGGCGAGAATGGCTTTGATTTCGGCAAGCTCTTCCCCAAGCTCAGCAAGGACTTGAGATACGTAACGCGGTTGCTACCTACCTACATAGCAATGCCCGTCTTCATTAAAGTGTACCTAGAAATGGAAAAGCCATTGCACCAAGTAATACGCCATATCTTAGCTACATCCCAAGTTCCTCAATGCCACCTTCCTAGTTGAAATATCTATGCTGCGCCATGCCATGCAAGCAACCTATACGCCATACATGCCAATGCAATGCCTTCAAGTTTGATGCCATCATATTCGTAATCATGTCATAGTATCGTAGGCGAGGTAGAGAGAGCCATCAGCGCCGCCTCCGCCAGCGAGAATTGTGCGCCTGGCCACCTTTGGCCCCTGAGTTCCGCAGCTTGAGCCTCTTGAAGTTTGCGTGAGCCGTCGCTTTGACCTTGCGCACCGCCCTTTTGACCACGCCGTCGGCCGCCTCGGGCTTGTCCTTGTCCTTGTCTTTGTTGCTGGCGCTCTGCTTTTTCTGCCGCGCAGCTGTCTTCTTCTTATTCTTGTTCTTCCCGTCATCGAGGGCGTCGACGACGAATTCCTCGTCGGAATCGGAGCCATCACCAGTGTCGGGTTCTGAGAGACGGAGCTCGTCGTCTCCGTCCACTGCTGTTGCGCTCGCAGCTGTGTTGACAAGCTGCGTCTCGGGGATGACAGCATCGTCCTCGTCCTCGTCATCATCATCATCAGCACCGGTTTGAGAGGTCGGCCGTTTGACTCTTGTCGGCCGCAGATTGGCCCGCCTTGTGGTCCGTTTCTGGCCGCGCTTCTTGAACACACGCGTAGGTTGTTGCTGGCGATCCACGTCTTCGGGGCCGCTGTCGTAGACCCCCTCGTCATCAAACGCCGACAGTAGCACAGGTGGCTGGCGGCTCTTTGCCTCCTTCTCTTCCTCCTCCCTTCCTTGCGGGCCGTTACCGGCGTTACCGCCATTACCATTACCGCCCCCACTGACTAGGTCACCCCCTAACTCCATTTCCCGCATCACCTCCTCCTCCTCGGCATGCGCCTCCTCCTCCAACCGCCTCAGCCCAGCAACAATGCTGCTCAGCCCCTTCCCCTTGGCAGGGCCGAGCCTCCGCGGCAGGCGTAAGGGGCCGATGGTTTTCCATGCCTCCTCTTCATCTTCTTCACCATCCTCTTTCCCCTCGCCCTCACCACCACGCGTATGATTGTCCTCCACGGGAATGTCCGGTTCCGACTCCGGTACCTCATCCACCCGTGACAGTGTCCTTGTCCTCGGAAGGGTCCTTATGAAGGTGGGCGCCTTCGGCGGGTTGACATTGACGTGTCGCCGGCGCAGGAAGGCCGGGGTGGAGAAGATGAGCTGCTGCTTTGCGATTTGCGACGGAGTCGAGCACGATTTGGGGGTGGTGGTGGTGATGGCAACGGCGTTGCCGCCGTCCTGCAGGGGCCGATTGTGGCGTGGGGTTGCGGTTGCAGATGCGGTGTAGAACAGTCCGCCTCCGTGTTCTTGTTGTTCTTCTCGTCCGCCGTCTCTGCTGGACCTGCCGGCGCGGGTTGTTGGGGTCGTGGTGAGCAGGCCGGACACGTCGACCGTGCGGCGGGCTCTACTTGGTGTTGCTGCTGTAAGGGACTTGGACGGGGGAGTGCCGGCGAGCAGGTCAAACAGGCCGAGAACCCGGCCGTCTTTGTGCGGGGTTGGGCTGATCGATGTGGGTGGTTTAGCCGGGGTGAGTACAGTCCGGTTTAGGGATGGGGTGGCGGCTGGTGTGCGGCTCTCGTCTGGGTGCTGATACGCTGCTTTGCGCGGCGTCTGTGCAGGCTTAGACCGCTTGGAAGGCGTCTGCGGAGGGAGGTTCGCATCGGATTGCCTGCGCTTGCGGGGTTGCTGGTTCCTGTCGTCTCCTGGAGGTGGGAACTTGCCTGCGAGAATGTCCCGGAGCTTGTTGTATTGCTTGTATTTCTGAGCTATCCAAGACAAAATGAGTCAGCGTTGTAGTGACGACCAATAGCTGTGCTCAAGATGAGAAACAGAGATACCAATGTCTGGATTCTGCTTGATGTCATTGCGACCGGGCTTGTTCCCTCCGTGTGCACTCGCCCATTCATTCTCCCATTTCTTGAGTTCGGCCCGTAACTGCAAAGATTGATTCTCGTAGCCTGCTCTGGCTTGGTCGTCCATGGTCCGATGCGGCATCGAGTCCATGCGGTGCTTGTGCGATTATGTGATGTTGGTTGGGGTGCTCTCTATGTGGAAAGCAACTTGGCAAGCCTCGATAGCACCGTCCTCCCTTGGACGACGCGTTCAGACGCGTCGCCATTTTTAGCACTCCAGTGCCCCGCGATACGTCCCCTAACGTACCTACGTCAGTGTCTGGGTCTGTGCGCTGCAGGTACTGTACAGTGCGAACTCCACAGCTCTTGTCCTACATTATACTAGTATCCGTACTTCCTCCACTCCTCCACCCATCGCCCCCTCCATTCCCAATTACCTTCTGCTTCGCACACTGCTTAACGGCTCATGGACATAGGGGCTGGCACAGATAGCTCTGATGATATCCAGACTCAGGTCCTTCAGACAACCCTTGCCGAGGTAGCGACATTACGGCAGGCAGCTGCGAGTTCCAACGAGGGCGGCGACGACGCCTCGGAGCGCCCTGATTGCTGCGTCATCTGCCTTGATACAATATCAGATCCTTGCGCCGCTCTGCCCTGCGCGCATTCTCACTTCGATTTCCTTTGCCTGCTCAGCTGGCTGGACCAGCGCCCAGCATGCCCGCTATGCAAAGCGGGCGTATACAAAGTCCGGTACACCGATGCCTCCAAGGGCGAGAGCATCTATCGCGTCCCAAACGCCCCCAAGAACCGCAATAGCGCGGCGACAAGTGACGCCGCCACGCGAACATTCACAGACTCAAGTACGAGAGGAGGCGCCTTCCTACACAATAGCCTATTCCGAGACACGGATAGAAGATGCTCGCGAAGGGGACCCCACCGCCCGAGATCGCCTCCCACCCCAGACGAGGCTATCCAGCGCCGGCGCTACATCTACCGGCACCAGCTGTACTCTCTCCGTAAGTCAGCCATTCTCCCTCTTCCCACTCAAGACCCGTTGAACACAATACTAACCCGTGCAATCCACCGACAAGCAGACGTAGGATCCAACCGCCACTCGCGGTACCGGCCGCAGCCACCCACACCAACCCAGTTGTCGTCGACGCCGCATCTTGTGTCACGGGCCCGCCTATGGATCCGTCGCGAACTGCAGGTCTTTTCATTCCTCTCCGACTCCGACACCGACCCCAGCAGCAACAATAATAACAACAGCCGCCGGCGCGCAAACGCCGAGTTCCTCCTCGAGTATGTGGTCGCCGTGCTCAAGACGGTCGACCTGCAGTCGGCGGGGGGCCACGCCGAGTCCCTGCTGGCCGACTTTCTGGGCCGTGACCACGCCCGCCTGTTTCTGCACGAGCTGCGTTGCTGGCTGCGCAGTCCCTGCGGCTCGCTCGCTGCGTGGGATCGTGAGGTGCAGTACCCGGATCCGAATGTGCGGCGTCCCCGTTCGGGTCATGATCATGAGGATGATGATGATGATGATGATGAGAGGGTAGAAAGGGAAGACCTACCCGGCGGCACAGGCCCAGGCACGTCTTGGCGGGATCGGAGTGGTGGGGATCACTGGCGGGCTGCTGCTCGTGATGCTCATCACCGGGGTAGGAAGAGGAAGGGGAAAGGTTTTGAAGACGATGGTGGTGGTGCTGCTGCTGCTGAGGGCAATCAGAGGGTCAACCGGCCTAGGAGAGATCCGAGGCGAGAAAGGACTCGCACTGGTGAGGGGAGGAGTGGTTGCTGAGATGGCATACCAACCTCACCTTCATGTGTGTGATCACACAAGGCTGGTATGACGAGCCGAATAGATTACCACATGTACGCAGGTACGGTGTATCCTGGCGGTTGGTACATTCACGCAATGGGCGTACGGCCTCCCCCATCGGGTTGCTGCCCCTGGTTCTCTGCTTATGCTGTATGTCGTTGTACGAAAGGCGGATCTCGTGTACAGCCGGCCGGAATATCCAAAGCAATTCGAAAGATGTACGAATCATTTCCCAAGCTATCGGACGAAACCTGGGACGGTTTGACTAACTCCTTACTAAAGCACTGTGGCTAGCGATTTGCCAACAGATGTTCAAATTCTAAGATGCTACACACATTCAGAAGCAAAGATATGCCGAACTTCCTGTAGGATCGGGAGCAACGATAAGGACAACCCTAAGATAAACCAGAGCCTAGGCTGTATATCCGTAAGAGCGAGAAAGACGTCTTGATGTGTGCTATGCTGCTGCTTAAACAACCTGAAGGAACACAACTAAGTAACTCCTCCGCTAGGGCATTGATGAAATGCCGCGACCTCAGTGTTGGGTTGGCTCGCTGTGGATGTTCCATGCATAAGCCCCCCTTGCTAATTCCGAGTCCATGCCCCGAACCCAACACTCAATGCCTTCTGCTGCCACTTCCTGCTTCATCATGTCTGCTGTGATTACGCTGTGTACCGCCGCAGAAAACGCAACACAACACATTGGGGACACCATCACCAGCTCTAGACGATACCATAGGAAACGACTACAGGCATCCCCTTCGCTCGGCTCGACTTGGCTTCGCTTTATCTACCTCCTGTCAGACAGTCAGAGAGCCACCAACGAGAGCAATGATTAAGTCAGAGACCAATTATTGTCGACGGGGCAATGACTGGGTTTCATATTTCTTTCACGTCACGCCCGGTACCTTACTTCCTCTCTCACATCTTCACTCCCTCGGCTTCTCCCCATCGTCTCACTCTCCCATCTCCGCTGTGTGATGTGGTTTAAAAAGTTACAAGGAACGGAAAACAATTCGGTGGTGGAGGAAGCGCAGGAAAACACTATGAATAATTACATGCCCTCGAACTCGCCGCCGAGGTCGTCCTCGTCCAGATCGCCCTCCTGAATTTCCTTGGCCATCTCCCGCTCGCGCTCGCGGGCCTCCTGGGCGTTCTTTAGCTCGAGGCGATGCTGGTTCATGGGGAATCTCATGGCCTGATGGGACAGGGTGCAGTAGGTTAGCAAGCAAGTTCGCAATGAAAACACGTAGGGACTTGACAAAGGGCAAGTAAATCGTACCTTGACACTCTCGTCATGCAACGCGAGACACGCGCGGATACGGTCGTGGAAGGCCTCGCCCGGCTCCCGCGTCGCGTAGACGTCTCCAATCTCCTTGCTCTTCATGAAACCCCTCTCGCGGTCCAGCGTCGCCTCGATGACGCCGTCACGGATCGCCTTGGCAACAATGTACTCGGCGCTCTCCTCGGAGCCCAGGTGCAGGCGGATGCAAATGTCGCGCAGCGAGATCCGGCTGTAGCTCAGGCTCATCATGCGGATGCCCGTCTTGATCACGTTCTGGCGCAGGCGCAGGATGAGCGTGTAGGTGCCGTCGCGGCGGAACGTGTCTGCGTGGTCCGCAATGATCGTCTCAAAATCCTCCAGGTTGCCAACGCGGACAGCCTGCACGAGAAGGAAGTACGGGTGCAGCGCCGTCTCCATGTTTGGCTGTCGGAAGGTCGCGCGGTCGGGAATGTCGCCCATGAGCAGCTCCACGACGAGAAGAAGCTTGGTCGCCGTCTGGCTGAAGCCGAGAGCGCAAGCGCTAGAGGGGGCTTTCCGCGTCGCAGCCGTCAGGTGCTCGTGAGCCTCGGTGTAGCGGAGCTGGATGGCGCGGGTGCGGCCGAGATAGTACAGAAAGCGGGCGACCTGGTTGTTTGCGGCATTCTCCGGGAACTGCGTGTGCGAGACCAGGAGATCGGCTTGGGCGATATGTGAGGTGAGCAGGTAGTTTCGGAGCAAAAGGACAATAACGGAAGCTTGTGTGTCCACATCCTTGCGGAGGACGGCAGTGCGGAGGGCGGCAAGAAGGGCCGGCCGGATCGAGACAATTGGCGATTGAGAAGACGGCGGCATAGGGCTTATCTGCTCAGCGAACAGAGAGTAGTAGAAATACACCTTAGCAGAGAGACTGTCGAGCGTGCGGCGGCTGAGAGACCGGATCCGATCAACCAGATAGCTCGAGAACTCAAATCCCTTCTGGAACGCCTTGCTGTCGTGCAGAAGAACCTGTGTGAGGATACCAAGGAAAACGTCAATCTCAGGAATCACCTCCTTGACCTCCTTCTTCGCGCCGTTCTTGCCGGCGGCCTTGGGCTCGCTGTCAATCTCCATCTCCGGGCCGGGTTGACGGCCCAGGGACATGTCCGGCCGTCCGACCATCACCAAAATCTGCCTCGCAAAGCTGCTGCTGGGTGAAGACGAGGGGTAAGTTTCTGAAACGACTTGGGCCAAGATATCCGGAGTCAGCCGTTTCCGGATCGACGAAATGGACCGAAGAGCGCGGAGGGAAAATCTCGCGTCGAAAAGCGCAACGGCGCGGTCTAGGAGGGCGAAATTGCTCTTGATATCTGCTCGAAGAAATGGTGGTCAGCTCAAGGTCACCGGTGAAATCAGGTGAGGTAACCACACCGTTCATGGTTTGGACTACGGGATCAACCTTGACCTCATCGCCCATCTTATCCGAATCATCCATAGAAATATCGCCATCGGCATCGTTTGGCGGAGGGGCCGAGGATTGTGTCTTTGAGGGCGGAACGACGACCGTCATCTCGTCGTCACCCTCCTTTTTGCTGGCCTTCTTGCCCTTGGGTTTCAGATCCTTGTCCTTCATGTCAATGTCCTTCCCTCCCCGATAGCCGCCGTTCTCGACGGGTTCCTTATCAGGAGTCTTGCCAGGCATAATGGCGCGGTTCTCTGAAGGATCGCGATGAACAGGGACGTGGCCGCCCGATGGAGAATGGGCGGCGATGGGGTGGCGCTGACGAAATCACCGAAGGTTGGTCGCGAAGCGCGGAGCTGATTGCTTGTTGGTTTTGGGCTGGCGACCTCACAAAGACAGCGGCAGAGCGCAGACCTTCGAGATGGACCGCGACGATGATCAAAAATTTTGCCTGGGCCGCAAGTGCAACGTCCTACAGGCAGTGAGATTCGAAAACCCGGTGTTAAGGAGGGCTTGTTGTGCGTTGAAGTGTGATGCAGGAATGGGAAGGGAAGGTTCGAAAAGCTCAGGACTGCCGGAGATTGACAAGCAAGTCGCCAAACGGACACGGACCCCGGGCGCTGACTGAAAGAAGGGTGTTGAAGTATATCCCTAGCAGGAGTTACCTAAAACATCGCTCAGTTTGTTAGCGTAAGAAGGTTCCAGTCTGGCCCAGTATACTTTCTGGCAAGCAATGCCCAGGCGACTTTGGAAAGGGAGCGAATGCGGCTCGACCCAGTCCGCAGCGCAGAGCTGGCGACCCACTTGGGCTGGCTGATGCTTTGTGACGTTGTCGATTTGCTGCCTGCTGGGCCTTCTTGGGACTACCTTGGTGGCGCAGAACAACCGCCTGCTGTCACTACCTATGTATCCTCGGATACATACAGTAGTCAGGTACCTAACGTATGGCTTGTGAAGATTGCTTTCAGGGTAATTGAGGTAACTATGTTATATTTTTGATTTGCCTTCTTACAGTACACTATTCGTCCACCAGGATTCAGAATGTACTTACGTGCCTTTGTCATGGTCTGTACCTTTCCGTTGCTCTTCCCATACAAAAACATATCCGGGCCGTCTGGAATCGGGCACTGGCGAGCTTTTGCTGTGGTGACCTCGGCGCATGACCAAGTGGTGTGTCGTCAGCGTGATTGGCGGGAAGTCCCGATCTGGTGCCGCTGCCAGAAGTGCCCAAAAATACCCAAAAACCGCAAACGAAACAGCGTCCTGTGCCTCCGCCGAGCTGCAGAGTCTCGCCTGCGGCCTCAGGCTTCTCAAAAGCCAGTGTTCTGGTTCAATAAGCGTCATTGAAGCTCGATGGTATGACTGCTACGATCCAAATGCAGCGAGCACGTGGGAAAGTTGTAAGAAAAAGAAGTATTCACGAGATTGAGAATGTAGACTAAAGGCGGGGGGTAACTGTCTTGATATGCGGATACTTCCCGCTGCTTCAGTCAACCAAACTGTCTCCTCATTCCACCGGAGGATTCTTACTCGATGCCTCGCTGCCGAGGGCGAGCGCGTCCACAACAGGAAGAAATTGGATGAGTTGGGACTTCAAGTCTGCGGTGAAACTGCTGAAGGCCAGGAGGGCAACATGGACTCGCACAACAACACGGCGATCAGTACGTGAAATCGGCCAATATGTTGGATAAGCGGGAGAAGCACACTCTATACTAATTAACCTACTACCATTTCGACGAAGGAGCTCTCTAAGAGGCCGGACGACGACCTCAGCTCCATGAGCGGCTGGACACAGAGCATGCCGACAGACGCGATGCTCGAAGACCTCCATGAGACACATTTTGCCTGATTTCGGTGGTTTATCTGTTGCTTATTTTTGGATTAGTGAGTAGTCGTTTGAATGGGCTTGTCTCAGCGGTCTGTCGGATCACTGTTGACTAGGTAGGTAGTAACCTTGGAACCAACAGCGAATGACTTGAAAGGAACATGAAAGGTACTTCTGGCTAGAGGGTGATTTGAACTGGGAGCCTCTAGACCGACCGTCTCGGACCTTTGCCATTCTACTACACTACCCAGGGGGGTGAAAGTAGGAAGGTTGACTTCCCTTATCAACCCATTCAGCCATGCGGAGGGAATGAAGGATGTGTAGTTACTAATCTTGATGCTGCTCGGACCTTTAGGTCGTTGGAATTCCATATCTCTAGCATGGGAGTCAGAAATCCATTTCAGGTCATCAATTGGCTGGCTAAGGTATCTATCTACCTACGTCTCCCGTCCCTTCTTGCCAGTGCAGACCCTCCGTTACGCCAGCTGCCACCCGGATCATGAAGTGTCGTGACAAAGCCCAGCCCAGAAGCATCCCAAAGGCCAAGTGTGAATCAGTCGAGAGAAATGCCAGTGTACAATCCTTCCCAGTTACGCCAGCCGCCATCCGGATCCATGTCTCGTAACAACGCCCCGCCCAGAAGCATCCATACCTGAAGGTTAGGTGGAATTCAGTACCTAAAGAGAGAACACCGGAATACCAACGCCCCGCTAAGTTTAGTTATCTCCCTTTCCGGGGACGACCTTGGCAGCCTGAACAGCGCTCATCTTCTTAATCCAGGAGCTGTTGGGCTGCACCTTGCGGACCGTGCGCAGCTCGTCGCTGGAGTAGCCAGGGATTCGGATGTTGTAGGTGCGCTCCAGAACGAGTTGGATGTCGCGAATCTCGAGAACCTTTGATCCACGCTCCTTTGCGTTGCGGCAGGCCTGATGGAGGACGTTGTCGACGAAGGAATCGGCCATGTTGAGGACAGACTGCGCCAATGTTCAGCAAAGGAAGGGAGCAGATGATACAAAGTCGGATGTGGTGGTTTCTTACCTCCTCCACATCGGGCGTCAACATATTGCCCTCTTGGCCCTCGGCAGTTCCGCCGCAGACTTGGCGAACCAACTCGTCCAGCTTTTTCTTGTTCAGGACCCGCTCGCCCTCGCCCTCAAGCTGGTACGCAGGGGTCTTGGGAAGAGCGGGCTGGTTCATGACGCCTCCGCCGATGCCACCGCCACCGCTGTAGGTCGGACGGCCGCTGCCGATACCACCAATATTGGGAACGGGCTGAGGCATTTGGGTCGCCTTTTCGTGAAGAACTTTGGGAATGGGCAACTTGGACTGCAGGTTGGTCTGCGCGTTAGGTTGCGACGGATGCGCGTGAGGGTGGCCTGGCTGCTGCGCTCCACCGACGGTGCCGAGATTCGATGCCGGAGTGTTTCCGGATCCAGCGATTGGGGCTCCTGGAATTGCGCCGGCACGCTGCTGAGAAGCCAGATTCATGGCAGCAGCGTGAGAAAGCGGGCGAATATTCGTATTGGCAGTTGTGGGGGTCGCAGATTGAGGAGTTTGCATACGCGCCGAATTCTGGGTGGGAGTTCCAACTAATTGGGCCCCGCCGGCTGCGAAGGCGGTATTGAGAGGTGCGGGAAGCGGCTGCACACCAGGCTCGAGCTTGAATTGTGCGGGCTGTTGCTGAATCTGCTGGCTTTGTTGAGATTGCTGAGCCTGTTGCTGGGGCAGAGCAACTTGTGGCGGGGCCGCTTGGGTGGCTGGAGAAGGTTGTGCCTGTGTTGTGGTGGTGACGGGCGTTTGCGCCTGCGGCTGGTGTGCAAGTGAAGGGCCGCCTTGCTGGGCAGGCAGCGGGTTCGCTCCCGGCATCCGACCGGCGGCCAGTTGCTGTTTCTTGGCAGCCTCAATCGCCGCATTAACGGCAGCAGCGGAGCTTTGCATGGGACTTGCAGCAGCAACCGTGGCGGCAGTCGCCGGTCCGTTACCCATTCCTTGACCTGGCTGTGCCACGCCTTGCGGTCGCCCTTGGTTTCCCGGGTTCGGCGCTGCCGTGCCATTTTGCGAATTCTTTTGGTTCGGGTTAGTATACGACTTCCGAACATGGCTGACAAACGATGCAGCTTCCTGGACTTGTTGCTGGACCTTCGCCTTCCTCTCCTCAATCTTCTTCCTTTCCTCAGGCGCAAGCGACGTGTTCTCTTGCAAGGTCTGCTCCATCGCCTTCAGATGATTACGAGCGCTCTCCACCGTGTAGATGGCCAAGGCGTACTGCTTCTTCATCTCCTCAGTCCACTTCGCCCTGTCCTTTTCCTGTATGTTGGCCGGGGGATGGAGCACCATCTCGTTGACATGGTTGAGAATCTGCGGCGGGAGCGATCTGGGCTGCTGTGCCGGGGCAGCCGGATTCGGCGATGACTGGGACGCCGCCGTCGGAGCTTGAGTGTTGCCGGAAGCACCCGGAGCTGGTTGGGTCTGAGCTGCCGCTTGACCTCCCTGGCCAGATTGAGACAGCCGCTGCTGTTGCTGTTGCTGCGGCTGTTGCTGGGGCTGCTGCTGTTGCTGCTGCTGAGCTTGCGGCTGGTTCTGTTGCTGCTGGGCCTGGTGCTGTTGACGGCGCTGTTGTACCTTGGCATGCAACATCTTTCCGAACTCGCCAATCTTTCTCTTAGCTTCGACCTGTTCCTTGGAGCCTGGGGCTGCAGTATCGTGCATCTTCCAGAGGCGGCTAAGACCATGTTCGTACTTGGTCTTCTCATCATCGCTGAGGAGCGCGATATTGCGCATCATTTCTGGGCGGTAGAGGGGCGCGCCCTGGGGTCGGTTGGGAGGCGCTGCGCCCTGGGGATTCGGAGCTGTTGGCCGGCCCCCCATGCCCTGGCCCTGGCCCGGCGCCGAGCTCATATTTCCAGCTTCCATTGAGAGAAGCGGCGCTGGAGCGACGGCCCGATGGACTTGCGGTGCCCCGGATTCCACTGCCGTAGGGTTTCGAGCCTCGGATGCGTTTCCAGCGATGTTTCTGGACTACTTGATTGAAACTGAAGAGAACAGGAGATGACGGTGCACGCGCGCGCAAAGAGGGACAAACCCACGAAATCACTTCCCGGAATGTGTTTTTGGCACCTCGAGCAGTTCGGTGCAAACGCTCAAATGGATGCGGCTTCCTATGAACGTTGTTCAAGGATGGAATTAGCCGTTCCCTGTGGCGTTTGCTCAGTGAGAAGACAATGGGCGCGGATCATCATTGGTGAGATTTATAGGCCCGCAGATGCACCAGCCACATGCCGAGCCGCCTGTCCAACCTCCTCTGGGAGGCACACCAATGTTTCACCGACGTTAATGCTCGGCCAGGCACTAAAAGATGTTCTCGAGTGCACGGGGATCTACTATTGTTTTGCACTTACCATAAGAACACCTTTAAGGGCGTTCGTTGGGTTGATTACTGAACGTACCTTATGCGGGTTGAAAGACAGTTGTGCTGCACACTGTGTACAGCCGCCTTGCTCACCTCAGTTTGCTGCACTTCGGGTTAACGCTGGGATTGTACTAGTAGGTAGTCACCGTCATCAAAGTTATCAGTACAGTCGCTCGGGGCAACGGACATATCCAATGCGTATGAATTTGGGCAGATGAAATTGGCTGGCAGCTAATTAGGACGAAGAAAGTTCAAGGTCTTCACTCAGGGGGTCTGTTCCGTACCAGATACATTGGCCTCGTAGGATAGCGTTCTATAGCAACAAAGTCTATCTTCCCACGCACGAGCAAATCCAACGAATATAGACTGTTCCCCGAGTCTCCATGTGCTAGGTAAAAGCACTCGCTTGCATCAGTCCAAAATGTGAAAACTCGGCCCATAATGGGGCGGAAGAATGCCCATTGCTAGGGGCTGCCTCCGGAATGCGCAATCCCATATCTATCAGGTATCATCAGCGATAAGCGGTACAACAACCCCAACTCAATCGAGCCACATATGACTTAGTCAAACAACCCGAGTTCCCTCTTTGCCGTGCAGTCTGTCTCCGAAAACACAATGCGGGGAAATAGTAAGAGTCAGAATGGTAAGAAAGTGTCCAGGGAAGATGGTTGAGAGCCGGGTCTATTTCATATCCACCGCCAGAGTCGCCATCATGTGAATGCATCGCTAAAATGTGCTAAAAATGTGCCCGTAGAGAGATGACATCCGCAGCCCAGCGTACATGAACAAACGGAAGAAGAAGAGTCGCGTTCAAACATGCCAATCCGCCATCACATCGTCGTCGTCATCATCGTCATCGTATCGTCGTCATCGTTTGCCGTTTCTTCATCAAGGTGTGAGGCAGAAATAAGGACTCAGCATCAGGGAGCCATCGTTAACCGGGTCCGCGTCTATTTGTGCCCATCGTCCCCGGGCACTCCTACTTAAAAGCCGGGTGAGAGGCAGCTCACTATCAGGGAGAATCCACCTCCATGCTAACGTATTCATAATACGGCAGCTCGCGAGCGAGGTTAAGAATCTCATCGTCGCTCGAGGCCGGTTCATCAAGCTCCTCGATCCTGGGCGGCGGGGGGTCCTGGAACTGGAGGCTGCGGCGGTCGCCAACCCTTCTCCGCAAACGGCGTGCGCTCGAGCCCACCTCGTCGACGCCGAGCACCGCCTTGAGGTCCTCGCGGTCCGTGTCGCTGCCGATGCTCTCGCTGATGGTGCGTTTGCCGATGCTGCCGGAGCTCATGCGCTTGCGCCGCTTTTCGGCGCGCCACCTTTTTAGAAACTCCCTGTACTCCTGCTCGTCCACGTCTGTCTCGTCCGAGTCGTCGTTGTCGCTCGTGCAGTTGAGGTTGCCGAGGTTGCGCATAATTCGCGGGTCAATCCCGCGCCGGTTACGGGACCGGGAGCGGCTGCGCTCTGATTCGGCGTATTCGATGGCGCTCGGCCGCACCACGTCGAGCCGCTCGCTGTCGCTGTCGCCGAAATCGCTCAGTTCCTCAATGGTGAGATCCGACTCGGCTTGCGTCACGGTCACGGTGCGGCCCGGTCTCGGTTGCGGCACAGCTGGTGGTGGGGCCGGTTCGGACCGCCGGCCAGGAGTGCTTCCGGACGGCGATGGCCCTGCTGGTGCCGCATCCGAGTCGTCCGAGTGCTCGGGATCTGACGACGATGAAGTGGAGGACGAACTGGTTGTGCGTGGAGACAGCTGCTCGGGCCGGATTGCTCGGGTGTTGCTGAAATTCGGCCCATTGAATGCCGTCCAGCCGGTCGACAGGGGCGGGGGCGCCATCGAATGTGGAGGGATTTGTGGCGGTAATACCCCCGGAGGGGGGCTGCTCTTGCGGCCAAAGACGGGGGATGTGGTCCTGGGGGTTTCGGGAGGGGAGGAAGGCCCCACGTTTTGGATCGTGTTCAAATTCGTCCTTGTCGGCCACATGGTCCGGCAATTTTCGTGGTGGTGGCTGCAGCCCGTGGACGAATTCGGCGGGCCTCGCTCTCTAGGGTCTCTCTCCCTGTGCCCCTCGTTGTGTGGTGTGTGGTGTGGGGTAAAAGTCGGGGGAGAAGACAGAAAAAAAGAATCAAGTGCCAGGTCTGAAATTGACCACGGCAGTTTCAAGGCGTAAGCACCCAAAGAATGAACCTCCAGCGAGGAGAAGATATAGGGCTTCGGTTGGTTGTCATGATAATATCGTGTAAAAGTCTAGATGCCGGGTTGCGTGCAGCCCAGGCTGATTCCCGATATTGCCCGGGGGGAAATCTGAGCAGACTCGAGCGGTTGGAAGGATTGCGCGGGGATGACGGGGCAGCTACAGGTGGATGATGTGCGCCGTTGCGCTGGTCGTTCTTGGGCAAGGAAATTATTTGCCTGCGCGCAGAGAGGCGTGCAGCAAGAAATCGCGGGCAACCAAGTTGACTGGTGGGTGGCCGCAGCTCGGGGGAGCCCTTGGAGAAAGAGGGTGTGCCCTGTAATGAGACGTCGGGATAAAGGAGGACGACAAGCGCAAGTTCAGAATTACGTCTTCTGGCGGCGCCGGGTTTGTCTAGATTTCTGGCCTTTTGAAAGAGACTGCTTTCTGCCGGCCGAGCTCCGGGACTGGGACAATTTCCAGAACTACGGACTCTAAAATACTGCGTCCACTGGGTGCCGGACCGAAGATCCATCTTATACTTTTGCCAGTACTGCCCACGAGCACGTCTCCTGCAGGGTTTTCAAGCCGCTATGGAACCCAGCGGGTAGACGGGAAAGGGGTAAGAAAAAGAAGAGCCGCCAGGAACCAATGCCTACCAGCTAGTATGCAAGCGAACATCTCCCGAGTCCCGCCAGCCCATGTTGATCCGGCGCTCTCGGAGGAGTAGCGGCAGCTTGGGCAGCAATGCTCCAGAAATTCCTGGTAGTGTCCCATATGCATATTGCCAGCGGATTCCCTGTGGAGGGGCTACAGGCCTCGAGTACGACTCAGAGGAGACATATCACGGATCCAAACCGGCGGTCGGCGTGAAAAGCTGGGAAGTAGTTATGAACCCAGGGTGCGGCTTCTTGCTGTTACCGTTGTGATGGTTGAGTTGTCAATTGAGTCAGGACTGCGCAACGGAGCAAAACTCCGCTCCAACATCTTCCCGTCCGCAAGGCTGGTGATCGCTTTGCAAAGTGGGCTCAAACGAATCAGGGGCTGGAGTCCCACCGGAAAAAAAATGGGTGCCAGACCTATTTTGAGTCTTTTCTGCCAGCGATTGGACCCCGGAACTTGGAAGTATCTGTGCCCAATGACGGAAGGCGAATCAATGCCGACGGCGAGAGGCGAGGGATGGCATGCGCCGCGCCGTCCTGCGGAGTGTGGAGAGGGTGCCGGGAAACGCACAATGCTTGGACGGTTAGAGTTTTCGGTCGGTTATGTCGCATTTCCGCGAACGCGCACTCGACCACTGGAGGTGTTGTGGCGTTCGTGACATTTCGCAACTGAGCAGAAGAAAACCAAGATAGCGACGCGCAGCTCATTCGATTACCTAGACTATTTACCGCATGCCTGTTGTGCCTGCTTGGAGGTTGCTTTCGGACCGTTGTAGTTCGAGCTTCAGCCGGCAAGTGAAGTGGAGAGTCGGATGCCCGAAGGAGTTGGGCCTCACTCGCTCCGGCTTTTTGGACAGGGGAGCGCTTCGCTCCGAGCAGGGGTGTGCGTGAGATCTAAGCGGTAGTGTAGATCGGCGGCGAAAAGTAGGTAGCATTTTGTCGCTCAATGTGTTGCAAAAGTTGCAATGTCTGGATCCGACAGCTTGTGTCCGTCCTCAGTGCTCGAAAAATCTCCTGAGTTGAGAGTTTGGTGGTAAGAAGCTCAGAAGATCGGTGAGCCCCACGTGCGTACGAGGGGCTATGTGGGGCGCGGCACACGAAGCCAGGCTTGCCAAGCAACAGCCCACTTTAAGGTACTTATACCTATGTACTCCGTATGTACCTTACCTTACCTTACACAGCACCAAGAGCTCTGTCGGGGATACCTCGACTTGTGCACCGCGGCAGACAGACACGACGCGACAGGAAGACGCCGCGCCTAGTACCGTAACCTATCCCCAAATCCCACATCATGTCACTTCTCCAAGCACATCTGGAGCAAATCTCCATATCATGCCAGGGCATTGATAGTCTCCCGTAAGTGAGCAACCACCCCCACGGGCATGCCCAATTATGGCCCATGGCCCTGGCTAACAATGAAAATCGACACAAACCAGCTTCCCACCGCCCAAAATCTTCACCAACGCCCTGCTTTCCAGACCGGACATCACCTCGCTGATCCGGGACACCGAAGCGCACGAACGCGCCCTCTTCTCCGTCCCGCCGCCTCCCCCGCCCGCCACGAGCCAGAACCCAGACCCACCCAAACCGTCCTCGCGGCGACAGACAGTCTTCAACGTGTCCGCGGGCGAAGTAACAACGGGCCCGCCGCCCAACTCTACCCTGCGCAGCGGAACCGCCGCCCGCCGTAACACGGCCGTGGCTGCCGTGCTGGGCGGGGACCTGCACGCGCAAATCGTCCGCCGGGGTGGTGGTGGTGGAGGCGACGTCGACATTGAGGTGCTGCTACACGGCGCCGAGAAGCTGTGCGCCGTGTACCCGCTGCCCGGCGCGCCCCAGCGCATCGCCGCGCAGAGGCAGAAATATGCGCAGCAGAGCAATACCCTAGCGTACTACGAGGCGAGAGTGGCAGAGCAGCAGGAGCAGTTGGAGAGAATGAATGCGGAGAGGCACTTTGAGGAGGAAGATGAGCAGGAAGCTGAGGACGGAGAAGGGGATGGGGGGGGACTGGTGCTGACGGAAGAGGATCTGAGGAGGGAAGAGGAGGAGGTCAGGGAGCTGGACAAGAGGAAGAGGGAGCTGCAGGCGAGGCTGCGCGCTATTGAGAGTGACTTGGGCGGTCTTCTTGATATTTAATCATTGGAGAGCCGGTGGTTGTTTGCACTGGAGTTGAGTACCGTAGCTCCGAATGGGGAGCAACGTGCATGGAAAACAAGCGCCAAGGTTAGTTCTATCTGTCCGATCTAGCCGCTCATCCCCTTTGATGAACGTATACTAAAACTTTTCGGGGCCTCTTGGCAAGTGCAAACGCCTCCAGGAATTTTGGCACCTCTTGGACTTCTAACAGTTGGTGCCGATCGTTTGAAGTGAGCCTTGAATTTGGCTTTCATGAGGCGGTCTTCGGGATGGTCAATCTCGTCGAACTTGGTCTCGGCAAACTGAACAAGCCTGTGGGCAGTTCCGCGTGTGGCCGACCTTGCTCCTCAACGAGGAGAGCCCCATACCCTCGGAAGCGAACAGCTCCTTGAGCTCGTTTCAGGGCGGTGTCGGCTATTCAAAGTTCTGATTCTCCAGTTTTGGCTTCTTAGGGGTAAGGAAGGGTCGAGAAGGGATACCAGGTGACGGTGGTAGTCTCGTTGGCTCCGCCAGGGAACACCCTTTTCCATGTTTCGATGGCCCGGTGCAGAGGGATGTGACCAAAATAACACTGTGCAAGTATTTGGTTGGGCTGAATGTGGGGCTCTTGGATTGGAGAGCAGGAAGGGAAGGGATTGCGCTTGGCCAAGGGCAAATGGCGTCGACGACGACCTTGATACAGAAACAAGCCATGTTCACGAGATGGCTGCTTCAGAGACCCGACTACCAGCTGAGTACCTGACATGGATTGCCATTTTTGTCACCCCAACAATGGCACAGCTCCTAACCAGCCTATGATTCTGGCATCTGTTATGCGGTAAGATAGGAGATATCGCGATAGAGACGACGATTGACACAACCCAGGCACCAATCTGTTTCTAGGCATCTTGTCGCGAGGCGATGGGTCTGAGTAACGGCCGGCGATAGAGCCCTAATTCCACATTCCCCGGCGGATCTCTTTCTTTGCGCATCCACAACGCCTAACCGAGTATCACGCAAGATGTCAGTAAGACCGTTATCAACACGTAGACCCAGATATACCGGGACACTATTGGTTCATCCGCAGCCCCATCCGAGCTCCAGTTGAATATTGACATGCTAAAGATAGCCTGGGAAGGGGAACGGTTAGTGGAAGGCAGATCGACAAATAAAAGCCAGGGTGGTGGCGGGTGAACTGGCATACTGTTACGAATGTGCCTGACAGAAAGACGAAGGTAACCACCGCTATCGTTCGCATGATCCTGCCCTCCACAAGGGATGCGGTGGCCGTGATTTGAGAGTTGGTCGCGATCTATTGTGCAAGGAGACTTCTGTTAGGGGAAAAGGATCCTTCCACTGCATTCAGGGCGTTCCTCGTTTCTTACGACAAGGTTCATATAGCTATCCACCTACGGCCCGCTATCAGTTATCGATGCCGGCTGAGGTGACGAATGGCACACGGCATAGGGTGCTTACTGAAGCCCGCTGAGCCTCTATCCTCATGGGTGTCACTTCCAGCTCGTGCAAGAGCGACTCAAGATTCGCCAGTTCGCGGTCGACCCTTCTCCGGAGCATTGGCGAGAACGTCGTGGGGTCTCCTTCCGTGGAGCTGCTCGCTACCCGCAGCTCGAAGTACAAAACCCAGCTTATCGGCAAACTCGCGAAGGAACGACCGACGTCGTTTGAGCGCTAGATGCTTCTGCTGGAGCTTCAACAGCTCAACCCTGCTGTCTCTGATTCGGTGCACGTCGGCCATCCCATAGTGGGTGTTTGAACCTATATGCCCCTTTAGCTTTCTCCCGTGTAGGTGTATTGTCCACACGGGCGTTTAAAGCGAAAGAATGCGCCATTGGAAGAGCGACTGACGCTTCCCGGACCCTGTGGTCGGTATTGTACAATACAAACGTTAGACTCTCGGAGTCCCGAGGCCCCAAATCAAAAGATTCTAGCCAACAGAGAGTCAAAGACTGAGACATGGCGGGGAATTGCGTGGCGGCCAGTCAGTGGACTCGAATGAGGCTGGAAGCGCCGTTCATCACGGCTACCACCAGTTCCGTGCAGAACAGAACAAGATGCCTCGGTGCAAGTGAGACGCGTGAAGGCATCTATGGAAAGAGTCGAGTCTTTGGTCCGTTTACTTAGGTGGTCAATCCGTGCGAGATGGTGTAAGTATCAGCAGCTAGAAAACACTGGCACTGTAACCTGCCTTATAGTTCAGTTGGATTACAGCAGGTAGGTACTTTGTTGTGGAGGGATGGAAAGTTCCTGAGTTAAGCCTGAGATTTGTTTGAGAAGGAAGGTAAGGTAATTACCTGTAGACAAACTCATCTGTAGCTACTATAAGGTTGCACACTTCAGCCTCTTAAGCTCGAACTCCTAGCCCTTTAGAAGAGTGTCTTTTCGTACTACGTATGGTGTTTCATGCCACCGTACGGAGGTATAAGATGTAGATCCACCCCGTGACCCACCATCAATACTGCCAGGCTTTCACCGCCCGGGAATCGCATGCGAACATTCAACTGCAAGTCCTCCGTGCTTGCCTCGGGCTTGCTTACATGATGAGGTGTAGGCTTATCAAGCCAGAAATCGTCTCTTCGCCCAGCTTCGATCGGTGCATATCAATGGCTCCATAACAACATGCATATGACGCCATATCCTTAGGCAGGACGCGCATATGTACGTTAGGTAGGCCAGTAATCTGTCGCCTTCCAGTGACAGAGGTCAAGGATGATCTGGCGGAGACTCTATCAGCGCATACGTTATCGCTCGGTCGGTATGAAACGTTAATAAATCCAGTCACTTCCTCGGTCCTCTGCTGCCCAGGTAAGTTCTCGATTCGGACCTCACATCTTCAACTCCCTACGGGTATATATGGGATTCATGGCTCTTCAGAACATTCTCGTCGTCGGCGCAACAGGCCAACAAGGTGGTGCTGTCGTCAGGGCGCTCCTCGAGCTTCCCAAGAGCGCAGCATCTCCCCATATCCTTGCCCTGACGCGCAGTGCGCAATCCGAAAAAGCAAAGGCACTTGCTGAATCTCACAAGCGTGTTATCGAACTGGTCGAGGGTGACAGCAGCAACCCAGCCCCCATTTTTGACTCCAGGCCCAAGGGTTCCATTGATGGCCTGTTCGTCGTCACGGTACCGGGCACTAAAGTCTCGGAGGAGCAGCAAGCCATTCCGCTGATCGATGCCGCCGTCGAGCATGGCGTCAAGCACATCGTGTTTACCTCGGTCGACCGAGGCGGCGACGAGAAGAGCTGGCACAACCCCACCGACGTTGGCCACTTTATCGCGAAGCACAACGTTGAGCTTCACCTACGTGACAAGGCCCAGAAGGAACAAGGCAAGTTCACGTGGACCATCCTGCGGCCCACGGCCTTCCTCGACAATCTCAACCCCGGCATGATGTGCTCCATGATGGCAGCCATGTGGGCGGCGTCCTTGAGGCCCGAGACCAAGCTTCAGCTAGTGAGCGTCAGGGACATCGGCATCTTCGCCGCCAAGGCTTTCGCGGACCCCGTCAGATGGTCCGGCAGAGCCATCGGACTGGCGGGCGATGCACTCACCCTGGACGAGGCCAAGCAGAAGTTCACCAAGGTTACCGGCCAGAGTCTGCCTCAATCTTTCACAGTAATGGCCAGATTGATGATGTGGGCGATGAAGGACGTTGGGGCCATGTTCGCATGGTTCGAGAGGGAGGGCTACGGCGTTGATATCGAAGCCACGAGGAAGGAAGTCCCCATGCAGGACTTCGAGACGTGGCTCAGAGAGGAGAGCAAGTGGACGAAGGCGTGAGTCGAAATACGTTAGATGGGTATGTTTTTGGTTTCTTCGATGCGTTTTACAGCCATTAGTGTTCTTGCTTGACCACTTTGAGTCAATAGTAACCAACTCCCGGTCTATGTATTATTCGGTCTATGTATTTATTCGGTGTATATGGTCGAAGAGGGCGCATGTCGGATCATGACATGATAATATGAAAACCATCCTGGACCTCTTCGGGATCTGACACTGTTAAACCGGCAAAGAAGTTGTTTATGGTGTACAGCACAATGCCGGATTTACTAAGTCACTTGAAAGACGCCGAGTACCAACCCCCCGTACCAGCGTTGACCAGCTTTCAGGGGCTATCAAGGCCAACAATAACCTAACGTAACCAGTACCAGTCAATGTCGCAAGACCTCTTGCCACTTGATGCCCGTTGAACGCCGAGCAGCGGTTCCAGCATGAGAGGGCTCTAATAGAGTTTGAGCTGCCGCGGGTGCTGTGCCTCGCAACTCAATCAGCACCCGGTTGTGGCACAGCCCTGTGCCAGTGCATACATAGAAAGTTAAAAGTGTTCCGTTGCATGCGAAGGGGTTCTGAAACCAAACGTCACGGCCTCCGAGTTTCTACCCAATTTTAGCTTACACTTGTAGACTACGCCGCCGGTCGTCCCATGTATCGGATTACCAACACCCTGGCACCAACACAACTGCTACCAGCGATTGCGGGCCGTGGCATACAGGTACAAAGGTAGGCAACATTCGCAGCGAGCAAGGCTGTTAGTAGAAGATGTCGCGGTATGCAGCTCTTCCCGCCTAACATCCAGAGCAGCCGTGGCTCCCTAGAAGCAGCACCGGCGCGATAACGAGCAGTACTAGTCGTATTATTCTCGACGACATCCCACTTGTAACTCTGCAGCTTGACAACATGGCTGGATCAGACTGCAGGTCCCTGAACCTCCCCTCTATTCCCGATGCTGACCTTTTCGATTTCGACGAAAAGGCCCCCCTCCTTTCTATTGACATAGACCTATCAGGGGAAATCAACACCGTGGTTGGCGGGGACAGTTCTGACCATCAGACCAAGGCATTGTAAGCTGCATTCACCTTGTTTATCTACCTATTCACCTTCTCAAGCGGACTAACTGACTTTCTCAACCAGACAATTCCCCCCAGGGCCCCACAGTCACCATGACACCACCTTTGAATCCTGGACCATCACCTACCACCAGCCCGTCACCCGCACTATCTCACAGTACCGCGCCCTGGGTATAACCTGGTGGAGCCGCACCGACGTCGAGGAAGGGTATGTGCTCTCGGTGGTGGCCAATCCGCACTTTAGCCAGGGAGAGCTGGCGGCAACAGTCGCGGAGCACCAGGCGGCAGCGGCAGCATATCACCTGCAGTCTGCCAACTTCCAGCAGAAGGGAGCAGTCAGCCAAACCAACAACGATAACAGCAACGGACTGGCCCTGCAGTACACAGCGGGTCTGACACAGAGGCTGCGCGCTCTGGACTGGAAGGTCCAGGACGAGATCTACGACCTGCTAAGCGACCGCGCCCAGAGCAGCAGCAGCCCCTTTAGGCGGTGGGAGTGGCGGGTTGTGGTCATGTCTGCCGTGCCGGGCGGTGACATGACCGATGCCGGCAGCGAGGGCATGGGCATGAAGGCGGCGATGGATGGACAGGGACTCCGGACCGCTGGCGGCGAGGATCAAGGTAGGTCCTCTCATTGCCTGCCGTTTGCGGGCATCTGGCAGCGCGTGAAGACGGCGTGGCGGAACGTGAAGGCAAGGAGAAGGGAGATGAGGAGGAAGAGAAGGGAGCGGGGCCTGACGATTGTCGAGTACAGATTGATTCTGCGCGGGACAGAGACCAAGACGAGTGAACAGGGATGGGGGGTCTATAACCGGTACAGTCGGCCTTGGAAGACGTTCGATTATAAGGAGATTGCAGAGATTAGGGCTGAGAGAAGGCTGTCGTCCATATCACGGACAAGTGAGAAGTATGTTGTTTTTTGAGGGTGGAAGGGACATATCTAGGAGATGCCCCAGACTGGATGTCCGGCATGATACTGGATAAGGTACCTTGGCCATCAGTCAGTCGTCTTTACCCCCTTTCCATTTTGTTTCATAGACGAGGTCCAGCCCAGACATTGCTACCAATCACTTTCATCGAATGAGTACACTGTCTCAAAGAATACAGGCCAGGCTAAACGTCAGCAAGCTACGGCCGAAGCGAGGCACCCTACCCCTGAGCCGTTGATGGAGGCCCGCAGTTGTGTTCCCAATCTGAAATTTAGCTGTGTACTCACTCTGGCTGAAAGACCGCGCTCTATCAGCGGGCATCCATTCATAACTCGCTACACGATTCAAGCCAGCTGAAGCATAAGCGCTACTAAGAGCAGAACATCTCGAATCAACTAGCGGTCAGCACTAGTCAGACAAGATGTCATGCTGCTCTCCAGCTGAGTCCACTCATCACTCCTTCCTGGGAACCAGCTCCGCGTACACCGCTTGCTCCAGCTCGCGGAACAGCTCATACGCCGCCTTGTCTCCAAACGGGGACACATTGACAAACATGGCTCCTGCGATACCCGTCTGAGGATCCATCCACTAACACGCACGCAAAAGATCATAGTCAGCAATCATCCTAACCCAAATATGACCATGTTGGTATCAAAATAATGGCAGGAGACTCACCCAACGGGAATTACAAATCCCGCTCCACGTCAAACTCCCCTTGCGCCTCTGCCCGGGCACATCCTGCGTATTCATAGCTCCAATCAGGCCAAAATCCATCGGCGTGTCGGCCGGCAGCTCAGGCGTCAGCAGGAGCATGCTGATGCTCTGCTTGAGATCGGCGCGTTGCTTGTCCGTCTTGAGCTGCGGGCGGACCATCTCGTCCATGGCGGCCTTGCTCACCAGCCCTCCTCCTTCAACTTCCTCGCTGCTGCCCGCAAGTATCTTGAGCAGCGCCTGCAGCAGCTTGGCGTAGTCTGCTGCGCAGCCGTACAGGCCCGCGCCTCCGCTGGCTACGGGCGGCGGGGAAGGGCCGGGGGGGTTTGTGTCGGCCAGCTCGCCCGTTTCGGGGTTGCGCAAGGAGCCAGGCACATAACCTTCAAGTTTCTCCGTGGAGTTGGGCTGCAGCAGCTCGTCGAGCAGGAAGCCGGTGCGGGCCATGCCGAGCGGGTCGAGGACGTTGCGCCGCGCGTACTCGTGCAGCGTGAGGCCCGTGAGAGACTCGAGGACCTGCCCGGCCCAGTCGATCGAGGTGCCGTAGCACCAGCCCTCCCCGGGGGGGAACAGAAGCGGCGTGTCGAAGCCGTCGAGGGTCCATGAGAGGTTGTTAACGGTGCGCCCGACGTGCTGCGACCAGCGCATGATGTCCGGGATAATGATGTCGTAGGGCAAGCCCGTCGTGTGCGTGAGAAGGTGGCGGAGTGTGATGGGGTGCGGGTTGTCCCTTAGAATGGGCTTGCCGTCTTCTCCCTCTGAAGTGAAGCCCTCGAGGATCTGCATTTTGGCCAGCCGCGGCATGAGCGGCCGCACGTCGTCGTCGAGCTTGATCAGGCCGCGATCAACGAGCTGCATCACGCACGTGGCCGTCACGAGCTTGGTCATGGAGGCCATCCAGGTGACCGAGTCGGTTGCAAAGGCCGGCGACTCGACCGGCTGCCGAATCCGGCCCGCGCTGCCTTGGTAGATGAGACCTTGGTTGGGAAGTTAGCAGTATGTTTGGTGCGCACAGTGCTAGAGTGCATACCATCTTTGTTTATCACTACGTAGGCCGCACCGAGCAGCTTGTCTTTGGTAGCAGCGTCGTGAGCAACGCGCTCCTTGAGTATGCGGTTGAGCTTGTCCGCCATGCTGGTCTTCGTAATGGGGCGTCTCTAGGGGTGGGAAATACAATGCAAAAAGGGAAGAAATATGGTAAGCGTCTGGTGTCTACGAGGATCCAGGTGGCGGGAGGGAGCAGTTCAAATAGCGTGGCTTACGGCCTCACCGCACGGCTCTTGGCGGGATTGGATTCGAGAGGATCTACATGTAACATCGGGTAGTCCGGTCCGGATTGCAGTACATACGCTGAGCTGTCCTTTGTAAATCTGACTAGATCTGGTAAACCGAGCATCCACAGTATGGCGGGCGATGAAAAGTCATGCTTAAATCCGAAGGTTTAGGCATCAACTCAGCCAAGCGTGGATTGTCCCTGCTTTTCTTCGAGGAACTGCCGGCAGGATCCGACCAAGGTGTCCAGAACCTCCGCCTGCTCCACCATTTTTGTTCCTGATTCCGAGGGCCGAGACACAGCCTCTGCGAGTTGAACGGGCAGGTTCCCTAGATACGCAGGGGAGTCACCGTCCTTCGGCCCAAGGCGTTGCTGTAGTTCAGGCCCAAGCGCGGTGCTCAACGATTCCAGCCAAGCAACGGCGACATCATAGAGCTCAAAGTAGTCAAGCGTCAGCAATCCTTCCAGCTGGGATGTGACCGCGTCATCGAGGAGCTGCAGCATCTCGACGGGAGAAAGCTGGGACAGCGTGGCCTTACGCCGGACGTCTTTGTCGGTTTCCTGTCCCGCCTAGCGACGGAATTCACCTGCTTGGTGTCTGCCGAGCGGTCGGATTCGCTATTTAATTCATGGCCAGACCCGCTCCTGTGAGCAGTGGCCATATTAGAATGCACCTCCGGACTCTGATCTCGCGCGCCGGACTGGGCATGTAACCGGTGTGCGGCGAGTTCCAGGAGGTACATTGGAGAACCGTCCGAGTAAACGCGAACTTCATCGAAAGCGTACCCACGACATCGCGGAGGATGTTGAGAGCCGAGTCAGGGACGTCTTCCTGGTCCGCGTTGTCGGCAACACGCTGTGCGAGGATCTCGAGCTGGCTCCAGTGGACAAATTTCTCGTTTCTCGGGTCCAAGTTGATAGGGATTGGTATGCCTGCTGCTGCTGCTGCCTTTGCCTTCTTTTTCTGTCGACGCGACTGCTGGGCCGCTGCAGCACCACCTTCTTCTCCTCCGTTTGGCTCTTCTTGCTTGCGAGACACGAGTCTATCTGCTGTCTGTTTTAGCCAGCTGGTGAATTGTGCCTGGCCCAGTTTGTATCGTCGCCATGTTCCGAGGCCATTAAGTTTTTTGGGGCATCCATCACGACCGACGCGGAATCTCAGATCGCCGTCCGCAGCTGCGCGACGGAAGAGTTGGTTTCCTTGACAGTTGACGAGTCGTTGTGCGGTGAAGGCAGCAAGCCCCTGACCCTGCCCGTGCGATTCCAGAGGACCGAGGACAGCCCCGCCGAAGCCACAATTCAGGGCCATGTAACGAACCCGAGAAACCGGAGCATGCTAACATTGCTAAGGTAGGGGGTACTGTACTGTATTGTATGTACATACATAAATACATACATACCAGTACTTCCCCCTGGTCGGCCCACTAAGCTCAGCGTTGTGCTGAGTGGTCTTGACGAAAGCTCCCCTCCATTTGAGTGGTTCAAAAGGTATTGGTAGCCGGATTGATCGCATCTTGAAGTTGTCATTCCCTTTGGGCCGTTTTAGTAGTGGGGCTTGTTGAGTGGCCCCGAGTGGGGAGGAGGAAGCCTGGAGAGATCTGTAAGGTATTTATTGGAGGCCACTGCGGGCGCTGGGCTTGGCTCCTTTCCCTCCTCCAACCTCTCATCCTCTTTACAGTCAATACACCACTCTTTGGCTGTGCTTTTCATGCTTTCCCACTTCTCTAATATCTTCAGAGTACTGTACATTATCTTTTTAAATGTAAATCCTTAATATCGTACCGTCCTTTATGGCATTTAACCTGTCA